AAACACCAACATCAGCACAACCTTGAAACTATTTTCTGATTGACAGAAAACATTTGACTAAAACAGTTAAGGGCAAAAAGGACTAAAACAGGAATAAAACTAAAAGGTGTTTAGGTCCGAATACTGAGACTGCTGGATAGGGTATTTGTGTTGGTGTGTTTTTGAGTTTGTTAAATGTGTGTTTTGTAGTCACTTTTGTCCCCTCTGGTGTTTCTGATGGACTACTGTCGTCTCTACTATCCGTCATATGTCTGACTATGTTCTGCTCGCTTGTAGCTTTTTTGTCACGTTGACCTTTTTTAGATTTCGGCCCATTTTTATGACTTTTTGCTATTTCCTATGTTACATGGAGTTAGTTTTTGTTGGTGATTTTTCAAACTTTAAATAAAGGAAACCTGGTCTTTTGTTGCCCTTTGACTGGTTGCTTGGTCACTTACAGTCTTTAAACATACTGTACTATATACTGGACTATACTGACTAAACTGACTATCTGTTATTTCATCTGAAAGATGCCGTCTCATCATTCTAAATATCGTAATTCTTTCGTTATTACTGCTGCAGCTCTTCATCTCTATGAGGGGGGGCTAAGTACAGATTTTCATACCTGAAAGTCAAACTGTTTTATTGTCACTGTGCTTTTACAGCTGTACTGTCAAACAGAATATGACTGATGTTAATGCAGAGTGTACCTTTTTAGGATTGGTCGTAATCAATCCAATAATAAAAATTTAATAAATTACAGTAATATTTAACACTCTTCATATTCACATGGATGATTTTCCCTCTGCTCTGTTCATTGTTCCTGTAGCAGTGTCAGTGTTTTATCGTTTTCTCCTGCCATAGTTAAAATGCTAATATTTCCCAAGGTGACTAAGCTGCTATGATATTTAATATAGTTAATATATTGACTGTTTTAAAATAAAGCCATAAAGCCTGCAGGCGGAAGCAGGAAGTAGATCAAAAGGCTCCAGTAATGGGTTCGGCTCTCTGATTGGCTAATCATGTCTCATTGTTTCAGCCATTATTTTGCTCAACTTTTAATTTCTTCCTCCCAAGGATCATTGAGCAAGGCAATTACATGGAGCTGACCTTGTGTATTAGGGGCCGGGGAGGAGGACAGGAAAGATGTCCCATCACCTCTCTCTTTCTTTTTTTAATTTCTTCCACAACAATATAAAAAGTGTGGCGTCAGAGCCTCCATCACTATTCCCCTCTCCTCTGTGGCTGAAAATGAGAGTCAACGGAATATTAAGTCCCTAGCATTTGAATAAACACGTCGTGTGTTAAATCAAAATCCAATTCTGTGGTCTATTATTTTCTGGCATAGTAATGACTGCCAAGGATTAGGAATCAATATTTCACTGCAGCGGGGACATTACCGGCTTTATTCAGGCCGTAATTGAGTTTTGAGGAGAGGCCCTGCCCTGGAATCTGCATTAAAGATAAGGGCTCCTTTCATGTGGATGCACAAGTAAAGCTGGAGCGGGGCGACACATTACACATCAGCTACACATCAATTACAGTGTGCACCAGTTAACCTTGCTACACACTGTAACTCTGCTACACTCTAGTTAACACTAATTCTGCCTCTCATAACTTATAACTCACTCGTGTTAACCACTTCCACCTGCTACATACTGAACATGCTATTGTTTCACCTGCTAACCTACAAACATTTCACTTATCTGCATCTGTAGAACAAAGATTAGAAATGTCAAAGAGAGAGGACTCATTCAGAGAAACTCTAGTTTATTTTTGGCTCACCCCATTGGCAAATGTTTTACCCATACGATCAGTTCAGGTTTTAGTATTTGGTGCCAACGTCGTGACATAACACAGTAATCTGAAATTATCAAGTAAATATGACTTACTTCAGGTCCAATAAGATTTTCTTTTAATTAAAGAGAAATGAAAAAACAAAAAACATTTGTTCTGATTTTTTTGCAGTACAAAGGCAATTAACTAATTCAAGTTTTCTCTTTATAGTATGTGCAGAGCAGCGAGATGGCCAACTCTGAAAACCATACTAACAGTTTCCATTTACCAACAACCACAGTTTACACCCTCAAAACTAGATGGTTGTTAAGGTACACATTGCAAGCTGCAAAGTTATCCACTTGCAATACCTGTTTCAAATCACTGCCACTCTGATTTGAGTGGCAAATACTGGAAAGTAACTTGATAGAAAAATTTGGCCAGATAATCCGTAATCATAAAAATCACGCATCTGCTCAATATTGCTGGAAGGGTGGAATCAGACCTAAAAGTAGTCCAGTTATCTTGGTAACCTGAGTCCAAAACCACCCACCACTCTGTTGAGTTATAAAGGAGATCCATCATTTTTGATGCTGTCTAAATGACATTGCATTGTAAACTTGTGTACAGAGATAGACGCTCACTCAAATATGCGTTGGAGTGTAAGGAAAAACAGAGAATGGATGAAAGTGGTGCACTCAGCGATTTTGGATACAGCTAACATAGAATTGGTATCTGATGTGAGCCGCTCCACTACTATAAGGAGTAAGTATGTACTCAACTCCCTGTCCCCTATGGTGGAACTAGCTGTTGTTAGCTGCCTCTATCATATATTGGCGAACTTCTAGTTTGAAATCGTTATGTAAAAAAATTGAAACCACAACAAGGTTCCCCCTCTCTGCATGTGCAGCTTCATGATTTACTGTTGGCTTTTGTCAACCTGCTAGCTTAAAAAGAGGCTAACACTTCACTTTTGTATGACACTCTAAGTGGTCATGACCATATAAGGAGGCAGAGGCACGATATGAGTCAAATCCACACAGTGGGCCTTAATTCATAGTGAACAACAACTATCAATAAAACACATCATGTTCACAGATACATGCACAGAACAGACAAACCCTGCTGAGAGAAAGTGCTCTTCTATATACCCTCCCCAATCAGGTGCTACCATATGCAGGGGTGTTAGAAACATAAAACTTTATTTTTACTTATCTAAAACCCCCAAATCTTAAAATATTAACTGCAACAACCCAAGACTATGCTACCCTATGTGACTACGACTTTACTTAGTCACATCCTCCCAGTAAATTCCCTACAGGAATGTTGCACCTGGCCCTGTTCACCCCCATACCAATCTGTCAGGTGGAACCCTCCCAGTACAGTAAAAAGGCTGTTTGTTGTCCCAGAGACTCTTTTACAGTGCACCCTGCGAGTGGAGACAGAAAGGCACAGGTAAGTGTTTGGCATATTCATATCAGGTTAAACTTCATATTACACCTTCCCTATTTTAATCAGCATCCAAATCTGCTCGGACTTTGCCAACTTCTATGTTTCCCATAGGTGGTGCAGCTAAATCAACCCCCAGTTACCACACAAACTGTGATCGTCTGTGAGCACCACATCATTAACCAAATCTGAATAAAAGTATTTTTACCGAAATACCTCTCAGACTCATCTGTCAACATGTCAAAACATGTTTGTTTGTTTTTTTATCTATACAACCCTACAATGACATGTCGATTATGCAATGTGACCATTTGTTATGTTAGCTGCCTCACTCCTCAGCTACCTTGATTAAAAAACACCCTATTTTGCAGCTACTCTTTTTTTCTGACTGTCCTGCTCTTCACTAATTACAAAAACACAGATGTAAGTTTGATGATTATGTGTGACTAGAAACATGGCAGTGCAAAAAGATGGCTTCCATGGGAGGGAATCTATGGATCTGAAAGTCTCAATTAGAGGTATCACAAAAAATGTTTAAATACAATGCACTAATTTAAACAAACTTATGGATTTGTTTTGGGGCCTTATCCATTTCTGCCAAGTTTTCCAATTGGTTGCTGTACTGTAGGTTAACACTGAAGCATCTTTGCATCAACAAGGCATAAGTTATTCATGACACTGATCTTCTACATTTCAAAATCATTCATCATAGTTATTCCTTTGTCTTCAGAATGAAATCTGAATTTATTTCTGTCAAACAATAAGAAAGTAACCAATGAAATGTGGAAATATATGTCAACCATTTGTGGTTTAACACTTCAAACAACCAAGGTTAAAATTTTTTTAGCTATTTTGGAAATTAGCCAGTTTGGGAGCCAAAAGAGACGGTTCTTATCTGGCGTAACTCTGCAAACTGGCTGATGTGAAAGAAGACGAAATTCATCACCACTAGCAAAAAGAAGCAGGCTTTCACCTCTCATCTCTGTGGGTATTTTATTTAAAAAAAAAAAAAAAGGTTTCGGCCTAATCAGACTATTTCACGTCGCCAAGTTTGCCAATGGGCTGCTGTAGTGTAGGCTAACACTGAAGCATCTTTGCATCAACAAGGCAAAAGTTATTCTTGAAACTGATCTTCTACATTTATCAAAGTTACTCCTTTGTCTTCAGAATGAAATCTGAATTTATTTCTGTCAAACAATAAGAAAGTGAGACGGTTCTTATCTGACATAACTCTGCAAACTGGCTGATGTGAAAGAAGACGAAATTCATCACCACTAGCAAAAAGAAGCAGGCTTTCACCTCTCATCTCTGTGGGTATTTTATTTAAAAAAAAAAAAAAGGTTTCGGCCTAATCAGACTATTTCACGTCGACCACCTCCCTGCAGGTGCTCCTGCTGGGACAGCTCAGCCCCGCGCGCGCAGTCTGAGATGACCAGACAGAGCGCGTGAAGCTGGAGGTCGGGACGCCGAGAGCTGAATAGGAATGCATAAATAAGGAGGGAATCAGCGCACCGGCTCTCACACACGCGCGCGCACCGACAAATGTGAGCACCGGGTCTCGAGGGGACGGGTAAAAACCGAAAAAGGCGTTGAGAGTGGCACGGAGGATGACGGGAAAAGACCCGGAGAAAAGAGACAAACAGAAGAAGTTTCACTTAACTAATAGGGAGAGAAAGAGAGAGAGAGGGGGTTCGAGCTGGATGAACCATTGGAGAGGCAGATCAGTCCGTCCCGCCTTCAACTCCTGTCAGGCTCCTGGAGCGCGCGCAGACCGGTGACCAGACAGAGCGCGTGAAGCTGGAGGTCGGGACGCCGAGCGCTGTTTGTGTGTGCGTACCAACTCGGGATAACGGCGCCGTAGGACACAGGCAGACGTTAGATCACCGGAAACGCTGCGCTGCTGCTGCGGTGGATGCGGAGGATGACGGGAAAAGACCCGGAGAAAAAAGGACAAACAGAAGAAGTTTAAACTCAAACTGGACCGGTAATTTAATCTAATCTAATCCGGCCAGACTTTAACGTATGGGAAACTTCAACGGGCTGAGACATCCCCTCAGGCTGGATGTGGACTCATGACTGAAGTTTTTATTCTGACATGAAAAGCAAACAACTTCTTTAAAACGCTCTGACTGCAGTTTTCACCACTTCTGTTTCCAACCGGATTCTTGATTTATGGGACAGGGTGAGTAAAGCGATGAACCGGGACAGAGCGGTGCCGGGGCCCGGAGCAGACGGGGTTCAGACCATTATTAACCGGGACAGAGCTGTCGTGGCGGGGCCCGTTGTAACGGACGCGGTCCAACCCGTGATGAGCCGGGACAGAGCGGCACCGGCTCCTGGAGGGGACGGGATTCAGACCGTGGTGGGCCCGGAAAGCCAGGACATCCTGGACGGAGGTGCAGCCGGGGAGAAGCGGCTCTTCTCCAACGCTATAGCCGAAGGAAGAGGACCTCAGGCCGTGGAGAACCACTCGGAACCTCCACCGACGAACCCAGTGTTAGCGCCGCCACAGCAGGTAGATACACAGGAATAAAGTTCAGTATGTTTACAGGAGTGAAGCAGCGAGAAAACCAGTCCTTGAAAAAGTGAATGTAACTTTTGATTGCACGAAAAGCAGACTGAGAAAAGGGGTAAAAGTGCGTAAAATGAACAACCCATTAGCGTATAAACTGTGACCCATGACTCAAGAAGAGAAAATTCACAAAATTAAGACAAGAATGTTTTGTCTTAGGTTATTTATTGTAGTTTGAGTCGTTAAAATAATGTCGTTTGGTTATAGCACGACCTGCATGTGTTGACATGTTGTTGGAGTCTAAATCGTGCTGCCAGCTGAGCTCTTAATTAAGATACAGCTGTAAAATTAACAGCCAATTTGCTGCTGTAATGCGCAGGAAACAATAAAAACCAAACATTAAGATATCATCAAATGCGTTTCCATAAAGGCTCCGAAGGAAACAGGCAGTTTTCAGCAAAAACATGAAACTCTTCTTCTGCGGTTGAAACGAAAAGAGACGAATTTTTAAGTCACATTTTTTTAAAGTTATCATTTAATTACAATTTAAAGCTGAAAAAAAAAAACATCTGTCCCTCTTTATCGAATTATTTCTATTCACCAATTAAAAAAAGCCCGTTTAATATTACTCTAAAAATGAGGAAATACGAGTTTCTCCTCATTTTCTCCCGATTAAAGTTAATTCTCTCAGGAAATAAAACACATTTATGATGAACTGTGGATTATGTCAAACAAAGGATTATTGCTCCTAATCTCAGCTGTGATCCTGGTATTGTGTGATTATTTTCTTATCATCAGATGTTAATAGGCCCCAGGGCTCTGCCCGCTGCTCCCTCGGATTATTGAAAGAGAGAATTATAATATTATTAATGTGGGATTATTCATGTGGACATGCTCCAGACTGGCCTCATTAATAAATGAACGATCCTAATCAGGATGGAGTGCAGGTGAAGGCTCGTGAAGCCTCTCTACACCTTTATCTGCTCCATACACTCTGCACCTTTTTAACTGCACATAAATCTGTGAGGGTATAAATTCACACTTCATATCTGTCTTAACTATTCCTATAATAAACACTGTGCACTCAGACGGAGTCAAACTCAAGTTGGAATTTTATTACAATTGTGATTTGATTTTTTTAATTAGACACGTGCACACTGCTTTTCTTTCCTTATTTTATTATTTTAAATTTTTTTTGCACAACATAATGTCTGTAACAAAATAAAAATACGGCCCAGTTCATTTTCGTCCCCTCTCCTTTGAACACGTGACCCGTGGCCTCTAAATATAAAGGGGATTGATTGGTGTGCCAGCTGATAGCCTATTGACCGCAACATATTGGATTGAGGAAATCTTGTTGATTTGTGTTTATGTTGCGCGTGTTTTACTTTGTAAATACAGTTTACTGCCCGTTTAAAGACTGTGCTGCTGTCTCAGGTCAACATGTTCATTTTCAGTTTCTCTGATACGGACGAGAATTTTGTATTTCCCGCGTTGCAACAGTTCATACTGAAATAATAATTATAAATAGATTTCTAGATGGATGAAATAAATGTTACAAGTGTCAATTATTATTTGAATCATTTTAAGAAGAAAAATGACAGAAAAATCCACAAGTTTGCTCAGAAGTGGATCTTTTTTCTGCACTGAAGATGAAATAGAAGATGGCTCAAACGAAATTTCGCGTTTCAAATAAATCTAGCTATGGATAGATAAATAGATAAATGAACGAACAGCCCGGTATTAAATATTTATTTTTCCACCAAGAATTTTCATATGAAGCATGGAACAATTATTAGATGAATAAAAAAATAACATTATGGCGGGAAAAAAAAAACAAAAACGATCTGGCGAAGATTTGACAATAAAGCGCATAACAGTGACAATACGGCGCATAAAAATTACAATATGGCGCATGAAAAAAAATAGTGGGGCTTTAATTAAACTAAGGTGATGATAAATTAAAGACAGTCCGCTTTTAAAAAGAGTTTTCACCATCAAAACGAGCGCATGTCGCCTACAAAATGAAGCTACAGCGCATTAATAATTCTGACGCGGTGCCTCACAGGGCCCGACCGGACACCGGACCACCTCCTTCTCCGTGCTCGACATCCTGGACCCGAACAAGTTCACGAGCAACCGGCGACCCCAGCAGCACGGGAGCCACCGAGGAGAGCGCGAGCTGAGCGCGTTCGGAGCAGAGAACCGGAGAGGAGGAGGAGGAACCGGGGAGCGCGAGCCCAGCCTGGAGCCCGCCAAAGGGTGCTACGGAGGGGAGGAGTACCCGAGCAGTAAGTGTTTAACCCAAGTTCATCTTTAAAGCCGGTTCATCTCAGGAAGTTTGTTTGTTTTCTGTTTTAGTTATTTTCCCGCCATTCAGCCCTAAGCTGTACACGCCATTCTGAGCTCGTGCACACGTTTAACGGTGAATTATATTTGTATTAAAGTTTTGATCCGTTTTGTCCACTCAGACTCATCCACTTTGTCTGTGTGTTCCTCCTATGGCTGCCATTTTTGCTGGTTTCTTTCAAGATTGATTTTTTTTTTAATGATTGAAATTTGTTCATATATAATATAATCCTTTATTATTTTTTTCTAATAATCCTTTTAGCAATATAAGGAGCCCATTGTTTCTGCTGAATTTGTCAGAGTTTGGAAAATGTGCTGTTTTTAGATGAGGTTTTATGAGCCACAGGAATATTTGACTGAAGTGTTTCAAACTCATAGCCTCGCTATCCTCACAAAGTCAGACAAAAATAACATCTTCACATCTATTGGCAGGACGGATAATGACGCATGCCTGCCGATAATCCTTGTAGAAGAAAAAGAGTGTTTTGGACTGAAAGTGTTGATAATCTCGTTTTTAAAAATCGGATATTAAACTGGAGGAGTCTCAGTGTCGGACAGGAAGTCTCGGCTCTTCCACTACAGGATATAAAAAAGGAAAAAGAAAGAAAATATTGGTCATTCAATCTGCTAATAAAAAATGTGTGAGGTTTTGTCACAGTGTGTGTGTGTGTGGTTGTGTGTGATCACTTGATCACTGTTATTGATTAGTGAATATCAGTTTAAAGCAGCTGTGTGTGTGTGTGTGTGTGTGTGAGAGAGAGAGAGAGAGAGAGAGAGAGAGAGAGAGTAAGAGAGAGAGAGAGTCTCCATTCAGACCCATTAACTCCAATCAACTCATTTGCTGTATATAGTCATCATCGATAAAGATATCTGATATTATCTCGACGGTTTATTTATTTTCTCTTCATTCGTTTTCCACGGTTTAGCCATATTTCATTTTTTTATTCTCTTTTATTCTTCATTTCTTCCCCTAAATCTGAATTTAGTTTTTATAATTTCCTGATCTCTGAAAACCTGAAAATTCCTCACTAAACATTATAAAAACAAGAAGTTCTAACGAGTTTTGAGTGAACATGCTGAACATTTTAAAGTCTTTATATCACATTTCATAATTAAAGATTAGTTTATCCTGATAAGATAATGCCGCAAAAAATCCGTAGATTATTGTGTATTACCATGAAGTAAAAAAGACAGCACTCTATTGATAGAAGTCCAAATAGTACAGAAACATCCCTTTAGATTGTTGTTTGGATCATTTCTGTTTTTTTATATAAACTGAATATGAGTATTGGTCATGACATTTACATTTTAAATGACATCCAACCATTTTTTAATTTATATCAGTGAAAACTATGTCTTTTTTTCCCCAAACACTAATTTATTTTTACTTTCAGTAAATTGGTGGAATCCTAATTATTACCATTATTTACGTAACCTTTCTTATTGCGGTATTAGGTACAAGATACATAATGAACTCTGTTTTTTTTTTTAGAGAAAAACTATGCTTCACAAGCTTGGCTTTTTTTAGCCTAATAATTAATTACATTTTGTATGTTTTTGTCTTTTTTTCTATTTTTAATTCAGAGTTGTTTTTTTATGTTTTCAGTCTCCATAGGTGCATTAGGCAAAAAAGAAAATGATAAATAAATAAATAAATCCCGATGTGAGTGAATGTAGAGGTGTTTTCCCTGCAGAACAACACTGATTTATTTCAGGTGACAGTTTTAAGCTGCAGTGCTTAAACTGTACATTACTTATACAGTAGTATTGTAATAGTTTCTTTGTTTAGAGATGTTCACATTTTTCAAGGTGAGCATTGAGTCTGAGGCACCTGACTGGAGACCCTCAGGTGTTGATTTCCTAATTGAGCTTTAAATTTTTAGAGAAATTATTCTGTTGTGAATTACAAAATTGTCTTAATTAAAGGAACTTTGATGTGTGGGGATAGAAATATAAGAACACCATGGAAGGAAGCAGGTTAAGGTAGCTGTAAATGAAAGGATGGTGACTTGAATGAAAGTCTGTGTCCACCATAGAAGAAGATCTGCGTGGGTGGGGTGTAGATTCAGATGTAGTCCTTTGTTAACACAACCATTTCCAAACTGAGGCCTGTGGACCAACAGTGACACACTAAAGCTTCAGCAAAAGGGCTGAATGACTTAAACACCCAAGTCTTTGACATAACACTGAATAACTGACATTGAATTTCAATTTATGAAAGCTCACAGTTAATATACAGCAAACATAACACTATAATAATGAAAAATAAAAAATAAAAAAACAGCTGATTACCATAAAGTTAGTGAAGGCATTATACTGACCTGAGTGCAGCAACAACTCCTGGATGTGGAATAAAAGTTGTAGTTAATTTAAGACAGATTATATTGAGGAACTTTAAAGGGGAAAAAATCAACAAGGTCCCATGATTCAATTTTTAAAAGAAGGAAAGAAAAATCAGCTTTTTCTGTGTGCATTTATTCCTAATAAAAACAAACTGAAACAGAACTAGAATGCCAAAATAATAATAATAATGAGAAGAAGAAGAAAATAATAATAATAGTATGATTATTATTATTATTATTATTATTATTATTATTATCATTATTACAGTGGAACAGATGTCCTTATGTTCAACTGATAAAGGCTTGTAAAAATGATAATTTCTTCAAACATTTTAAATTCTTATTTGCAGAAGTAAGGTTAAATAATTTATTTTGAAATATTTTTTTCTTTTAAATAATTCAACTACACCTAAGCAGATATAAATGCCTTAGTAAATGTCTTTTTTATTATGAGTTAATTTGCTGTCTAAATGTGTTTTTTACGCACTCACACACACCTGGGGTCTTTTGGTAGCCTCACACACCCTGAAATTGTCCAAACTGATGTGAAGTTTAACTGTTCATAAAATATGTAATTGATGAAAAAAAAGGCTGCAGGGCTCCAGTCCTGGTTTAGTTTGTTTACAGGTGCAGTGTGGAGGAATGGGAGTATTTTGTGATATCTAGAGTTATGATTTTAGACTGAAATGCTCCCTTGCTCAACCCTCTGACTCACTTCACACAAAAATCTCTCTGATATTGCAGTTTTTATTATTTGTTCAAGCTGCATGTCAGCGTTGGTTATATTTACATTTTCATAATAACATATATATATATAAATTTACCACCTGATGCACGACAAACTTGAGTCAGGAATGTGGTGAATTTTCTGTTTTCTTTTTTTAATTTTCATTTTGTTTTTCCATTTGTAGTTATTCACTATATTTCAACCTTCACATGTTTAACTTCTGAGTATAATATTTATTCATACATTGCTGCTAAAAGCATCCTTCTTAAAGAGCATGTAGTACAGAAAACAAGACTCGGAGTGACAGTAGCATTATTATCATATAGTTTGTCCAGCAGAGGTTGCTCTATTTTACAACACTTCCAGCACTGTCTGCAGCACATGTGAGCGTATTACAGAGGGGCAGATGTTTGCTCACACACACAAAAAATAATTTCTCTACAATTATGATTTTTATAGTGATTAAATACACAACATCCTCTATCTCTAAAAAAAAGGGAAAAAAATACATTTGATCATGATACTTGATAAAATCATGATAAAAAAGTAACTTAAAAAAATCCCAATCAATCACAGCAATTAATTAATGACGCTTTATGCTTATAGAATCCCTTTACTGTCCATTTCAAAAGTCTGAATTATTAACTATGTAAAGGAAGAGATATGCCGAATGTCCGGTCAGTGTCTCTGTGGTGTGCAGTCGTCCTTGCTGTTTGATTTCTCACTGACGTCCAGGGATCCCTGGTTAATGCAACAGTATATTTGCTCTTTAGAGGAGTTTCAGTTTGTTTGCCTCATTTTTTTACAAGGGTCCCGTATGACTAAAGCTTCTGTTCCTCATAAGGCATGACCCGGTCATGACATGCCAACCTGAAGGTGTTTTTGAGACCTGAGTCAGACCTGATGCCTGCAGCGTCTTTACATGAACCTCACTTCATGAAACCAGAATTTTATTTTGACATCAACTTTGTTCTGTCTTTCCAGAGGAGAGCTTTGTGTACAGAAGTCCAGATGAGGATGACTACCACAGATCTGGGACCCCGGACTCAGAGGCTCCAGACGGGCCCTACAGCAGTGAGGAAAGCAGTTCAGCTCTGCCCAGTAATGGAGACAGAGATGTGAACCAGCACTCAGACCCAGGCAGAGACACAGCAAGTCCAGAAGGAGGACCTGCTGGCCAGATCCCCAATGTCCAGACCAATGGGGGCCAGAACCAACAGGGCAAGCCCAAGAGGAAGCGCTCAGGCTCAGACTCCAAGTCAGGGAAACCCCGCAGAGCCCGGACTGCCTTCACCTATGAGCAGCTGGTGGCGCTGGAGAACAAGTTTAAGTCGACACGTTACCTGTCAGTGTGCGAGCGACTCAACCTGGCGCTCTCGCTCTCCCTCACCGAGACCCAGGTCAAGATCTGGTTCCAGAACCGTCGCACCAAATGGAAGAAACAGAACCCAGGAGCGGACACCTCTGCGCCGACCGGAGCAGGAGGACAAGGGGGAGGAGGGGGAGGTAACGGAGGGGGAGGCCTGGGAAGCCTTAGCCCGCTGAGCCCCTCACCACCCATCAGTGGGCACCTGGCCATGCACGCAGGCTACGCCGGACACCATCACCCCCCAACTGGCAGCCTGGTCCAGCTGCCATTCCTCACCGCCAGCCACGTCCTGTCCCCCTTCATGCTGGGGACGCAGAGCTACGCCGCCCCCGCCTTTTACAGCACACATCTGTAGAAACACACACACAGACACACACACACAGACTGACGTGTTCAGTGTTTGGAAGGACTGCAGCTCCGCAGACAGACTGTCAACACTCATCTCTTTTTACTACCAACATTTGAAGGCTTTAATTTCAGGATTATTTTGATAGAATGTGAATATTTACCAGAAACTGTACATAAATCTACCTTCTAGCTCTGAATGCTGTTTTAAACAACCTACTAGACAAATAGTTGATTTCTTTGTTTTTAAAAAGTCTGTATGAATATTGAATGTTTATTTATGACTTAAGGAATGGCTTGATCTATCGTCAGTACCGTGTATCTCCAGCTGTGACTGTTTTCATTTCTGTTATTTATTGAATTTATTTCCATAAAACTCTTGGATGTACTGAATCAGCGCAACATGAAATCGTCCTTTGATATTAAAATAATGACAATTAAACACTGAAAACGAGCACACTCAGCTTTTTTAACTGCTTAAGAAGACGGTAAGTTGGTTTGGAAAGGGCTGGAGTCGTGTTTTGTTTTGTTGACTTGTTTTTGTCTGTTTGTCTGTTCCTTTGATAGACTGAAAATACGATGGTGTACCCTGCCTCTCAGTTTAAAGTACCTGGTGGTCATTCTTGATCGATCAAACTGTGTTGCTCCATTGCTTTTGGGATAAACTAGCTATCCTTTAAGTCATTTCTGAAGCTAACCTTTGTTGTAAACCCAAAGATGATGAATTGTCTGGGAGAGCTCCACTAAACTTTAATGTCAAAGAGTTTATGTTATGTTTGTCATTATTGGTCGACTCAAACAGCCAAATTCTGTTGAGGTAAGACCACACAGTAAGAGCTTGCAGTGTCAGAGTCCATCAACCCAAAAACCAACCATGTAGTGTGTCATAGTGATTGACAAGCAAGGCCCCTTCTTGGACACCCTCGCCCTCCTAACAGAAAGTCTATCAATCAGTCAGTTTTTATTTATACAACACCTAACAACCAAAATTGGTCTAGACCAGACTCTGAGGACCTAAGGTTAAGACGGGATAAGCTTGAACCCCAACAGGCAGAAACCTTGAGCAGAACCAGACTCATGTTAGACGGAGATGAACAGAGGTGAGACTGATACACGTCGCAGCTGGATATAAGGCTGGTCTATTGGGTCTCCATTAAGTCAGACACCTTAGAAGGAGTTGTTGCCAAACACATGAACACATACACACACACACACACACACACACACATACAGCACTGTTCTGCCCTGCCTGCTCCACTGGCTCCCAGTGATCCCACCTCGTTCCTGTAATGCCTGTGACTACCTCTTGAACGCAAACGTGGTCCCACTATCACGCCTCTGTGACACGTGTTCTTTAATACGAAGCATTACAGCAGCATCATCACCATGATTTGTTGAAGCATCGTGGAAAAAGTTTATTGGTGGAGTCCAAGTCCAGGTCATCAGCGCTCAATTTAAGTCAAGTGATGAGTTTGACTCCAGTTCAAGTCATGTAGAAGGCTCAGTGTGAAAAGTTCACTGTTTACTTTGAGTACAAATCATTTATGACATGCTAGGTGTTTATTTACAACAAGGAGATTTAATGCCCAAAGAAATATAAACAAATAAAAACATTGCAAGAATATTCAACCACTAGACTCTACTAAAAAGTTATAAAATTCAGTTAAATTCAGTGTTCATGGTACAAAGGCAGTATTCAATATTATGGCTGATGAATGAGACCAAACTGTGCGTGTTTGGTCCCTGGAGGCAGAACACAGTGGTTACAGAGTGTTTGTGTACAACACCACTGCCATAAGAGGTGTCCACACCGTGTCCAATGTTGATAAAAATATACAATCAGACACAGTGAGTATGACAAAAGAGACACTGAACTGTTGAGCAGCTGAAATCTAAACCATGTCCAATGCTGGTATCAAATTCAACATGCGCAGATATTTTCCTCTTAATACCATTTTTCAGCTTTAACATTATAAATATTGTCTCTTCTCCATTTTCAGTCAAATAAAGGCTTTAAATGTTTGCAAACCATCCAACTAAGTTTCTATCAACATTTAACACAGCGTCCCAACTCGTGGATTTAAAGGAACAAAAGCTCATCTTTTCATCTTTGCAGCTGCACCTTAGTGTTTTAACATCAGTATAAATACTTCCATCATGGTCAGCACTATTTTCTCATCAATAAATTATTTCATTTTGCTGTCTTTTCCTGAGAGGAAGAGTAAAAACAGTCTGTCTCAGTTCGTTTAAAGGCATGTTCAGCTGCTTAGAGGTCAGTTCAGTGAGTAGTTGAACTGGTTGGAGAACTTCTCGTGTTTCCTGCTGTCAGCTTTAGCCATCACGTCAGCCACTCTGCGCATGGCGCTCCTGCAGGAAAAGACAAAAAAACATAAACATATTTCTCTGTTCTTGACATCTTTGATATGATGACTGAGCAGGAGGTGACGTACTTGTTGAAGACTTTTTTCTCCAGTCTGGATCTTGCTGTGTTGGCGTTCTGCTTCAGGTCACTGAGGTTTGGATATTTCTTCTTCTTCCCTCCTCTCTTTTTACCAACCCGGTCAGAGCCCAGGTCTTCTCCTGTCGCTGCTTCGATGTCTCGCATCAGCTCGGCATCACGCCAGTCTGCAACACAGAAGAAGAAAACGTTTTTTTGCTTGAAGTAGATTTTAGATTGTTTATGGCTCTTGTTTATTGGTTGTTTTCAGTACTGGAAGGTTGCTTCTAGGGGTCTTAGTTTCACTGTAGAGAGTAAGTACCAGAGAGGCTTTATTGTGTTTTTTTTTTTTTTGATCAACAGATCTTTAGTTAACTAAAAAACATTATGATGTAAGCTAGTAAAAAGTCAAACTTTGTCAGGTCTGTGCTCAAGAGGAGCAGAAAAGAACTTTGACAGGTTTGTTCGTTGAATAAATTCCAGTGTCAAGCATTTAAGTTGCTCTGGTAAAGATTGTTAGCTGCACTTGTGTAAAGATGCCTCACTTGAAAGAACAGAAAGTACATATGAATGATAAGTTTTTCTGGTTACAGATCTGGGTTACAGCTTCAGCATGCCACAGGAGTAACAAAGACTGGCCTGTATATCGCTGTCTGTGATTTCAGACATTCTGCTGACATCTTGTTGACAGTAGAAAGAGTCCAAACAGGGTAATAACAAAACACAACATATTTTGACAGCTTGAGTAATGTTGAACAGGTGTAGAAAATTCTTATTTAGGGTGGTTGTTATATGCTCATGGCACCAAAATATCTGAGGTGTGCGAGTTACACAGCTCTACCCCTCACATGACTGGTCATCCTAACAACTTGTATGCAAATATGTGTTTGTAGAGATGAATTTTCCATCATTAGATTACCTTTGATGGGAGCTTGGAGGTGCAGTGGATTGTATTCTGCCACTTTTGCTCTTCATACTAACTGTCTCTCCTGCCTTTTTATGATTGATCAACACAACTCACACTCTAAATGTACAACACATGGAAACCAACGTGTTTCCAAGATCCAGGCCGCCTGTTTAAGGCATTACCTCTGAATAATGGGAGCACTCTCAGTCCGCAGGCCCATCAGCTCCACAGATATAACATTTGTATGTATACCCTGTAAAAAGAGTCTTTGCAGAACCCTTTTAAATACATATTTTTAAAGGAGCTGTAGTTAAAACCTAAACAGAGAATAGTTACTTGATATCATTTAACAAATGATGAGAAAAAAGTCCTAAAAACTGGAATAATGAAGTCAAAGCACTGTCTTTAAAAAGTGACAGAAAAGAAATATAAACTTGGGACCAAAGAGCACAAAAAGGCAAGTATTTCTGAGAGTCACAGCCATCTTTCAACTACCTCAAATGATCGAGACTTTTTCAGGCAGCACTGACTGGTTTGATTCTTTTATTTGTTAGTTTGATCTTTCCTCTATAACCCTCTCACTGCTACTAAAACAAACTAAAACTTGAACAGAAACTAATGTTGAGGCAGCGTGTAATGAAGTAATTACAGCTGATAACGTAAATGAGCTCACAGCTTCTCTCTGGCGGTAAACAGAGTGTGGGACGGCCTCATTTGGATCGAATTCTGGTGTTAATGAAAAGTGTAATGTCATAATTCTGGGCGATAAAGTAAAAGGCGGCTGTAATGCAGAGTAATGACGGTCTAAACGAAGAGACACTTCTGGTTAATGACGAACCGCCGAGGAATTAGAGATAAACCTGCAGTAATGCAACGTAATTACACTGTGAGTGTGACGGGCGCTCCACTCTGTCAAAACACTGACCCCAGCCCAGTCTGTGTGGGTCTGCGTGTGAATGTGTGTGTGAGAGGGTTATTAATCAGCCAGTCTGACCCCGGGTCTGACTGGACCTTCAACTATCCCTCATTACACAAACACACACACACACACACACACACACACACACACACACACACACACACACACACACACACACACACAGGCAGAGGAGCAGACCAGTAATTGAAAAGCAGCTGGTGTGTTTAGGAGAATCATTACTGCTAAAAGAGGAGCAGCTGCATTTACATTGTGTGTGTCGAACGTGTGCGTCCTGACCTCCACCGCTTTGTTGTTGTGATTTTAGAGGAGTTAGAGAAAATGAAAGTTAAGAACAAGAAAAATACGAGATTAAAGGAAAGAAAATACTGGTCAAAAGGAGGGGAAAGAAAAAAAAGAGGGAGAGAGAAGGAGACGGGCTTGCGAATTTAATCAGTGTTGCAGCAGGGCTCTTTTCTCTGTCAACACCTCATAGCCTGTCCAGCTGGGGTCAATGTGTGTGTGTGTGTGAGAGAGAGAGAGAGAGAGAGAGAGAGAGAGAGAGAGAGAGAGAGAAAGCAGGGGCCACATCACACACACATCCACGAAGGCATCAGGGGTCTTTGGGTTGTTCAGACGTCTCTCAGATTCACACCGCTAAGCACAGGGACTCTGTGTCTGTCAGCTGCTGACTCTCTCATGTTTGGTTTTATCTGTGTGTGTGTGTGTAGGTTTGATTTACACTGATCAGCAATAACACTATGATCACTGACAGGTGAGGTTTATCATTGATTATCTCTTTGCACTGTCACCTGTCACTGGCTGGGGTATGTTAGGCGTCATATGAACACTTGGTTTCTCAGAGTTGGTGTGTTGAAGCATTAAAAATGGCCCAGTGTGAGGATGATGAGGACTTTGGACCAAACTGTGAAGGTAAAGCAGGGCACACACACACACACTATCAAACAACTGTGCTGATCTTCAGTCCTTTCTTTTTCTTTCCTTGGATCTGCTCTGTGGACAATCAAACTTAGTATTGTAAATATCAAATATGTTCAATATTTATGAAGAACAACTTGTTAGCCAATCAGAAAGCAGGCTGGCTGGAGAAGCAGCAGCCATGGCATGTGTAGTAAACGGGAAGCATCGACTGAGCAAGATGTCAGAAAAAGACATGCTCAAGTAAAATATACCACAACTGAACTGATACAGGGAGGCTCTAAAACAACTACTGCAGTGGATGAACCAGAAAACTAAGCAGCCAGTAAGGGTTTGTCTTCCTTTTCAGTCCCGTTAAGAGATTTGTAATAGTGGTAGTCCAGTAGCTGGTGGAGAGTCCTCGTGTGTTGTTCTGTTTTCACTACATTGTTTCAAACCACATACCAAAAGGAACAAAATTATCAAACCTGCTATCATTTGCTGTCAGGTGTGGGGTCTCTGATGTTTTCACAGTCGTTTAAGATGTAAAATATCTTTTAGTACGCTTTTGAAAAACTCCAGCACTTTTGGATGTTCCAGGTCTACAGGCGTCAGAGCCGACCAAAAGCAGTCCAAAGAAGATAAATCCTGTGGAGCACTGACTGTGATCACCCATGTATATGGTAAGTGAAAGGCCAACCCTTTCTACTGTTGGGTGTTTGAATTATCTCTTGACTTTACAATCAAGCGGGAGCACGTCAAGTGTCCTTTCAAAATAAAAGCATGTTATATTTTTAAAAACAGCAAATAGGGTACTCTCGGCACAAGTCAGGAAAAACGAAAACTATAGAAGCATCACGAATAACAGTCTAATGAGGTAATCTTTTTTCTAAAGTTTGAAACTAAACATCCTTAAAAAAATCTAGAAAAATCACATCATGAACTGAGCAACATGAATCATACCTCAATCATCATATTTCTTAAAGACAATGTTTCCAGCAGCAGTAACAAGTGACTTTCTGCCCTCTGTCACTGCAGGTCCAATCAACATTTACTTCACACAACCTGAAGCATCTTTACTCACTGTCTGTTTAACTAGCAAACATGTGTGTTTGTGTGTCTCAGTAGGTAGACCGAGCTGAGGTCAACGGTCCATCAACTCAGTCAGCCCCCCAACCTGCTGTGAGATTGATGTGTGTGTGTTTATATCTGTGTGTAAAGGTGTGAGATTGACTGGCGGATCAATAGTGGAGTTGGTAACAAAAGATGCTATTTCACAACTCACTGGACTGCATGCCGCACACACACACACACACACACACACACACACACACACACACACACACACACACACACACACACACACACACACACACACACACACACACACACACACACACACACACACAGAGAGAACTGGAGGTTAACAAGTCTCTGCAGGCAGCTGGTGGACATCCTGCAGACTCTCACACAGACTATCAGCGGATGATAATGTGAAGAACAGACTGTTTTTTTTCTCCTTCACAAACGGTTTGTTCTCTGCACACTGAGCTCTGATGGACTTTATTATTGTTGGTGCACAAAAAGGAAAATATATCATGACACCACATCTGTCCATCAGTTTCTCTGGGAGTCTTTAAAGGCATTTATACCACCTCTAAAGTCCACTAAAACCAGTGGACCAAAGACTCTTCCACTCTAGTTTATACCAAGACTTCAAGAGAAAAATCACTGAATGACCCACAACAACTAAGACAAATTTTGACTGAAAATAGAGGAACAAATCTTTGCTCTCTTTGCTAAGACATGTAAGGCTTTAGCCTGGAGGGGCAAAAAGAGCTGAATAAAATGATGTCTGGTGTAATGGAGTAATATTCCTACACTGTACACATTTTCTGTCAGGTTTGATTATTAAAACAATAGACTGTATATACTCTGGACAACTTGGTTCCGCCTTACGTCATTGTACAAATTTGAAGCCGAATTGCTCTCGGTATTGCCGGGATTTTTCTCCACTTCCTGAAACCACCACTTGCGCAGTAACGTTGTACGCACAGAAAAAAGAGGACTTGAGCACAAACCAGTCTTACAGTAGTTACATGTCAACATCGCAAACAGGGGGCAGAAAAATGTATATTCTGTGTAATAAATTTCTAAAGTTTATCCACAACTCCATAGGGATTACTGCAGGAGGCGAGGTTTATGACCTATACTGCAACCCGTCACCAGAGGGTGCTGTTCTTGCGGTGACTTCACCCAGCAAGGAGGCAGATGACGTCCATTCTTTATACAGTCTATGGTTAACAGATTCTTAAGGTAAACATATCATTTATGTACCGATGTCAGTCAACAGGACCAATATTTGATGTCACCATCGCTCAACCGATTCATCATTGCATCCTTGATGCTAACTCAGGCAGTTGGGTATGTTCACCAGTACAGGGCGTTTAAGTATTTGTTTATGATGATTCACTGTTGTTTCCAGATATGGACATGTTGAAGCAGAGGCATCACTTTTCTCTCTCTCAGTGGAGGCAAAAGCCCACACTGAATCAACATTTCAAAACACTATGCAACACTAGTCTGTAGGGGGGGGCTAAGTTTAAACAATGGGGCGGTTAGAAAATAGCTGTAATCTGTTAACTTAAAGCACCAAGGATCCACCTTAAAGCTCCTGTGAGGAACTGTAGTCTGGGTTAATTTTGGCGCCCCCTGTGGACAAAGCAGTCAATGCTTGTCGTGTTCTCTAAATACTTGAGTAATAATTTTGACAAAAATCTTATCCTGTTGATTTTTACGGCTGTGTGGATGATGCATCACTAAATGTGAGAATTTTGTTTCTGCAGCTACTTGGCAGACACCTACCTCGCAACAGCGGTGTCAAGCAGGAAAAATTTTGATAAAAATACAGTCAGTCATGTCATTCATGGTCCTGCCTGCTTTTGGATATTATAAAAAGGCATCAATATTGATGTCAATCTATTTCACGAAAAACTATTATTTTTGTAGCTTTAACAGTGTTTCTGGATGCTGCTTAACTATAACGGGACACAGAACCATTATAATGCAAACAAATAAACTGAAGATTTGGTCCCATTTGAAATAAGGATTCAAAGATAGCAAATTTGAGTCTGAGTTTCCTCACCTGGCTGCTCCTCCCTCTTCCTTCTCTCCTCCTGCTGCTCCCTCAAGCGGTCCTCCTCCCTGCAGGGTTTCCCCTCCTGGTCTCGAGGGATAATGGGGCCATGGAAAGGACACTGGAGGACGCAGAGTCACAGCTCAAACACAAACAATTAAACATGAGGCATGAGTGAGCTGTTTGTGCATTACCTTGTGTCTGTCCTGCCTCGGACACAGCTTCCCGTTGCCCAGCGGAGCGTTGCAGTGATGGCTTACTGGAGTGAACTTCCCAGGGAAGGAGATGTACCTGCTCCTGCTTTCTGCCAGCAGCTCCTCGTTCTGGACTTCCTCGTTCACCTCAGCATGAACCCAGAACTGATGCTGAGAGGCCGCCCTGAAACAAGAAAGACACCGCTGAGAGTTAAACACAGCGAGCTCATACCCACATCTGAGACTGAACCAGTGTTTATTTATCTTGTCTTAAAATAAATGTAGAAAATCATTCATAAAAGAAAACAAACTGCTATAAAAGAGGATTTATCTGGTTAAACATTGACCCCACAAAGCAAAATGTTTAAAACTTCTGACAGCAGGAGAAGAAGGAGAGCATGAAATGTGATTTCCAGATGCTGAGCTTATTATTGTGTTCTATGAGGGAACTCAGTGTAGATATTAAATTTCTTCACATGCATGAAATACTGAAACAAACGCAGTGACATTCAGTCAGACACTAGATTATAATTTTTCTGTTTCCACTATAACTCAGTTTTCTACAACTCAATGACCTGTACAGATGTGTGTGTGTGTGTGTGTGTGTGTGTGTGTGTGTGTGTGTGTGTGTGTGTGTGTGTGTGTGTGTGTGTGTGTGTGTGTGTGTGTGTGTGTGTGTGTGTGTGTCTCCCAGTATGGGATTGTGTGTTTTCCTGAGTGTGTGGAGTGTTTACTTGATGATCTTGCCCGCGTTCGGCTGCTCCTCGCCCCAGTAGTAAAGGTCCAAACCAAAGGGAACCACAGGAGTATCAACAGCTTTCTGGTCCGAGCTGGACTGGGAAGAACTGGGACCAGAGGAACTGCTGGAAAGACCAGATAAAGAGGGAAGGTTCAACCAGTTTAACATTCAAATTCAGGGTCTGTAGTCAAAAAAGAAAAAAAATGAGACGTTTCTGAGGATTTTAATATTGAAACTTTTTGTACAGTCAACATCATCGAGAAGGCGGGGCTACTCAATTATAGAAATAATCATAATCTCAATTATTTTAATTGGTATTGACATCACGATTATTAAAAACAATTACCAAAGGTTAGAATACTGCATCACACACATTTACACAACTGCAAACCTTTTTCAAACTTTCAAACCATCCAGTCACTTCAAGTCTTTAAATAACATCCAGACTTAGGCTTGTATTTTGTTTTTTGCGTCACATGCTAGTTGTTCACATTCTGTTCCTTGGCTTTTCAGACACACACATATACACCCACCTGCCTCCTCCTGCTCCTCTCCTTAAAGTTTTTAAGTCTAATGGACACGTGCCATGTTGAGGTCAATTCATAAGCAACTGTGTTCGGTAACCGTGATCTTACTTTCAATTAAAATAATTGTGATGATGGTTTTTGCCATTAATGCACAGCTCTAGTGCCAAATACAATGTATGAAAACTGAAGTTTTGCTCCAGTAAGAAGTTGATAAAAATCTTCTCATACATTGTGAGCAGTAAAAAAATATTCATGAGTGCAAAATAGATCATTTACCACATCTATGCAGGTTCACTCATTGATTTGGTTGCTTTGTGAACTCTCTTTTAAGATCGACCTTGACTCATGTTTGCAACGGAGCTTCTGATTGGTAATAAATTTGGAACACTGCCTCTGATTAGTCAATAGACTCAACCCAAGGCACAAGAGTATGGCTTAATGGAATGCCAGGAGTTTTCAACAAAGAAAAATAGAGAAATATCCACGCTAAAAACATGAAGTATTTAATTTATTATCACTGAGAAGCACTGCAGGCCAGATAACTCTATCAGGGTTCTGGTTCACACAACCAGCTCCTCCCTGGATAGTCTCCTTTTCTCTGAACAGACTCCATACTTCTGCTACAGCAAAAACAGCACCCAAAGTGTGAGCTAAGTAGTAAAGGAGGTGTACCTGGGCTCTGCAGGTGGTGGAGGGAGATTCTGTCTGAGGAGGCGCAGTGTGGCAGCTGCACATGTTGGATCCTGCTCCTCCTCTATCAGACGCTTTAGCCGTCTGGAGGAGGAAGAGGGGAGGGAGGAGGAGGGTGGGGGAGGGGGAGCTGCAGGTCTTTTTGCAGGAGGCTTTTTGGTGACAGGTGCTGTTGAGGTGGAAGGAAGTGGGTCCAAACCTGCAAACAGACAGAAGAGGAGTAAAGATCAGAGGAAAGATCTCATTTTAAAGGTCTGAACCTCTTCTGGCAGCACTGAGCGTGTGTGACAAAATTTTACTCCATGAGGAAACAAACTGATCCCAAACCTTTAAAAACACTTATCTGACAGAGAAATAAGTGATAAAACACTGTGATGAATCTTAATCATGGGCCTTGTTTCCTACAAACTAAAGAAGACGTCAAAGATTGTAAAAGCAAACTGAAAACATACCTTTTTAGTCTTGCTTTTAACTAAATTTTATATCATTAACTTTGAGTGTTTTAGCATTTATCTCTTTCTAGTTTTGATTTCAGGATCGTCTTTTATTGAGCTATTTTTGTGCTCTTATTTTAATATCTTTTACTGTCGTTTTTTTATTTCATTTTATTTATTATTTCTTAAATTTCATTCTATGTTTGTTTTTAGATTTTAACCTAAACCTCCAGTGTTTCTTTATCTTGAGTTTTAAAATGGCATTTCCTCCATGCGTACACTCCTTTTTGGTTCCACAAAATCAAGCCCTTTTTAAGTTTATGCATTTTAATACTGTTTCTGTTGCAATTAGATCGTGGGGTGGGAATGAGGGGTTGGATTGGGGTAGATTTGGGTATTTTTTTAATCTTGGGTTGGGATAGATTTGGCTATCCTTTGTTTGTTTGTTTTTTGTTGATTGATTGAAATCCCAAACAATTGGTTTATACACACGCAACAAACTCCTATACATTTCCCAAAGTCTCCAGGGTAACCACAAGTGGGAACACAAACAGTCAAATTCACCTCAATTTCGCCCGACTTTTACACGCCAGCTCTCTGCTAAAATTCCTGCTAAAAGTCAGATTAAGGTGATGTGAGTGAAATATTAAGGTAAGGATGAAATATTCATCATCCATATCTTAGGCAGACATAAAATAAATTAGAGTTTTATTGCTAGTAAAATTCTAATTTTATCTGAAAGTACAGCTGAGTGTCAAGACTTCTGGGTTTTGCTTTGTGTAATTTGATATCAGGTACATAAAGATAGGGATGGGGACAGGTAAGATTTTATGGACACTGTTATTGAATCTGTATATCCAGCTGACTCTCTATGGATTTTCTTATCAATACCTGTAAAAAAGAAGTCTAAACAGGTCTTCTGTGTCAGAATGACCTCCTGGCCTCATGAAGGTAGCATTCTGTCTTTAAAGCTGATATTGTCTTCTGCCCGTCATGACTTGACTCCCTGGTTGTTGTTGGCACTAACTGCATCTTATGTGGCATGTCATCATTTTGCTCAGCACATGAAACTAATTCAAAGGTATTGATAAGATACCCGCTGAGCATAAAGACAAAGGATTTCAAACTTTGTTAACATGCTCAAACTAGTTGGAACTGGTTCTCATCCAGCACTAGCTCTAGATTCCCATCCCCATGTGGAAATGTTACATAAACCCAGTTTACTGGCCACATGCAGATGTTGATGTCAGGGGACTACAAGCCACACGAACTTTAAGCGAGTGTTTACGTCATATTTTTGCCTGTTTTACTCTCATTTTAGTTGTTTTCACTGTTTTGACATTACCAGCAGTCATGTTATGGGATGTTGCTTCTCAGTCCAACTGCAGCATGTCACGATCAGCAAAGTGACATCCATACTCCCTTTAGAGCAACAGTATATTTTCTACAAAGCCTGGAATAAAATATACTGTATAATCAGTTGTAGTTCATGATGTCAGATTGATTGGTTTGGTTGCTAACAGATGACTGTAAATCAGAGATAACTGACAGAGACATTTTAGGAAGAGGAGAATTCTGCAGAAAGATTCAATCAAAATGATTGTTCTGCACGTGTTTCTGTGTGTGGTGTCAAAGACCAGGTTTAGCAGGGTCTCTGGGGACTGATCGGGTCTTAACACACTCTTGCACACACAGAGACTGCAGGTGAGATCAGAGCAGAGCAGTAAGCTGACATGCTGATCCCTCACATTATTAGAGCTGACCTGGAGGAGTCAGATTCACCTCCACGCTGCACTGAACAAACGATTTTCTCTGTACAGTTTAACACTTAAACTCTGCTGCTCTGCGAGGAGAGAAGGACGGGATCTCTGCATATTTTCTCTGCTGCTTTAATTACAAAAAACTTCTTTTTCAAATCAGTCAAACCAGCCTTAATCTATGTATCTTATGAATTTTCAGCTTTATTATTGTAATATTTCATTTTTGCGATATTATTATAGTCAATTTGTCATTTTTTTCTTGAATTCTTAGGATTTTTATTTTCTAAAACATGGTCCTCACACTTCATCTTAAAGCTCCTATGAGGAACTTTAAGTTTGTGTCAATTTTGGCAGTCCCCTGTGGACAAACCAGCATTTTCCTATCTTGTCCTCTACATGTCTGAGTAGTGATTTTGGACAAAAAAATCTCATCCTGTTGACTTTTGACTGTCAAATGTTTCATGAATTATGAATATTAGATTTGAGAAGTTTAAAAGCAGGGCTGATTCTATAGCTGCTTGGCTGATGCCTGCCCCCTTGCAGCAGTTTCAGCTGTTAAAGATTACTGAATAAAAAATCTTGACTTTGTTGCTGACGGTTTTATTTGCTTTTATGGGTCATGAAAAGGCTTCAATATATTTTCAGCCTCAAACATGGAAAAATTCCCTACAGAAGCTTTAAGTTTTGGTCTGTTTAATGTCTATAAACTCCTCCCAGGTGCTTTCAATAACCCATATTTTAAATTTAACAGATAATTAAATTAAAAGTCTCGATAATGAATAAGACAATAAAAGGTAAAGTGAACAAGATATCATTACATAAAATAACAAAAAAGTGTTAGGGTTAAATCTGACTACATTTTACAAAATATTCTAAGAAATTTAGAATTAAAGTAAAAAAAAATATATATATTATTCAATGCTTTTAAAAAAAAATTCTGATTAAACATTTTATTGAATATAATAGTTTGAACAAACATGCTCGGCTAAATCTCATGACTGAATGGTGTGATTTATTCACATAAAAGCCTTTTATATGTCCATATTTTTTTTTCTATTCAAATTTATACAATATTAAGATAATTTTCAGAATTTTTAAGAATGCAGTAATGAATTAATTAGACATGAAATAACATTTCTTTTACTCTCTTGTGTTAAAATTATAATGATACATTTTAAATAAAGTTATACAACTTTTGATTATGCTGCAGATTTCTATATTTTATTATTTTGTCCATTCAATGTATTTGTTATAAAATGTGAAAAAAAAAAAACAACCTTGTTATTGTGTTATGGTACAATTATAACGATTAATAAAAAATAAAATGATAAATGTACAAAGAAGCTAAATAAACCTCTGCACCACATGATGACTTAGGTGTTTAGAAACCAGGATCTATAAAAGCTTGTGAAACATGATGCAAACACCATCATTCAGGCACAATTTTAATTAATGAAGTTCATTGTTGAACAAAATTCAGCAAGTAATGATCTGATATCCAGCCATCATTTTTATTCCTCTTCTTCCACTGTGATATCTGTCTGTTTGTCTGTCTTTCTCTTGATTGTAAAATACCGACTCAATCTGCTTTTCTCAGAGCACAAATAGCAGAGGTTTGTCTGGACGCTGTGGACGTTCAATATGGGATCAGATCAATGGGAGGAAATGTGTTTGAGTATAAGCGAGTGTTTGTGTGTGTGTGCGTGCGTGCTTGTGTGCGTGCGTTGGGGGTTGTTAGAGAAATAGAGAGAAGAAAGGGGGTTAAGGGGGTTTGAGGGAAAGAGAGAAAGAGAGACAGCGAGAGAGGAAAGGCGGAAAGAGGTATTGATTTTCTGGGGTTAAGCAGGGCCTGTAATTAAAATGTTAATTTGAGAAAGAGAGAGATAGTGTCCTGACAGCACAGAGGGGGATAAGAGGACTGATAATCAGAATGACAGAACAGGACGGAGGGCAAGAAAAGGAAGAAAGAGAGGAGGAGAAAGAGAGGGGGAAAGATGGGAGCAGAGCCAGGATTTCTCTGAATGAACCAACAGTGAAGGAAAAAGAGGAAATGTGAAGAATTGATGAATGTGACTGAAACAAGCTGAGAGACAGAACACAAAGGACGGTGAGAGAGAGACTTTTATACAAGTGACAGACAAAATTCATTCATGTGTCTGTCTGACAGCTGAGGAGAAATATGAAATATCAAACACTCACAGAACAGATCTGAAAAAATCCACATTTCTGTTAGTGCTCGCACTAAATATCTGTGTAAACACTGCTATGATTTTAAATGTTTCCCATCTTAAATAACAGAGGCCCAAAAAGGTTTAGAGCTCTAGATTTGACTGCGCTGTAATCTTAAAGGCACAGAGGCGAAGTCAAAATACGTCCACTAGATGTTCTTGATTTTGTCGCTGAGTGGCTTGGGGATATACCTTTTAGTTTGAGTTAGTCGGTGTGGACCTCATATAGAGGTTTTCTCATATTTTGTTAGTTTTCAGTCTCAGGGCAAATGACAGTTTCTCCATGCAGCGTACTTTAATGAATAAAGCCATCCAGTCGGTCTTTAGTTGTGGGTTTTCTTCAGCCATTTCCGTGTGATGGCTTTCGTGCTAAAACCAGAGGTACTTATGAGGGGTATTTATCTGTAGCTTTGTTGGGAATTTTACCAGGTACAGATATCAACTTCTAATTCAAAACACCTTATTTATCGCAGTAAAATGCCTTTTTTCAACCTAGAATAGCTGCAGGTTGCTCTGTTCAAATCCACCAGCCTTCATTGACAAAAACTGTTTCAAACAGTTTCAGAACAGGCCAACGTAAAACATTCACATAAAGGAGTCAGACACATTTCCCTTCTGCCTGTTGACACCATGGCAAAATCATAAGTTTTCGTATTAGAGCGAGGACAAGAGGACAATTATTGAGCTCAGATGTGAGAGCAGCCTGAGAGGCTTCTGGACCACAACCATCTCTGACAGAGAAAAAGTGGAGCAACATCCTGTTCTGCAATCTGTGCACTGGAAAAAAAAAAACATTTCCAAGTTGCTGATCTCTCCAAAGTAACTAAAAACCATGAGCAGCAGTGAGAAAAGCAACCGTGTTCAAAGTTGTAGCATTTATCACATTTATGTTTAAAGCCTCCAGAAGAGAGAGAGCTGAAAGAGGTTGAGCGAGGCTACTCTACTTCACACTGAGGTGCTGCCCACCACGTCAGGGTTCTAATATACATTACCACCCGTTCACTTTTATTTATACAATTTTTTGAACTGTTTAGCTAATTTAGCATTTGTCTTTCCTTTATGTTTGTCTTAGTTACGCTGTATTTTATTTTCATGTAGCACATCTTGCAAACCATTTATATATTTGTTGTACTAACTTTCTCCTGCTCCATGATGTCACCTCTGCCAACCTTACAAAACTAACAGTTGATTTTATTTTTCCTGTATCATAGATTGGACTTCATGTTAGTAATTAATTTGAAAAAATTGACACTTGGTAAATGAGACAATATGATACATCACCAGACAAAAAATCCTGATACTATGCTGTATCGATTTTTTCTCCCACTCCTACCTGACATAGTGTACAAGATGAATTTAATAGCTAATTGTTCGTTGGTATATATATTTTCATGCTGTGCACAGACAGACAGACATGACACATCCTTACAATTTCTGCTGAAAGTGAAAATAGAAACAAGGACGCAAGAGATGAATGAACACAGGGTGGGAGCTGGTGCAACACCAGCAGTTCTTGAGAGCATTTTACCCTCAGCACTGCAAAATATTTCAACCAGAACTTGCTCATCATGGCAGCTCATCAATAAGAAACAACACAGCAGAGGTTTCTGTTTTGAGCATACACTGTGACATTCAACCAAACAGTCTAAAGTTAGGGCCATGCTGTAGGAGTTCAAAATGGACCAGGAACTACTGCGCAATTGTGCATGATCTGATTCCTCCATTACTGGTTCAACAACTGATGACCAACTTTCAAAATCGTCGTAAGTTAAGTAGTAGCTATAGGACGAGGATCGTCAATTTCTCCTGATAATGATGCCATTATTGAGGCTCCTTAATGGTTTGAGTACAGATAGATACTACTATAAAAGAAATTAATAAATAAATAAAATTTGAAAAAAAAACAAAAACACTAATAGGTATTTGACAGAGCTGACATTGCTTTTATTGCTGAAGCGACTGTTTCTGAATGAAATAAAAAATTCAGCCTTCATAAACATGCCCCATTAACTAGAGTTTGAATTAGAGTTTGTGTAATAATGTTAAACAGGTTATAATTCCATCCATGATATGTACTAAATATCACTGTGCAAACAAAAATATACACAAAAATTTGTTTTTTTATTCTAATTTTTCACCAAACTTGGTTGTTCTCTTTTCTGTATATGACATTTGAACACATCATGATAACATATTATTTATTTTGGCCTAGTTCTCATTTTACCAACCTGACCCCGAACACCTCCCACTGTAATCGTGTATCAGCTGGATTCTTAGCTTACTAGCCCTTTTCTTGCTCGTTTTAAGATGGATTTCAACTCTGTTTTATAATTTAAATCACAGAACTTGCTCTAAAGTCTGGCTGTGTTTATCCCAGCTACTTTGGGTGAAGAGGAGGCTGACAGTCCTTCAGCAGCAGCAGCAGCAGATGGAGTTGCAAAGAGTTGATTTAAGCCACAGGCAGTCAGAGGTACTGCAGGTACTTTGGCTTGATTTGATGCACAATACTGATGTATTGACCATGGAGGTTGCGTTTCCCTTCCTTCAAAAAATTATTCTACAACATAAATGACATTTTAATCCATCTCTGTCTTCGGCTTTGGGGGCTACACTGTGGACCTCTTCACAAGTTCAAGTAAAACTTTATTAGACATTCTGTTAATGTGTGTAAACCACTGATTGAATTCACATCATGTGACTTGATTCGAAGTATGACGTTACTTCATGGGACACATCAGACTATCTACACAAGAAGAATTGACAACATCAAATGTTACACATGTTTGGGTTTTAAAAGTTTCAAAACCATCCACAGCTGCAGCTCCAGTGCAGGTTCTGTCTCATTTCAGCCATGCAGCTCCTACTGAAGGAACTATAATCGTACGTACTTATTAACCTCTAGAAGAAAAAAAATTGAAAAACTGAACCCAAGTGCAATTATATTGGACCTTTGAGGCAAAGTGGAGGAAAGATCTGTGAGTGTGTGTATGTATGTGTATGTGTGTGTGGTAAAATCTGGGTGCAGGGCTAATAGGGGCTCATTAAAGAGGTTGCATTGTTAATTTGGTATGGCCCCTGTAGATCATTACCTAGCCCACTAATCACCCAGACACACACACACACACACACACACACACACACACACAGGGCTGTTTTGGGCACATCAGATACAATCTAATTACTTTAGTGTCTAATTGATTAGTAATGGAGGGAGGTGGGAGTGTAGAGGGACGTCGGGCTCGCAGGTGAGGAAGAAGCTCACGAGTATTGACTCAGGAGGCGGGTGGGGAGGACTCCCTTGGGGTTAAAGGTCACTTCACAGACACAAAAAACATGGCTGACGTTGCAATAACAGCCCCGTTTACAGCATGTTCGTATATGAGTGAATATGAGTGATGGTGAGAAGCTGGCTGACGGAGCAGAGTGTCCCTGCTGCCTGGAGCTTAAACGTGGCTGCTGATGGTGATTTGAGCCTGATTTCATATCTATTATTTACCATCAGAAAAACAACAACAACAACAACATGTTGTTCTGAAGCTGACATAGCAATAAGAGGAGCAGACTGTCAGTTAATGATCCAAACATTTGACCTCTAACCTCCTGAGCTGCCCACAGGGGAGACGACCTCAAAGCAACACAGAACAAAACTGTAACAGCCGATCATCTGCAGCGCTGTGTGTAGGTGTGAAGGTAAATGGATGTGTTGACAAGACAATATCTGTCAAAGATACAAGCGGAAAAACAAAAACTATCTGTCTCCATTACAAGTCCAGGCTGCATTCAAAAGCAGACAAGAAACAAACACTCTACTGTCAGGAGAGGTGTGTGAACCAGGCTGGAGCGTTAACTCACCGGGTGTGAGGTTCACTCAGCCATTTCTGGCAGGGTCGTCTTTGGTCTTAATTTCCTAATCCTTTAAACTAAAATCCAAACGTTGCTCCAGTTTGACCAGAAAGCTGGAGGAACAGGAACCAACAATACACAAGAGCAGCCTTTGCAGAAGTCTTTGACCAACAGAGATGCTTCAGTATCAATCATCAGTCCCTCATTACGTCCACATGATGTTTAAAAGAATCAATTTATTTCCTCCGTCCAGCTGAAACTGGACTTTTCAAAAACGTGTAGACACATTAGTCTTCTGACAGAAATCACACTAGAAACATCTCATAGTTGGACTAACATATGCTGGATAACGCAGTCGAGGATCACTTTTCTTTCCAATGTATACAACTGAATCAGACTGAAAACGGCCTGAGCGTCATGCACATGCACCAGTGTTTTCACACCACGCTTTAAACCAGAAGTTGAATCGCATGGATGACTTGCTAGGACGCCAGAAAGTCAACAAATTCCTGACAGACTAAGGAAGGACGCAAAACTTTCCTATCACTTCAACAGATGGCACAGAGCTGTAGAAGTGACTGTCTTCATCATTCTATGTACATCCCTTTAAAGACCCACTTTGATGGAAATCACGTTTTCCCTGTTGTCTACATGTTCATATGGCTTTTTTTCTGATGCTACAGGGCATATCATGAGAAAAGTAAGTGTGAAATTGCATTTCTGACTATTTCTGCATTCGAATCGCTGTGAATCTCTGGTAGACCCAAACAGCAGGTTTAGGCAGAGTGAGATTTCCTACACAGCACATCCAAACTCCGCCCCTGAAGCCCCGCTATGCAGGCCAGACTCTGAGAAGTAGAGAGGACGATTGCAGAACAAACGTGTACGTTAGCGGATTGCAAGAGCTGAATAGCCCCTAAACCTGCTACTTCTACTGTGCTATGTTAGGCAGCAAGCTAGTGTGAGGAGTAGTGTGAGGAGTAGTGTGCAGAGCAGCGCTGTCTCCACCCACGACTCAGAGGCGAATTGCTAATGAGCTACTGGAGCTCTGCAGAAGAAAAGCCTCTGAAAATGACAAAGGTAGCATGATTTTGGCTAATAATAATCACAATTTAAAGACCACTGAGAACACTTTAAATAATAAAAAATTGATCAGAGTGGGACTTTAACCTCTTGCTGCAGAAGCAGTAGCTCAGACTTCACCTACTATATATGACTGGAGTTCAGCAGCAGACACAGACCACACAACAGTCAGTAAAACAGATCATGAAGACATCTTATTTCTAAACGGTCGGTATGTGATGAGCTGAGATCTCAGTTGTATATATGATTTGTTTTGAATCACTACTTAAAAACATAACAAGTCATAGACTAAATCTCAGCAGAGGTATAGAGGTTTTTCTTTGTATTATCAGTTATTTGTCTTGTTAAATGTTTTGATGAAGAAAACTGAGCTCTACCTTTGTAGGCAGGAGTCTGTCAGCTGTTATGAACACTTCTACATTAACAATCAAATCTAAACTTTTATACCAAGTATCAGGCTGATCAATAATGTCTGTCAGGTTTGAAAATGTGACCTGATTTCTAATTTCACAGAAACTTTACAACTTATGAGTAATTTAGGATTGTGTCAGACACAAAGTGAAAACATGTGCTGTACAAAATCAGCAAAGATAGAAGACGTATCACTTCACCCAAAGGTGGGCCAAAATCAACATTAAGAGTTTCTCACAGCAGCTTTAGCGAAGAGTGAGTCTTTTATATCAACACAGGAGCAAAGAAACTCCTGCAGAGGCTGTCATCTTGCATGGCCATGTCTCTATGGGCGCAAAGAAAAGACAAATTAGCAACATCTGTGCTTTGGTATTGGGTAGGTGGCCGTGTCTCAACTTGGAGCAGGTAACACATTTTGGAGATTTGTGGATTTGATACGGCATGTGCACATTCAGAAAGTTCTCCTCTCTCCCCTGGTTTCTACACATACACCCTAAAAAAGGAGAGCGAGAAGTGTCACTGTGCAAGGATGAGATTTGTGTGTTCTGTTTTGGTTTGTAATGATACTTGATCATTCCTGCTCAATGTAGTAGAAGAGCCTAAGAGTATGAACAGTGGTTAAAGAAGAAAAAAGTTCACTTTTTAGCACAGCATACATTTAAATGCTCAGATGTTGTAAGGACATGCCACTACTCCTACATTATTACAGAGCTATTCCAGTAAACTTACAGGTGAACAAAGCTGCAAAACTGGGCTTTGTTTCTTTGTAAGTTTCACCTATCATTAGTTTGTCATTAAAGATTCACAACTAGAACAACAAAAGTGGATTCTTAGGTAAGACTACAGGCAGTAAAATAAATCTCTTTGGAGGCTTTTTTCCACTCTGAAAATGAAGTGCCCTTTTCTTGCAGGTTAGCAGCTGTGAGCTGTTTCCTTTGAAGGGTGTGTTTGTTTGTGGAGTGTGTGAGTGACTCTTAAAGGATTTGGGCAGCAGCAGGTCCTCTTTTGAAGCTTAACCCTCACTATTTATGCACGTGTCTGCAGGTTTAAGGTGCACACATGTTGGTGTGTGCGTCTGTGTGAAGCTGGACTCACCGTATTCAGCTCGTAGATGCTCTGGAATGTGCGGCTCGTATCCCTCTTTCTCTGGGACCTCATCAAAATCATCATCATCGTCTTCCTCATCCTCTCCATCTGCAGAGGCCTTCATCTGGGAGTGAAAAAAAGGGTAAAAAATGAGCCTCTGTTCATATCAAATTAGAAAACATGAATCCAGCAGAAATGTGCAATGCATGGACAAGAATGTTCTTTCTTCTGCCTTAACATTTTTGTTTGTTTGTGCAGAAGTGTGAACCCAGAGGCTGGTGGGTGTTTTAGTTTTTTAAGCCTAACATAAGATCATAAAGATGACCAAAAAAATCTGAAGGGGCAAGGCCCAAAACCAGTGTTTAATGGCTGTTATCTTTGGGACTTTAGGAAGCCCTGCATTAAAAACAGACGAGACTTTGTCATGGAAATCACTGCATGGGCTCCAAATCCTTACAAACTACAGACCATTCCTGTAGTTCTGGGAAATCATGGATGCCACACCCTTAGCTATAGAGAACAGAGAGACCACCCAGCTTGTTCTCAGCTCCTAGTTTAAATCTTCATCTCTGATGGTTCGGGGATCATCAAAGTTTATGTCATGGGTATCTTCCAGATCTTTGAAGGCTTCATTAATGCTGAACAGTATCTACAGGTTTAGGAGCAACATCTGCTGACATCAAAATTAAGACTTTTTCAGGGAAGACCTTCATATTTCAGCAAGTCAATGACAATCCACATTCTTCAGGGATTACAAGAGCATGGCTCTGTAGTAGAAGAGTCCTGCTGATAACCTGGCCTGTCTGCAGTCCTGACCTGTCACTCAGTGAAAATATTAGCAGCATCATGACACCAAAAATAGGACAAAGGAGACCCTGAACTATTGAGCAGCTGAAATAAGTCACAAATGGGACAGCATTTCACTCTCCAGACTCCATAAAACTGGTCTCCTGGTTCACAGTGTTGGTAAAAAAGGGACACGATGGGCAACACAATGGTAAACTATATCAACATATTTTAAACCTCTTTTAAACCATCAAGTAAAAAAGCTGATGTTTTTTGAGGTATTTCAAATGACAACAATTTGACTTTCCACATCTGGTATGTTGTTTTTGCTCTTTATTTAACACTCAAATTTTAACCATCCTTTTTTTTTTTTATCTTGGTTAACCCTTCTTTTTTTAAATTGGAGTCTTACGTGCCTAAAGACACATTTAAGAAAACAGTGAAAAAAAAGTAAATTCATTACAAGCAGAAAATCAGAGAACAGTGATGTCAAAATGTTTCTCCTTCATTCCTTTATACTCAGGGCTGCGTGATCTCTTCGGGGATGAGAAAAGAACAGAGACAAAAGCGTGTGTGTGTGTGTGTGTGTGTGTGTGTGTGTGTGTGTGTGTGTGTGTGTGTGTGTGTGTGTGTGTGTGTGTGCGTGCATGCATGTGCTTGTGTGTGTGTGTCTACATGTGATGAGCTGCTATCAGCACTAAGCAGAATTTATGGTTTTTAATTTCCTGGTGGGGTTGTTAGCCATTCGCTGGGCTACAATGCAGAACACAACACTCATATACGCACAGGGGTCATTTCCATAACACAAATGTGTGTCAGTGTGTGTGTGTGCGTGTGCAGTGGCTGCTCTGCCTTTAACAGCTGAGGACACACACTCTTCAGTCTAGCAGCATAATAATCACAGTGATTAGCGTTATGAGGAGCCATAAAACCTGACGTTAAGCTAACCTCTTATTCCCCAGGGCCTCTTTTTCATTAATGTATAATACCTGTGTGTGTGTCTGTGTGTGTGTGTGTGTGAGAGAGAGAGAGAGAGAGAGAGAGAGAGAGAGAGAGAGAGAGAGGCTGCTGTGTTGCAGCTGATAAAGCCCATTATAACATCAGAATTAGTTTACAAATGATGAGTCCTGATTTGATGACTCAAACACACCCACACACACAGAACTGAGACATCGGACCGAGTCAGTTGACCGTGAACGCACTTCTCGATCCGGCACACAGGCACCAATTAAAACACCTCATATTACACAACTCACTATCCCGTTAACCAGCAACTAAACAATTAAAGCCTAATTAGTTCTCATTAACGCAGACTGAAACCTGCTGGGTGGTCTTAAACCTGAGGACGGAGTCTCATTCGTTAAATACTACAGGATTTGATGATAAAACACAGTTTCAAAGTGGGATCAGTTTGAACAGAAACTCTGGTGTTATCCTCACTCTGTGGTGTTGAGCAGTGTCATTGTGGAGAAGCAATTACTGGGCTGATTTGGGTTTCTTAGAGATATGGCATTTGAATTTTTGGTCCAGTTCCTGATTAACATATAGACCAGTGAAAAACCTATTCATCTGGACCATCTCCAATAATGAAAATCAAATCTTAAACAGTTACTGGCTCGTGTTTAATGTAAACTCTGTCATGATTTGTAGAATAATGCGGTTTAATTTGGCTTGGGACAGAAATATTAGTCATGTTTTTAACCCATAACATGTTTGCCTGTTTTATCGGTTCTTAAAAAATCCATCTACAACATGCTCCTGGTGAAGATAAATGCTAAGATTTTAATGAGTGTTAAATAATGAATGTACAGATGACTCTTTGTTTTTTTTTTTTCATTTGAACCCCAGTAACTTCTGGTATTTTTGTCTTTCTTACTAATTCAAACCGATGGACAGAAATCTAAAAGTTCCTTGTGGCAAAAGTGGCGTTGATAATAACTATAGGTGGGTTACATCACCACTTTATTCAGATGAGAATTGAAAAAGTAGCCAGGCTGGAATAATAATAAACATTATGACCAGAATAAAACTGTGATCTCACTGGAATTTGAATGTGTTTTGTTTTCTGATTTAAAAGACACATATGGACACACTCTGGTTGTAATCTGACGGTAGATTGTGAGCATGCTTGTTTGTTGTCAGTGTGTAACTGGTTGGAGAATTTAACGAGGACCTTTTTGAAACATCATTACAGGAATTTACCTCAGGAACATTTAAAATATTTGAGTTTTTGTAACCTGTTTTCTCGTAAAACTGATTTTGATGTGTTGTCTCTTCTGGCAGTTTTATCACTTACCCTGATGAGGTGAAAACATCAAGATTGAAAATAGTTTTTAAAAAGCAAATTTACAAATGAAACACTACTTTTACTTTTTTAAAAAGTGACTCTATTCTGTACGAAAGGTACCAAGATAAAAATTAGGGTGTTATAACCAAAAATGATCCTTTTAAATCAGAGTTAAGACTTTGCACAGAGTGAGGATTGATCTTATTTATTCCTTGAAGAAATGCTGAGGAAATGCTGTTTAAACCAAAGAGGGAGATTTTAAACACTAAAGCAAACTTTCTCCATTACTCCACTCTACTGCTGCTCTCATTCATCCCCACAGTACAATGGATTCACACACACACATACACACTCACACACAGATATAGTCTCTATAGGTTTTCTGCTTGTCTACTTTAATCCCAGCTGGTTTATTCTGCGCTGATCAATGGCCTCGGACTAAGAAGTGATCACCCAGCCGGAGGAAAATCCTGCCCTAACATCATCCCTTTTCCCCCTCTTTCTGCCTCTTTGTCTCTAATTCACCTTAATTTAATCCTGATAGCATCGAGCGCTGTCGGCCGGCCTGGCAGAGCTGTAAGTCTCGCAGCAGAATTAGCTTTCCTCCAGAAACATTTTGCTGACGGGGAGCGCGGCTAAAATATGGCCTCTATTCCCCCACATGGCTGCACGGGGGGCTGCTTTGCATTTTAACAGAGCTTTGGTTTATTCTGTGGGACACACACCAGGAGAAAATCACACACTGCTGGAGATAAAAACTGCTTCTAACTGGAGATTTAGCAGACAAATTAGAAGTGATGCTTAAAGGAAAGCAGGGCCATGTGTCACTGTAATAGGAAAAAGACAAAACAAATATTGGGAACTTTAACTTTAAAAACACATAGATATAAACGATAGGAGTAAAAATAGTTCCTAAAAAGAGCAGAATTAATAAAAAATAGGTAAAGTAGGGCTATGTGTTACTGTAATGGCAATGTTTACTCAAAGATAAAATAAAGCAGGCTCCTAAAAGGAAAAATAAGTAGTTCTTTAACGACCAAATAAAAGAGATCTGTTGAGGGAAAAGGGCCATACATTACAGGGACAACAATGCTGCAGCTTCAGTGGGTGCTGAAAATAAAAACACCTTCAACCGAACATTAGAGGGACTCTGGACAAAGAAGTCCAGGGACAAATGTATTTTAGACTTTGAATATGTTTATATAAACCCTGGCTCACAGGGAAAGTTTTATAAAATATTCACAGACGCTGAAAATGTGAGGGAGCCCACACATGACAGCAAAGAATGACAGGTTGTGCAACAATATTACCAACACAGAACTAACAGATTAATTTATCAACAATCAGAGTCCAAACAATGTAATAGGGGTGTGTGCATTTAGTTTAGTTCACAATAAGCCTGCATTGCTGGTCATGCATGTGTCAAAGCTCGCTTCTGCCTTCATACTATAGTGCTCTACTACCTGAATGTAAACACACACAGCTGATGGATGGCATCCCATAGCACAGAGTAGTTTGACAGTATTTCCAAGTAGAACATGAAGAGAATGTTGTATGAAGATTGTCTCTCGTTAAAGAGCAATTTGTGACATGCACAAGCTGTCAGAGTAGTTGGTGGTGCTAGCACTGCTACTTTGCAAACCAACAGTTGTTATGGTCCTCAAGGTTTTTGATGGTTTGCAGTGTCCTTGTTCTTTTGTCCAGCGAGGGTCGCCATGCTGCATCATTTCATACTGGTGGATTTCTGCTGATGACATCCGTAGTGCCTCAATCAGTGATTCCCTGCCAGCAGTGTGATTCTGATCCACCGCTCAGTCCCCCTATGCCTGCCTCTCATTATTTTGCATTTACCAATCCTCTCCTGCTTTTAACTCTTCTAACCCTTCTAACCCCCAACCCTCCACTATGTTTGCCTGGTTCTTCACTGACAAGGTTGCTACCATCAGTAGTCAATTCTCTGAGCCTCAGCTTTCCACCACCAGCTAGTGAGTACATAGCTCATTCTCTCCACTGAGTGAGAGCAAAGTCACCAGGCGTCTGCTTGATCTCAGCCCACAACCTGTCCACTTGATCCGATACCCTCACATCTCCTGCAGGCGATTGAGCCCACAATCGGCCGTGCTGTAACAAACATCATCAACTCCTCTCTGTCTACTGTTTTCCTCCTGCATTCAAGCAAGCAAGGATCAGACCATGGCTCAAAAAACCCACGCTCAGCGGCGCACAGTTAGCATAGCTGGTCAGCGCGACCCACATATGGAGGGTATAGTCCTTGCAGCAGTCGTGGTTTCGAGTGCCAGCCCTGACCATTTGTGACCATCTCTACCGAAGCTGCACTTTTGTCGGTAATAGAATCGTTGTGTTTGGCTGTAGCGGCTGGTCAGTCCTCAGTCCTCTTGCTGCTGGATCTGTCTGCAGCATGCCAGCAAATCCTCCTCTCCACACTCTCCTCACTCGGTATCTCAGGGTCTGCCCTCAAAAGGCTCAAGTCCTGCCTTACAGGGAGATCTTTTAGAGTATCATGGAGGGGAAGAGTCCAATATGCATGGCTTGTCAGCAGTGTTGCCTCAGGGCTCGGTGCTTGGTTCCCTCTTTTTTTCAATATACACCACATCACTTGGTGAAATCATCCCCTCCCATGGCTTCTCCTATCACTGGTATGCAGACTATACTCAGCTCTTCCTGTCTTTTCCACACAACTGTCTCAGCTTGGATCTCATCCTGCCTCGCTGATATTTTTACATGGATGAGAGAACGTCACCTTCAGCTCAACCTGTCAGAGACTGAAGTTAGCATTCCAGCCAGTGCCACTGTGGACCCACAGATCAATATCCAGTTTGGATCTAATAAACTCATGTCTACCTGGAGCCCCTCATCCAGGTCTTGCATGCTACCAGTAAAGGTATCTGTTACTTCCAGCACATTAAGCCCCTAAATTACAAGCCCGACTATTCTCTTCTGTTGTCCCTAAATGAACTATAGAGTCCCTCTCTACTTTCAAAGACAGCTAAATACCCGCTCTTTACAGACCAGCACTTAGCTAGACTATTCCACTGTTGTCCTCAGAGGTAGAAAGAGTCTTCCAGCTGCAGTTGGCTCTCTCTGGCCTTCTCTACTTCTGAGCCTAGCTCTTTGTGAAGGACCTAGCACTTGGTCTACTTCGGTCATTGTTGTTGTGAAGAAGGTTTAATTGATGGTAATGGTGTGAGGTCTTACATTGATGATCAGTTACTTGATTTTTTTCAGTTCATCACTTTATACACTTTGTACATTACCTTTAACACCTATGGGACTTGAAGCACATTGTTACTCTTACTGATCTTGTTTCTTTTTGTCTAGATCCTAGCTTGTGTTGTTTTTGCTCTTGAATGTACGTTGTTTTGGATAAAGCATCTGCTAAATGACATTGTAACATTGGTCCGCTACTGTTTTCCATTCACCCTGATTACTTACTTGTTGTTATTTGCACAGATTGCCTCTTTCTTATGTTTTATGTTCACGTTTAATGTTAAACAAAGAACTAATTGCATAAATAAAGGAATATTGAGCTTAAGGGTAAATGATGTTGATGGCTCAGACTGGCTTAAACTGGTTCTGATCCGCTTCTAGACATCATCACTTCAACTCAATCTTTATGACTCATGTTGCAAGTCACACATTTGTTTGTCATGTGTAAATGTACGGCATCAAACAGATTGTTTGCTGCACTTGCACTAATATCTGTTCAGGAGGAGAAACTGATTTATGGGTTAACATTGTGGTGGACTGTGTCCCACCTGCCTTTGCTCTTCATTCTGATTGTTTGTATGCTGAAGCCTGCTGATACCTGATTGGTCAATACAAATTGGACTTCAAATGTTCTACAAATGGAAACCAAAACTCTCCCCATGCTAAAATCAGTGGAATCTATGAATAAAGATTAAATCAGAGTAAAATTAGAGACTCAAATGGGCTGCTCCTTCTACAGGTGTCTTGCTTATTCAGCTTCTATAGCGTCTCCCCATCTTTTCTCCCCCCTCCTCCCTCTTAAATAAGACTCTTATCCTTTATAAAATGATGTGAGGGCGCCGCCTCGGACAACTGCTCCCCTGACTTCATTTGTCTCTTGGCAAGTTTGATGGCGCTGCGTTTAAAAACCCATTCAATCTTATAAACCAAAAATTAAATGTAGTCGACTGTGATGGGCACTGAGTGCATCTGCTATTTATATGCTAATGTACACTCAGCCTGCCAAGGTCTGGCAAATTATTACTGCACAGCCATAAGTCAGGTGTATGGCAGAGAGGGGAGGGGGGCAGGTTCATACTCACACACAAGAAGAAGAGGAGGAGGAGGAGGAGAAAACAGAGCAAGAAAGGAGGAGAGGAGGAGAACACGAGGAGGTGAAAGAGCTCAAAGAGATGTCTCTATTGTCTCCCCTGACAAGTTAATATAGCTCTCCACCTGGCTACACACACACACACACACACACACACACACACACACACACACACACACACACACAGAGTCTAGATTATTTGGTTAAACATTTAAGGCTGAAATGGGAAATGTCTTGTGGGAGAACTGATTGTCTCTAATGTCGCCATTATCACAGACATTTCCTTTAAGAGAGAGCAAACAGTTAGCTTAATGAACACATTACACACCAACACATTTATAAAGACACAGTCATCTCCCTGAGAATATTACACATATATTATACACACACGCACACACACAAATATGAGAAGTTAGGGTTTGACTACAGACTGAACTATTCAGCTGCACGCCTATTGTGGAATAAACTACTTACCCTGACAAATTCATACTTTTAAAACAAAGGTTAAAGGTCGTGTTTGGAGCTGGCTGACGACATCTCTCTGTGTCCGTGCTAATAAACATTCAAGTACCATGGGTGGTTATTGGACTTAAATCCTTCTCTTTGGTGACATAGTTCCCAATTTCATATTTGTAGAAAAATAATGCATAAGAGTTTTTTTTTATTGTCTTAACCCAATGTTGTTTTCACAATTAAGCTTCTACCAACCTTTGTGTAAGCAGCATTTCAAAAATCTCAGATTACACAGCACAATTATAGAATTGACCTTCTGGAAAGATCATTTGAAGATTAACTGTTCGATATTACCCCTGCCAAAGATACCCAAAAATCTACGTATTAAAAGTTTTCTTAACAGCAATCAACTACAAACAGTTCAGCGAGCACAGTCGCCAACTTCTTTCATTCAGTTTCATCCACAGGTCTGAGGTAATTCACACTCCACAATAGCTCTCTGACAGCTTTTGTGATGCACTTCATTGCTGACACCAGTCTGATTGGGTGCACCTGAATGCTTTGCCCGAGGAACTTTTTTAGATGAAGTGCACATTACTTTTGACTTGCTAACTGATCTTGGAAGGTTTTTTTTAAGTGGAACACGTCTTTCAAGAACTCAGCGATGGTGTTGTTTCTATTACAGCAGCAGAAGAAGAAAGCCAGAAAACTCTGTGGTAGCTTAACCACATGGTGCTGAAGTAGACACAGACCATTTGATTGGAAAGTGCTCTTTAGCTGCTCAGCCGAATACGTCACCCCAGTTTGAGGCATCAAAAATGACACGATCAAATAAATCAATCTCGATCCCTGATAGTCTTGCTCGCCTTTGTATGTCATAAAAAGCGTCAATATAAATTTCTGTTTATTTCATGAATGTCATCAACGAAAAACAATTTAAGCCTGTTAAAAGGAAAAAACACAAGAGTCTTTAGAGCACAAACCTTCATTTTTACTCTTGAATTATACCCGAGCAAACACAGCCTGTTCATGCCTGAAGCAGGTTATCAGAGCAATCCAAAGTTTTTGAGCCTATTTGCCATTACAGCCATGTAAAAAAGGCCAAGTTTTAAGAATACAAAAATGACCTTTTTTCATATTAAATGTCAGATAAAGTCACTTCTTCATCTTTTCAGGTGTTTATATTTCAACTCAGCGGATAAGAAGACCTCTACCACTGAGTGATTCCAACATTTTACAAACTAATTAGGCCTCAAGCTTCAGTGGAGTCTGACCTGTTCAGGGCCTGATTTGCTGCAACATCCCACATCTCTATTACCGCCTTGCTCTCCTATTCATTACCACCTTGAGAGGATCCCATGGGATCCCACATTAATGAGAAAAAAACCTCTCCACTCCCCTCTCACTCTCTCTCTACAGCTTCTCCCCCTATTATCTTCCTCCACCCTCTGCACCCCCAAACAGGCACGCACAGACGCAGCCTTTGTCTCGGGGGAGCAGTCAGCTTATATGATGTGTAGGGTGACATCTTTATTTCACTAACCTTGCCTGGCAGGTCTATTAGCCAGCCCAGAGCTTCCCAAACCTTCTCCTGTCAGACAGCTTATTCTCAACTGTCCACTTCAGTTCCCCCTCCCAGCCTGTCTCAATCTGTGATCAAAACAGTCATTATGATGCAGTCGCGCCTCCTGACACACTCAAATTACAAACTCCCACTCTTCATTTTAGCCAGGAACGCTGGGCGAGGATATCTGTGAGGAACGTCCTGAGGAGGAGCAGGGGCCCTGAACAGACCAGGGCTGGGGGTTTGTGATGACCAGTTTTGCCCTGAGAGATAGGACTGGTCCAAAGATCTGGAGGATAACAAACAAATCAGCCCCCCACCCACTCCATGTTAGCCCCAGAGGACCCATCAGTTCCAATTTGGAAACCATCTCCTTTCACATTATCACAGAGTCCTGATGGGACCAGATGGATCCACGGTGATTTACTAAATGTTTCAGTCTGAATTTTTTTCTATCCAATAATGTTATCTCCTCACACCTTTCTTTGCTTCTCAACCTCAGAAATAGTATCTGCTGAATATTTGATCTAAAAAAATACTGCTCATTTCTCCAGACCTCAGGTCAACACTCCAGACTAACTGTACTTCTACAGGTTTGGGGATCCTACGGGTAACTAAAGCCAAACACACTTTGTCTTTGTCCATTTAAGGTACAGCAAATAAACCTCACTCTAGAAATCACGATACTTTATGGAAACTTTTTGCTCTTTTTGTTTTTCTAAGTGTCACTTCTATAAAGTTTTAATCCCTAAATATTTCCAAACTTCCTCTCCGGCTCCATAAACTAAAGACAAACTGATCCAGTAATTCTCAGCTGTGCAATAAACACAAAGCAGACACTCAGTATAAAGAACTTCTTGAGAGGGATACAAAGACATAAAGGCAAACACAGCAACAGAAAAACATATTTCTGCTGTACAAAGTGAGAGTGGAAGACACATTCAGAGAATGAATGTACAAATGAAAAGGAAGGAGTGCAGGAGGAGAGAAATAGAGGGATAGTCTTTCTTTGTTTATCTGCAGTGAGAAACAGGCGGCCACATCCATTGTGCTGTGATAAGATGGGTTATCAGCAGTAAACAAGGCCTGGGTCTGTATGAATGGAGCCCGTAGTGACTGAATACACTCTTAAAAACAGATATGTTCAAATAAGTCTGCATGTCTTATCCTTCCTTAAACACAAGCCCATGTTTTCAGTTAGCGCTCAATGGATGCATGTTAGAGTCTTCAGGTTTTACTGAACACTCCTTAGACATGTTCAAGAATACAAACACTACAGGGGGCAAGGATGATGTAGTGTTATCTGCAGTGAAAGAGGCGATCACATGAAAGACTTGCATAAAATCTGAAATCATGTCTCTAAGTCAAAGGTCATGGAGCGCTACAAACTAACCACACAAACAATCAGAGCTACAGCTCTGATACCCCGAGCTGACTCAGATTTAGGTACATAGACCAGGGCTGTCGCTTTTTTATCAGAGATTCAAGCATTTGTTCAAGCTTGTGAGGAAAGTTAATATCTGAACTTCAATCAGCTACTTAAATTCAAATTATACTATCTGTTTGTGCACTTGACCATTAGAAGGCACCGTTGATCTCAGTGGATTAATATGATTGATGATTTTCTACAGAAATGTGGGATGTGTGCAGCAATCAAAGCTGTTCTGAGCTGACATTCAAGACACCAACTCATCTGAGAAGCTCCTCATGGAAGTACTTTTGGTTTCTACACCACAGAGAGCAGCAAGACAGAAGACAAAAGACAGGGTTAGGATGCCAGTTTTCTTGTTTTCTTCTTGTTGTGGCTGGATTACTATGGTGAGATATTAGTTTAACATATCTTTGTGTTTTATTTATTACTTGTCATAATGATTGTCAAACTTTTGTATGTCCGTTTGTTATTTTTGATTTGTGAAACTTCAACAATATTCAAGTGGAGACTTTAATTAAGCTTTCTGAGCTGCTGTTGATTTTCAGAGAATTTTTTTATTAGTGAAAAACAAATAATAGATAAATAATTATAGCAGAGCTCAGCTGTTACAATCTAAGATGGCAGGGATGCATTCTCTTTTTGTTAAATTATCAGTAAATTTGATGAAAACTTCTTCTGATGAGGCAACACAGCAGCTACGACAGCTTACACATCGACTGCTGAATGTCCTTATTTGATAAAGCATACATTAATTATTTATGGTACATTTTGTAAATGTTGTTTGTCTTGTTTTTTTTTTTTTTTGTTTCTGAAACAAATTGATTGTCTAAATAACAGCCATGGGTACATTTCAGTACAGGAGTGACTTGGTGTCTTTTAGCATTGCTATTTGCCATAATGAGTTTAAAAATATCGGCATATCAGGCAGTAATACCCCAACACCAAGCCTCCCTATCAGGTGATACTAGAGAAAGCTACACAGCTGCAAAATACTGAACATTGTGGACATTGTGCTGAATCGTGATTGTGATAGGATGATAAGCCATGTTCATCACACATTATAAAAATTTCTGCGGTATATAGAAAGTCATCCATGTGTTTTGTAAAGTCTCTGATGAAGTCTATCAAAAAACTCTTTAAAAGGGTGCAGTCAGTACAGTGCTGGACAGTGTTAGCCATTTCATATCTGTGTATGTTTCATATAGTGCTCAAATTTCACACTTTTCTGGATATTTTTTTATGTGTTTACTGTATTTGAGTTGACTAGTCTGAGTTTAAACTGACTGGAAAATTAGTCTTAAAGGAACTTCTCCCCTTCTAACACTGGATTTAGATTCTGCTTGGAGAAACTAAATGAAAATATTTGATGTGAAGTAGCTCTACTCTGGAGTTTTCCTCAAACTGTAAGGCCACAGCTTCCCTCATAAACAGCTGAGACCATCTGCGGCCTGATTCAGACAGTTTAGGTTTTTATTGAAAGATTGAATCAATGTCAAACATTCAAATAGTTCAATGCTGAATGGGACTCAGTCATTAACAAAAAAACACCCTTTGCATTCCTCGATGCTTCTTCAGCCATCCCTCCCTCTGAATGCCTCTCTCATTCAGTAAACACTCCTCTCTATCTGCCTCTATAACACTCCCCCTCTCTCTTATACTGAGAGGCCCGCTGAGAGAGAAACCAATCGTGTGGCGTGTCAGCGGCCCGATAGAGAGGGACCCAGTAATGGAAGGCCTTTTAAGGCTAAAAAGGAAAAGCTAATTATGATAAAGGGGCTGTAAGTTGTGTGGTTATCGCGGCGCTGGGCCTGCTGGTGCAGCAGACTGGTCCCTGACAGTGATAACCAGGCAGAGCGAGACGCCCGGCGCTCTGTCACTGTCACTCTGCTGCTCTGTTCGCCTAAAGATGGATTCACACGCTACAACTTTTATGCTTTTTTTTTTTCATACAGCACTTTGCATTCACTGGTTCTTTAAAAACCTGCTGCTGCTTTTTCTTTTCTTGATCTTTAAGCTGTGAATATCTGTAGAAGTACCTCGTCTACAAAACAATCCAGCACCAATTAAACCCTCTCAAATGACCGATTAGTTTCAACTGAATCCCTTCATCACAACAATGATGTGGCTACTTTTTCCTGCATTTTTAATCAGCTCAAACAAAACGCAGGATCACAACGCTTGGCTGGCAGACAGATTGGCAGATTGACATGTCAGCTGTCAAAGCCATGGGGCACATTAGTGTTCCTGAAGGGGATGAATGGATACATCCTCCCCCCTTACTCCTCAGTTTCTTCTCTCTGTCTGATGCATTATGCATTACAGCTGCGCTCTGCTATCTCACCTCTCCCAAATGTCTCTACTGTTAATGTTTCTATCCTCTCTGTTTCGCTCTGTTGTGATACTTCCATCTGGGAAAACAAAGAAATGAGTGACCAGAAAGACAAGCTTTTAAAAGAAAGAAAAGGAGGAGGACACTTCAGAAAGCTTTCAAAGAAAAACAGGACAACAAAACATCTCGAGATAAATGTTAGAGGTCCATCACACTATGGATCAAATAACCTGCAATGAAATACAAACATTTAAAGTAAGGAATAAGAGGAAATCAGTGTAAAGACAATTGGACAGCTTAAAAGAGGCATATTTACCAAATTAACCTGCTAGTTTTTTGAACCTATATGACTCACATTGAAGAAAGTCAAGTATGATCTAACGGTTGAATACACCTCAGACACTTCACACTGATGGAATAAGTTACTGTTATTTGTTTTTCGTGAGCTTCAATGAGAGATGTCTTATAGTCTCACAGTTTGAAACTTTTGAAAGACTCTCTACCTGGTTTGAAATCAAACTGAAGGAGCTGCAGTTCCTCTACAGGTCACTAGATGGTGCAACAGAAACTATCACCAAACCTTTATTCTACTCATTATTAGGAATAAATATGGAGGCACAAACTTTTTGGATTTGATTTTTGATTTGTTGACTGACTTATTTTAGATGGAGTACTTATTTCTAATCATTTGCAAACATTTGTGTTAGTTAGAGTGATGTGATTGGATATTACAAAACATGTGAGTTTTTTGTTCTTTCATTTGAAGAGATACTGAGTGGGATTAATCTGAAAGCTTTGACAAGTACTGTTTGTGAGAGGCTGTAGCAGTTTCTAATCTATAACTAGGAGAAAAAAAAAATGAGATTATAAATCTCTTTTTTAAGAGTGCCCGGCCAGGATAGGTAGGCTGCTGTTTGAAAGATGCTAAAATATGTGAAGAGTTTGCCAAAAGTTTATATGTGGCTATAAGGTTACAATACAGAGATTCATTCATAAAGATGTTCCTGTCCAGAAACATGTGATAAGTCTGTTGAAACAGTCTATAGAAATGTACACACCCTTACAAACACACTCACTTGTAAATGGTTGACTGTACAAGTTTTACATGCACATGAAATGCTGTTCTTTCCCTAATGAAAAAAGCAGAAATGTGTGAAGAGAAGAGGAAATATCCTTCAGAAATGTTTGAAAAACTTGCTTTAACAGGAGTAAAACAACGTTTTATCACAGACTATAAAGTGCGTCAACTCTCTGGAACAATCCACCCCAGGAGACCAGACTAGTAAGGTCCTCATCCTCTTTCAAACCTGTTTTTTAAAGACTAATTTTTACACTTGATGGGTCTGAGTTGAATGACTTTTAGCTGTGTTTTCATTAAACTTGTCATGTCATCCTTTCAAAAAGTCTGAGTTTAATCTTATTTTATTAAACCTAAAGTTATTTCAGTTGACTGTTTTGGCAGTTGTTTTAATGTCCTCTTGGTGGTTTTAATGTAACTTCTTTGACTTTCTAGTTTTATATTGTTAAGTACTTGAAGTTTTTTTTAATTATTATTATCATTTTCATTATTATTGTTATGTTTGTTTGCATTAGGCTCGGTGTGGCACTATAAAAAGAGTAAGAGAGCTTTTAGGACCAAGCGCCTGTTTTTGACTTCTGATTGGTAGGACAATGCTGCCACCTGCTGACCGCTCTCTGTTCCTGCAGTCCTCAGTGTTGTGTGTTGTTTAGTAAACTGTGACAAATGAGTCAAAATCTACTGACCATAAGTAATCAACCTCAATAACTGACTGCTGCAGGTGCTCAAGATTTACAGTGTCAGGGTCTGAGCCGAGGAATGAGTTTGACAATAGTGCGCTAACGTGGTTACACATCCACCAGGTGATACTGAGGTAATTACTCGTGCAGGTTACTTGATGCACTTTGAATCAGCACATCTATGAGTCTCAGTGTTAGACTGTTTTCAGCTTACCACTCTGCGGACTCTGGTCTTGTAGTCGATGTGAAGTTCTTTGTGTTTCTGCAAGGCCGCCTCTAATGAGCTCTTCAGATCCAGAGCTTTCCGCAACAATTGCTCGTCCGCGCCCGCTTTAGTAAACACCTGCACTCGCATAAAAGAAAACACACACAAACACACACAGAAAACAGACCATCAGAGAGTCAAACAGGCAGGCAAGAGAGGCCGATTTCATTTCCTCAACAATCAGTGAGAAATAAGCAGCTGCTGTTCGGTCTAGTTTTGCTACTTGCTGTACAAATCATGCCTCTGTTCTGTTAACACACAACACAGTTGGTGTTATCTAGTCCCGTTCTGTGGAAAATAGATGACTTAAGGCAAAAAATGTATTTGGTATTGTTTTTGAGTTTTGACACAGGAACAATCTCATTTTGTTGCATCAACATTCCTTTACATCATTCACAGAGAATACTTTGATTTTGCATCCTTAGTATCCTTTATTTAACGTCTCCCATGGTACCTTTACATCCAAATTTTACATGTTTCTGATATAATCGTGAAGGTTTCTGTTTTGAGTTTCTACTGCTCTCTTTGTTTTGTTTGTGATGGAGTTCTGATGCTTGGTAAACTAGGTCCTGTGAGGTTACAGTGTCATTTAGCAGACGCTTCTGGCCAAGGCAACATAAATTTGAAAACATATTCAACACAAGCAAGATCTAAATAGAAGGAAAAAACACCAGTATGTGCCAAAAACTGCTTTAAAGGGATATTATGGCGTAAATTTAAGTTAGGGTTAAACACACCTTAACACCAATTTAGACACCCCCTCCAGAGATGAATGTTGCTGACTACTTACTTCTCTAGTTATACCAAATTTATAAAAGACTGCAAGACACAGCAGTCTGTGTCTCCTTGCACAGACCTCAACCAAAAAGCCACTCTATAGCCACAATGAATGCTCAGAACAGCACCTAACTTCATCAAGAGGATGAAGGGTATAGGGTCCCAGCCACAGTCCAAGCCACCAAACACCTCCTTAACTTTGCCTGGTTTTAGAGACTAAACACAACTCACCCACTCTCCTCCAGCAGCCGCTTGTTTGTGGATAGAGTTCAGACGAGTCGATCGCAGAGTTTCGCAGCTCAAGGAAGAACATTTATGATCATTACTTCATGGAAATGCAATCAGATTGAGGTGCTAAGGCAGAAGAACTACCGCGTCTGCAGTGCAAAATGATTTATATAAAGATTATTACTTCATGGAAATGATCCGCTGCACTCACTGATCGACTCGTCTGAGCTCTCCCTAAACAAGCGGCTGCTGGAGGAGAGTGGGTGAGTTGTGTTTAGTCTCTTTGCTAAAGAAATCAGGCAAAGCTAAAAAGATGTTTGATGGCTAGTCCTATGGCTGGGACCCTATATGTACTGTTAATGAAGTTAGGTGCTGTTCTGAGCATTGTTTGTGGCTATAGAGTGGCTTTCTGGTTGAGGTTTGCGCGTGGAGAGGTAGACTGCTGTGTATTGCTATCATGTGGTCGTTACTAAAGTTGGTATAACTAGAAAAGCAAGCGGTCGGCAACATTCATCTCTCAAGGGGGTGTTTTACACAATGTTACAGTGCGTGTGACCCTAAATTAATGTTATGTCGGAATATCCCTTCAAGTGCAACTGGTAAAGTACTGTTATGCAGTAGAAAATCTTTATTTTTTCCTTAACGTATCATCGTCCAAAGTAAATAACCCACCAAATGAAGTCACTATCAGCATTATCATCATCATCATCATCATCAGGTGCACCAAACACAGAATTGTTCACAAAGAGCTCGGCAAAGTGTCTCAAAGTAGAAGAGGCCGTTTGTTTCAGAGTTTGGTCATTTATTCGCGCACAGAGAGACAAAGAGTCCGGCGTGTTGTGATGGGGACACCAAGCGCGGACTGTAATAAGAGAGAGGGAGTGTAACCTTCACAAGAGACTGCAGGTAGGCAGGAGCTGATTAGGTTGCTGTACTGTAGGCAATAAGTAGGGCTTCATGTTTGATGCAGGCTGCTACTGTAAGCCAGTGGAGAGAGATAACAAGAGGAAGGACATGTTTTGTTTTGACAAAGTGTCACTTGTCTTTGGGACCTTTGCCTTTTTAGTTTGTGGGACCCAACAAACTAAAGAGCTGGTTTGTCTGGTAACATGAGTGTTTATGTTGCTGCCTCTTATAGCTAAACTAGTACAAGGTTTTAACTGTTTCACTGAATGAGTGCTGTTTGTACCTACCTGGACCCAGCCCTGCACAGCTGGGAGGTGTTTGGTTTGTATCAGTCTGTGAAGATCTATCACCGTGGAAATCACTGCTTCATTATCCTCGGTCTCTTTTACATGAAGACCTGCAGGAGGAGAGAGGGTAACCACAAAACCCCTTACTCCAGACAGAAATAAGGTTACTTAGGCAGGAGAGCTACGAAGAAAAAACTAACACTGTCCGGATAGACAAGGAAAACAAATTACCATCTGGGCAGCTCCGGGTCTGAAAGCTTGCGACTTATTTTGTTTTTCTGAGAAACAATGGTTTTCATAAATGATCAGGGCAAATACAGAACAGAGGAACAATTTTCCATTTGTCATGTTGATTTTGAATCATTTTATGTCTTACTGATTTTAAATTGTTTTAATCTCTATTTTTTAATTTCCAAAGTATTTCCTTGCATCTGTAAAGCACTTTGAATTGCTTTGTGTATGAATGGTGCGACATCTTCCTTTACCTCCAGGACCGGCTGAACTCTGACTGGCTAACAAAAAGTTAGTCATACCAGGAGTTCAAAAAGCGTAAGCACAACTCAGCCAGCAGGTGTCACTCTTGGGCTCAGCTGATGCACTTCATAGGTGGGAACTTTCACTGAGGTGTTACAAGACCAAAAGAAACAGTTTTTTTTACTGCTGAGAGATACCACTCTGAATGAGGTGAAACTTAATCTGTGGATGGAAGTTAATGGTGAATGTTGGATATTTGCCTTCTGAACAAATCGAAGACCATCAAGGTTAGAAAAAAAACTTCTAAAAGAAAGCTGCTGAAGCAACGGTGAGAGTGTTAGCCCATCTATGTAGCACCTCAGTGGCTTTAAAATTGTCTCTATCTGTCAGCAATCCAAAATGTTGTGTGATTTTATTATTCTGGGTGAACGGTTTGGATCAAATACATTATTTTACAGATTCAAACTAAGCTAAGACTCCCAAGTTTTGTGAGTTAAAATGTTGTTTTTCTTAGTGGAGTCTGGTGACTTTGAGGTGGGTAAAGTAATTGTTTGTTTTGGTATAAAAGCCTTGTTAGTCAGTGTCCTCTGATGGGATGAGTTTACCTGCAGGAGCTGAATTACAGCTGCTCTAAAGTTTGTCTAGCTGTTCAAAAAAAGGATGTGAGGGTTTGAAATTCTCTTTTAGTCCTATCACAGAACTTTTCATGTCTGATACATGCCACTTTAGAAGAAAGGTTCAGGTCAATCTCCATTCAAAAAGGTTGAAGTTTCATTGTGGTAGATTTTACAACAGGTGTTAAATGAAGTACTTTATAGTATTAGCAGCATTACAATATCCAAACCCATAAGCTACTGTCTGATGATGGCAAATAGGTCTCAGGCTGCTCATTATTTTCATTTAGGCAGCAGTTAGAAATAGACAACATCCAGCTGTGTGTACTCTGACTAAAAATGTGTAAAAACAAACCATGTGTACAGGACTAAAGGGAGGAAAAATTTCCCCTCCATATATGACTCAAAACATTCAGATCTGTCAATGCAGTAGGTCTCAGTTACACTGTTAACAGTGAGATCCACAAAGGCCTCCCTTTAGCTCACTTCAGTGGTATAAACCTGAATGGGAAACTGGGTTTCTTGTGATTTACTTTGAGCAATGGGTCTCAGGTATAACACAACATTGTGATGCAGACTCGTGAAATATGAAAGTTCAAGGTCTGCCAGGTCTGTCTCAGAGAAAAAAGGTTTCTAAATGTTGGTTTGTTCATGGACCAACAGTCACATCATTTTTTTTTTATGCATTGGTAGAAAGCACAGTTGAACCCTGGCTGGCTTTTATGAGGCAGCACCAAGCTGATGTGTTTCTCAAGTTGAAATATGTAGAACAGAGAGTTTGTTGCACTTGCAAGCAGATACCTCCTAATAGAGAGAGCTACACAAGGTGTCATTAAAATTGGTAATTACTGTTCCTGCTTTTGCTCACCCTATACTAAAACCTGCTGATACCTGATTGGCCAGTACAACTCAGACTACAAACACAATGAAAACAAAAACCAGAGCCCTTCTCACACGAAAATCCTGATAATAACATCCTTCACACCTGTATATTTGTTGTACCTACCTTGACTGATGTTCAGGTCCAGACTGTAGGAGTGAGAGATGAGCCCTGAGTCACGAATAAAACAGTCTTCATCGAGAGGTTCCTCATTTTCCTCACCACTTTCCTCCTCATCTTCACTCCCCTCAGACTTCTTCTCTTCCTTTCCTTTCTTCTCTCCTACCATGTCAGTGTCCTCCTGGATCCTCCTCTCCTTTTGCTTCTCTTTCATCTCTCCTTCTTTCCAGTCATCCTTCAGGTCTCTGCTGCAGCAAGGTTGTTCATCTAGTGATGGACTCCCACTGGCCTGTTGGGGGTTTGGAGGACTACGACTACTACTAGATGTCTGGATGCCTGGGAGTTCAAACCCAGGGATGAGCAGCTTCATACATGACTCCATTTCCATCAAAATCGCCTCAATTTCCTGCTGTGACTCTGACAAAGAAATAAAACTTTATAAACACTAATGTATGACGACATTTTACATGAACAGTGCTGCTGTTAGGTGGAACTTGTTTACCCTCCATGTCTTTAGACGCTGCCTCCACCCTCTCTTTGTAGATCCTCGCCATCTTCCTCTGTCTCTCCTCCTCTCGCCTCCTCTCTGCTACAGTCCGAGCCTCAGCGTCCTGAAAGTCCACCTTACAACACAGAGACATCATGCAAATTACAGATGTATTAAAACATGAAGGGGGAAAAGAGTAAATAAAGACAACAAACTGATTGGAGTGTGGCAGCTTTGTTTCATCTGGTGTTTCATATATTGTGTTACTCTTGTATATTTGTTTGATTATGTCTTTAGTATTGTTATGTCTCTTTGTGGACCCCCGGAAGAATAGTTGAGGAAGAGTAGTTTAAATAGATAAACAAATAAATCTGGTAATCAAATGAGTGGACAGTAATGAATCCTCCAATACATGTTAGTTCCCCACTTAAAAAATTCAGGCAAATGACCCCTCAAGTTTCTCAAAAAGAGAAAATAGTGGTAACAATGCCAACATTGCAAGAACTTGGTATCATTCTGCATTTTTTTGTGATGTTTAAAACCTAGAATGCCAACACTCTGTAAATAAACACCGCAAAAAAAACACAGGACAAAATTAGAGTCACCTTAGACTGCTGAAGGTTTGATTTTTTAAACTTTTATCAAGCAGCCTAAGAAAAAATCCCAAAAGATATGAAACATCCTCTGATCCAGAGGATGACATTTTTCGGGAATTCCCGTGGGTCACGTGATTCCCGCGGGAATCCCACGGGATGGGAGTCATTTTTTAATTAATCCCATGATCGGCTGAAAATGATCATCTATTAATGTTGTTCCTGCTCCTGCCCGCTCCCGTTGCTTTTTTTCCTGTTCCGTACCGATTACGGGATTGATTAAAAAATGACTCCCATCCTGTGGGATTCCCGAAAAAATGTCATCCTCTATGATGGACACGTCATGACTCACAGCACACAGCTTTTAAATTAAGTGTTTTGAATCTTGTAATTCATCTAGATTGATGGACATGGTTCATTTAAATCAAACTACTGATGCACAAACATACATCAGTTGTTATTTAATAAACTTCATCTCCTCTCAGATCATGGAGGATTCTTGATATCATATAAATATCACAAAAACTTTAAGATTTTCATTCCCAATGCTCACCTTCTTGACTTGTTTGAGAAAGTGGTAGCCCAGAGCTACCTTCTTGTACGCTGTTCCATACGTGGCCTGCCATGACTGAATGGTCTGGATGGCGAGTGTCTTCAGCTTTTTGGCTGCTTCTTTAGGAGGGGGGAGGGGCTGCTCCAAGTCCGTCTCTACGGTCAGCTCCAAGAACTCCTACCAGGACAAGGATAGAGACACAAGAAGAATAATAGAGAAGGAGCTTGATATTTTTCAAATGATGAAAGCGGACTCAAAAAAAAAAATAATAATTCCTGCAGTTTACAATAATCAGGTACAGTCAGGTGCTGTGGTGCTTGTAAGCAGACCTGAGCTGAGTGTTTCATTAGCAGCAACTGTGTACCTGGAAGTTGTCAACCAGCAGCGTCCTGAAGTGGTGAGATCTGGAGAAAAGCTCACTAGCGATCTGGAAGGCGGACAGTCTGATCTCAGCATGTTCCTGGTTGAGCTGAGACATGATGGTGTGATAGACGTGGTCGATGCAGTCGTTTGATACTCTGATAGGTATTGAGGACACAGATTGAAGAATTATTAGTACTTTTTCAGTCATTCTGTTAAGCCAAATTATTACCTTGTGTCTTGATTATCACTAACTGTCTGAATTTTTTAATGCATAAACTCTTTGTCTGATGTCAGTTACATACTTGCAGATCTTCTTGATTTCCTTCATCTTGTCCTCGTTGAGCTGAGGCCGTCCTGATGTGGTCAGCTCCTCCACCAGCTCTGACAGTCGGTCCCTCTGAGACAGCTCCATCCTTTTTCATCAGCACACCTGTGAATAAAAACAGTTGCTGAATGGAGGAAAGTTTAAAGACAAACCTTTCAACCAGAAATAAAAACGACACTAGTACCCAAAGATCCACAGTGACAGAAATAGTGACACGAGAATCCTTATGAAAATTAAATCAGATGCAGGACAAATCTGTATGTAAAAGACATACACTAAAGGCCAAAAGTTTGGAAGCAAGATCAGATTTGTACAAAAAAAGATCATAGTTTCATATATATAATTTGAAAGACAATAAACACTATTGTGTAAAGAGTAACTTATCAGAAGACATTTTGACTATAATTATTAGGTATTTGAGTTATTGTTGCTTAGACTTTGCTTTCTTTAAAGTAACCTCCTCTGGCTTTAACAACAGCTTGGCATATACCAGGCATTCGTTCCACAAGTTTTGTAAGGTATGTTCCAGGGATTGTATCCCAAGCTTTCTTAAGTTCATTAAAAAGAGACTGCTGATTCGTGGGACATGTTTTTCTGACCGATCAATCCAATTCATCCCGCACAAGCTCAATTGAGAAAGGTCTGGAGACTGAGGGGGCCAAACCATCTTTTGAAGAACACCTTCCTCTTCTTTTTGGTCTAGGTAACCCTGACAGAGCTTGGCAGAGTGCTTAGGGTCATTGTCTTGCTGCAAAACAAACTTATGAGCCACAAGTCTGAGTCCAGATGGAACAGCATGGTGCTGGAGGATGGAGTGGTACTGTTCCTTCTTCATGATACCCTTTACTTCAAACAAATCTCCTACTCCATCACCTGCAAAACATCCCCATACCATGGAACTACCACCTCCATGCTGAATTGTGGGTGTAACACATGGTGCTTTCAGACGTTCACCAGTTTGTCTGCGGACATAGACTCTGTGTTTTGAACCAAACAGTGCAAACTTGTTTCTAGTCATCATAACTCCAATTTTTGTGAGCTTTTGCCCACTCATATCTCTTTTTCTTGTTCTGTGGACGAAGTAGCGTTTTTTTGCAGATACACAACCCTTCAGACCAGCCTTTCTTAAACATCTTTTCACGGTTGTCAGAGATATGGGTTTCGACCTTGTCATGTTGATTTCCTCCCTTATTTTTGGTGCTGTCAGTTGCTTCTTTCTGGCCATTTCTGCAGTAGTTTGAACGCAGTTGAGATTTATTAGGATTTTTGTATGCAGACTCACAAAAGCCAAAAAGTTGAAGTGAATAATCCAACTGTGATTTGTTTTTTTGCTTTTGCACTGAATTTGTGACTCTTGCAAATGTTTTCAACCCTAAAACTAAGCCCTTATTATCTTTTGCTGACATATGTTTAGCAATGGTCTGTTAACATCAATGTATATCTAAAGATAAATGGAGTAAAATGGTGCATTTCCATGAAAGCAACATCTGATCATGGAGTAAATACATCCCAAAATACATAAAACTCATGCTGGATTTTAAAAAAAGCATTGTGAACAAAAACTTGAAGTTACTCCCAACAGTTCGGCCTGTAATGGCCTTGCTTCCAAACTTTTGGCCTGTAGTGTAGATCAAACAGTTAAAATATGTACAACATCAGTGCATCTGAACTTTGAGCTCACAGAGAATGCGTTTGAATGCAGATTCTTAAAAGTGCATCTATCCATGTGATAGTTGTGGACATGCTGGAAAATTTAGGTTTAATGAAAAGGAGATAACCTATTACAAGTTTACAGTAATGGTGGATTAGTCTTACCTCTGCACCACAGACTAAAACATCAACTTATGGACTACATGACTTTAAATATTACCAATTAATAACTGTATAATTGTTGACTTTGAAGAGTATCTTGTTGTGGCACAGCTGTATAGATAGATATCTATGATTTTTGTTCTTTTTCATCTAGAGGAAGGGACAAATGAAAACCTGAATTTGTAAAGAGGGTGTTTCGCTTTAAAACAACAATATTAGGTCATACTTTGTGCATTTTAGGCAAATCCTAATTTTCCATCTGGGCACGATAATGAAAAATCTTAAATAAACTACCAGTCAGAAGCTGACAGGAAGCTGTTTGTATTTTCTGACCGTATAAACTGGACTGACGTTAATCAACAATTTAAATCTCTACAGTTTTAATGAATGTATATGACGGATAAAATATCTAAATTAATCAAATATAATATGGGATTATCCATCATTACGGAAATATTACTCCAATCCTATCCACACAGCCTCTCTTAATAGACCGTGTACTTAAAGGCTGTGTTAGCTACAACCTGCTAACAAATGTAAACAGAGTCTTTCATTTACCTCTTACCTACTTTCACTTGGCTTCAATAAATACTGGAGCGCAGTAATTTATCCAGTCTTACATCCGGGGAACAAAATGACCAGGTAGTCCATTCATGACAAAAAACACTGACATTTAAAGAGACTATTTACTCCAATTTACACATTCACATCCTTGTTTGTGTAACCTCCTCCCCCCCTCTTCTTCTTCTTCTTCTTCTTCTTCTTCTTCAGGACAGCTTATAGGCGGTTGGTATTCAAAACCTCGCATTACCGCCATCCAGTGGTTTAAAGCACACCAGCACCCTTCCGTCCATTTCGTCTGTAGTCTGTAGAAAAATGCGACCAAAACAAAAGACAACCAAAGCACGGAGCAGTTTATATTACACAAATATTCGCTCCATTTACATTTCAACAACAGAGGGTTTGCCTCTCTTATAGGCCATGAGCCAGGGGGGTTGTTCGGTATCAACTGAGGGGAATAATGCTCATAGTGATTTTTGACATTGTATACATGTATAGAGTTAGAAAATATGTGATAGCATTGCAGCAGTGGTAGCTAAATGGGTGCTATCATGCATTTTATTTTATAACACAAGGCGAAAATTACATTGGTCAATATATGAAAACATACAACTTAACCCCCCAAAAAACCTATAGAAAGGGTTTCATTTTACCATACATCATTTCTATAAGGTTTCTAGACTAACATAAGTCCTAAGAAATCCTAGTTGGAAAAGTATGTTAATTTCGCCAGACAACAATACGCAAATGAGCTGAAAACTCATTAGAATTTGCCCAAAATACTCCTTTTCCCATGAACTATTATCACAGTGAAACTATTATCACAGTGAAAGCACATTGAAAGAGGGTGATGGCAATGCTGCTTTTGGACTGGCCTCTAACCTGAAAACTGCCCGGCTTGGTTGTACCTACCAGGGGTATAACCCTGATCGGTGCAGTCTTCAGGGTCACTGAGGCACACAAGCCTCCCCACCATGACAAGGTAGCAACAAAAGGGGAGGGAGTTTTTTTTCTTTTTTCTTTTTTTTTTTTTTTTTTTTTTGTATGTTTATTTTTGCCTGGATCCTCGCCACCTTCTCTACATGTCAGTTCCTGGCTTGTTCTTTGCTTTGTTCTGGGACAGAGTTAAACCAAGAAAGGTGGTTTTGGTGTATATCCCTATGTTTGCCGTTCAGGCATAGTGTAGGCCTGAATCTCTCCAATTCTTAATTATACAGATCATACTTTTGACTACTATACATTCACAACCTAATAATCAAAATCATTTTAATCAACTTCTTCCATGTCTTCTTCATCTGAACTTTCCACACTGTCTGAGGTGGATGCTTGGTTCTCACAGTCTGCCAGTCTACACATGTCAGTACACTTGAGGCCATTTGCAATACAGACACATTTTGGGAGTGAACATTTCTTTGGACAGTTACAGGCCAGTAGATCCAGGACCGCATCAGGTGCTGGCTGGCCGTCCATCCAGTGTACCACCAACTGTTCAGATTCACCTTCTGTCTCCATTCTCCACCCTCTGCCAACAGGGCTTGGCTAATGTGGGTATTGCTCCAGGCATCTTCTCCATATACCAGCCTGGTAATTTGCTCGCTGTGCATGTTTTGTTAAACAGTCCTTGCAAGGTGGGAGTTGATGACTTTCAATTTCACCTTTTTTGGCACAGAAAAGGTGATACCTGAGCTCATTGATCTTGATGGTTGGTGCTTTTGGGGCATACATGAGACATGTCAATGCATGCATGTAAATCCATTTAGACTGACTCAGGCCAGGTGTGAGTGTGACAACTTAAATCACAGCAGGAATAAAGTAGAAATATCTAGCCTATGCATTACTTACCATGTTTTATGTATTAAAATGTTTAGGTTGTGTACAAATTAAACCTTTGTGTTACATCTTTCATGAAAACGGAAGACATATATTGTCACTATATTGTCACTGCTTATAAGAGAAAAAAACATCTAGAGATGCTGATTCCAACAACTCTACTGAACAATATATAGCCTGGGCTTTATTCTGGTTATCCACCTCAACCAGAAGTTGGCTGCAGATCAGCACTTGACGTCGTGTCCTGACAGAACTAACGCTATGCTTCATTGATTGGTTGTTTGCTGGTTGTGTTTATCCTCATGCTTCTTGTTTTTCCCTTATGGATGTTAAGCCCTATTTGTGCAGATGTCACTGAAAGTCTATTTGTCTTTTCTTGCATTTGGTGGTGATTATGTGACAGTAGTGCCAGGTCGTCTGCAAAGTCTAAATCGTCCAGCTGTGTCCACAGTGTCCACTGGATTCCGTTCTTCCTTTGTTCCGTTGTTTTTCTCATAATCCAGTCGATGGCTAATAAAAACAAGAATGGGGATAATGGGGATGCATCCACAAGTGGCAAGTACCACATGAGATCACCGAGGTGGCAAACCATCATGTTAGGCCTGGTCAATGCATGGTTGCTTTACCCCTGCAACTACAAACTACTCAGTGTCAAAAGGCCACTCAAACAAAGAAGCCTCCAAGCAGAGGTTGCCACAAGCCTGATTCTCCTGCATTCATAAAGGGGGCGCCCATTATTTGACAGTTAATCTCCACCACCATTACTACCCAAGAGAGTCCGTACTGGTATTCCAGATGATGTTCGCACTGACCACGTTATACGCTGGCCAGTGAAATGTGAGAAACAAGGTTGTAGCGAACTCTGCAAAGTCAATGCTACCACCACTCTAAAATGTGACATATGTCTTTGCTTCACATAGGAGTAAAATTGCTTCAAAACGTACCATTTGGCTAGCCTGGCTGAGCCATCCTGTTGCGTGAGTCACTTGACGTTCCTTCCCACCACAAGGAAGGAACGTCAAGTGACTCGCAACAGGATGGCCCAGCCAGGCTACCATTTGGCATAAGCTAGCTCACTAAAAAGCTGTTCATAATAAAAAAAAAACAGTTGAGATGTGGTGCTGATTATGCGAAAGAAGTTTTGTTTTCCAGCAGTTCTCTGTTTAATGTACTTTAGTACATATTTCTGGCAGGTTTTCTGCATGAATCTGTTGTTTATTGTTCAGTTGCTCTCTAATGCAAAAAAAAAAAAAAAAAGAAAATGGTTTGAGAAGACCAAATGTGTTGTTTCACTGTTTGGAAAGATATTTTCTCAGTTTAATTGCAAAGAAATGCAAATGTTTGTTGCTATACAACCAACATGTATTATTTCATTCATTTTCAAATAAGGAGAAAAAAATGGTAAACACCCAATATGAGATGATGAGATGAGATTCAATTTATTGTCAATGTACAGTACAAGTACAGTACAGCGAAAAGTGTTTTCGCATCTCACCAGAGTGCGAAGTAAACATGTCAGTGCTAGTGATACATTATTTCATAGGTAACAGTGGAGGGTTCCTGTTCCTGAGTCTGCTTGACTTGGAAGCGAGGTTCCGGTATCTTCTCCCAGAGGGGAGGAGGGTGAACAGTCCGTGCTGTTAAGAAAAAAAGTTTAGAAATGCGTTATTTATAGTCCATTTGGTCTGTTCTGTAATGCACATAATTTTCCAATGAGGGGAATGGGTGTGGGATCTTGTGGGCTAAAATGCATTAGTTTGAATTAAAGTTATAAATTATACTAAGTTTGCTGTGGAAGGCAGGGTTTAGGGCCTATACTGCAACCAGTCACCAGTGGGTGCTGTTCTTGCAAAGGAACCATGTGACTATGGTTTAAATGTAAACATGGAAACAAATGTAAACATTATGACACCAAACATGATGTCGTTATGTTTACGTTCAAAAATGTGGCATGATGACATCACTCATGATGTCATCATGCCACATGACATCACTCATGATGTCATCATGCTTTGATCTTTTTCTTCTAATTCGAAAAGAGGTGAGTTGTCCAGACGCTGATCTTCCTCAACGTGATTTTACACTGAGAGACAGAAGAGAGAGCAGCTGCCTATCACTCTGATCATTCTAGATCTTTTTCTAGGTGATTTTACATTGAGAGACAGAAGGCTAACAAAGACAAACAAAATGAGAATTGTTCTCCAGTCAGGCAAGACCAACGCAAAGACCTTCTCTGTGCAGAACAATAAGATCGATGGGTATTTAGCAAAGAAGAGGGAGCAGAGGAGGAAACATCGAGAGGCAGTTAAAAAAGCTAAGTTCATGAACTTGATGCAAACCGATGCACTCCGTCAAGAAGTGAACGAGCTCAATGACATGCTGAAAAGAGCGCAGGAGGAGTTGGTCATAGAAAAACTAGGGGGGATGCTGTTGAGTGGAGGTCAAACCCCTAGGCTGAAGGACTCAGACAGCATTGTACAGGCTTCAGTCGATTTACAACTAGAGAGGCTGAAGAACCAGAGGCTGCAGAAAGAACTGGACAAACTCAAAGCTGCTCACTGTGATCTGAACAGAAGGTATCAGGCTGATGTGGTCAGTGTCAAGCAGCAAATGGACAGCCTTCAGCAGGAACTGCAGAAGCAAATGAAGACTAATGGTGACAGAGTGTCACAGGACCAGGCCGCAAAAAGATCCTCAGCAGCTAAAAACAACAGTCTCCTCAAGAGCATGACAGAGGAAATGGACAAACACAAGCAAAATTTGATCCATGCTGAACAGACTGTTGAGAGTCTTCAACAGAAGCTGCAGAAGCAGGAGAGGGCTCATAGTGAAAAAGTGTCCTGGGATCAGGCTGTTAAAAGATTCCTAACAGCTCAAAACAAGGCTCTCCTTCAGAAGATGGCAGAGGAGAAGAAGAAACACCAGCAAAATATGACCCACGCTGAACAGACAATAAAGAGCCTTCAGCATAAGCTCAAAAAACAAAGTCAGGCTCCCCTTGGCCAAACATCCCAGGACCAATTAGTCACCAGGGCTGTAAAGGCAGAGCATAACACCATCTGTCAGAAGATGAGACAGGAGATGGAGGTCCTGCAGCACAGTGCAACCCAGAGGGAGCAGATGATGGCAGAGCAGGAGAAGCTAAACAATCAGCTCATCATCCAGAAGAACTCCACTACAGAGCTTCAAGTCACTGATGACCAGAGCCTCGCACAACTAAGAGCTCCAATTCTGGAGGAGAGGAAAAAGACAAACTTCTTCCTACAAGAACTAAAAAATTATAAACCAGCTCACAACGAGCTCACTGAGAAGTACAAGTCTGTGGTCCTCAGTGAAAAAGCACTCTGAGTACCTCAGACTTTGGCTTTCCAAAGGTCTAATGTCACCTGGACCAGAGCATCCCAGGCTCAAAAATACAAACAAACAAAATAAATAAATAAATAAATAAAAAAAATAAAAAATAAAAAAAATCCCCTCCTCGAGCTACCACCTTACCGTGGTGGAGGGGTTTGCGTATCCCAATGATCCCAGGAGCTATGTTGTCGGGGGCGTTATGCCTCTGGTAGGGTCCCCCATGGCAAACAGTTCCTGGGAGAGGGATCAGACTAAGGGTAGCTCAAATAGATCTCTTATGAAAATAACTGGTACTAAGTTTCACTTGCCCAGAAGAGGGTCACCAGGGCCCTGCCCTAGAGCCAGGCCTACGGATTAGGCTTGATGGCGAGCGCCTGTTGGCGCTTCCCATGGGCTCACTACCCATAGGAGAGGCCAAAGGGGTCCGGTGCAGTGCAAGCCAGGCAGTAGCCGAAGGCGGGGCCCTTGGCATTTAGATCCTCTTGCAGGAAAACCCTACCCACTTACTGGAACTGTTTGTTGTTTAGCAACAAGCATTTGCATTTCTTTGCATTTAAACTGAGAAAATATCTTTCCAAACAGTGAAACAACACATTTGGTCTTCTCAAACCATTTTTTTTTTTGTTTTTTTGTTTTTTTTTGCATTAGAGAGCAACCGAACATTAACCAACAGATTCATGCAGAAAACCTCTTCTCTCAGCAAAACTTTTTTCATCCTAAAGTTGGCAACCAGTGTTCCTATGAAGTAGATCTTTCACTGAAGAAGGTTGAGCACTAGCAACATTGAAATAAAAAGGTTGCCTGCAAACAAATTGTCACTCTTAGTGCTGACTTACATTTGACATACACTTTTTCATTTTAATACATATTCATTAATTAGTTTAAAGAATTTCCAATGGGATTTTTTGTTTATATTTGTATAAATAGTCTTTGACTTCACCTTCATAAAATATATTGATTAAAAATTATTAAATGGGCTTAGTTTCTACCTTTTTGTTTTGATTGTGACAAATACGTCACATGGGATTTTTCATGAATATTTTAAGAGTGAAAGCCGGATGTGACAAATTTGTCACAGCGATCTTCTCTTTTCTTGAATTATATCAATCCATGTCTATATGCTTCTCTCCCTTTTTCCTGCAAACAGGGTTGAAAAAACATGAATTGAGGATTTGTCATGGAGCATGTAGACATGGATTATAACTGATTTTAATGCAGGACAAATAAGTTGATTGTGATCTCCATTCAGAAATGAATGAGAGTCACAAATAGAAATAGATTACAATAACAGGAAATTAGATGCCATGAATTCTGTGTTTGAATCACTTGGGGGTATAGCCACAGTGGAATAACATACAGTACATGTCTGATACACATGTGAGTATGCCTGAAGAAGTGAATACATTTTTATTACTATTTCAGGCATACTCACATATGTATAAAAGCATGTATATTAAGAACACACAATTTGTATTTTTTTTCATCTTTTTTGGATTAAAGTGCCATAAAGATACATTTGAATTTGAATCTGGATGTGGGAAAACCTGAGCACCAGAAGGAAACCCTATAAATGATGTCAGGACTTGGGGTCCAACACTGCTGCTGCTGTATGCCTGTGGAGAACTAAGGCCTAAAGTGCTCAGGGTTCCTGTGGGTGGGGACCTGATCCACCTCACTGTTATCCTGGTGATTTAACAGCAGCCTGTTCTGCTCCAGATGTTCTTTGATGAGGTGGGATTGTCTTGTTAAATATCTGCCTAAAGGATCCCCTGTAATAGCCAAAGAGTAAGGGGATCTCTCAGTTCCAGCAGGTGGGTAGGGTTTTCCTGGCTTGCACTGCACCGGACCCCTTTGGCCTCTCCTATGGGTAGTGAGCCCATCGGAAGCACCAACAGGCGCTCACCATCAAGCCTAATCCGTAGGCCTGGCTCCAGGGCAGGGCCCTGGTGACCCTCTTCTGGGCAAGTGAAACTTAGTACCAGTTATTTTCATAAGAGATCTATTTGAGCTACCCTTAGTCTGATCTCTCCCGCAGGACCTGTTTGCCATGGGGGACCCTACCAGAGGCATAAAGCCCCCGACAACATAGCTCCTGGGATCATTGGGACATGAAACCCCTCCAAAATATATTGATTAAAAATTATTAAATGGGCTTCAGCTTCTACCTTTTTTTTTATCGTGACAAATACGTCACATGGGATTTTTTATGAATATTTTAAAGAGTGAAAGCCGGATGTGACAAATTTGTCAGAGCGAGCTTCTCTTTTCTTGAATGAAATAACATGTTATTTAAACAAAATCATCATTATTGGGGTTGAAACATACCTTTGTCACACAAACACAGCTTTCAAAAAGTAGAAGTGTTAGATTTAGAAATCAGAATCAACATAGCTACCTGTAGGTAATGCAGTCAACAAAATTCCTCTGTAAATTCTCATGTTATCTAGTTTTCAACATGTTGAAATCTAAAGCCAGAACTGTGATGAAGGGTGTTCTGGGATTGAACCTGCTGGCCAACTGGGGCTTGTCTTAAGAGTTTACATGTCTTAACGTTTAACCCACCATCCCAAGACATGTGGGTTCGGGTAATTGCTAATTCCAGATTTCCCCAAGGGCATATTTTGAATGGTTGTCTCTATGCGTCATCAACGAATAATTGATGACTTGTCCACTGTGTTTACAGCATTGTATCTAATGTAAGGTGCTTCCAGCCCCTTCAAAGGCGGAGCAGATGTTGTTGGTGCTGTTATAGACTGTTACGATCCGTTCTATGGTTCTATGGCGTTCTTTTCTATCTGCGACCAGGTGCATCCCAGTCTCTTGGTGTCTGCCTGGAGATCTCGCCGCCAGGTGTTTTTTTAGGCCAGCCTCTGTTTCTCTTCCCCTGAGGGTTCCAGGTCAGAGCCTGCCTGGTGGTGTTTGACTCTGGTTTGCGTAGTGTGTGCCCGATCCATCTCCATCTTCTTCGTCCAATTTCATCTGCTGCTGGGAGTTGTCGTGTCTTCATCCAGAGATCGTTGTTGCTGATCTTGTTCAGCCAGTAGATTTTCAGGATTCTTCTGAGACATTTGTTTGTGAAGGTTTGTAGCTTGTGTATTGTGAGCTCAGTGGTTCTCCATGTCTCTGCCCCATAGAGCAAGACAGATTAACGTTGGAGTTAAAGATTCTGATTTTTGTTACTTCCTGTATCTCTTTAGAGCGCCAGATGTTATTGAGGAGTAGAAATGATGTTCTTGCCTTGCCTATCCTAGCTTTCACATCAGCATCCGTACCACCTTGACTGCTGATGATACTCCCCAGGTAGGTGAAGGACTCTACTTCATCTAACATTGTGTCGCCTATATTTCAGTCAGGTACACTTTGTCAAAATTTTTTGCTTTATTGTGCAAGTTAAATTTGGCGGCATGATTCTGTTCCGGGTCCCTGCCCTTCCACGCGCTTGCATGGAAGCCCGAGGCAGGAAGAGCCCCTTCCTGCCCATCACGAGCCATCATGAAAGGCAATAGCAGGGAGCGCACGCAATCATAGTGATTTTTGACATTGTATACATGTATAGAGTTAGAAAATATGTGATAGCATTGCAGCAGTGGTAGCTAAATGGGTGCTATCATGCATTTTATTTTATAACACAAGGCGAAAATTACATTGGTCAATATATGAAAACATACAACTTAACCCCCCAAAAAACCTATAGAAAGGGTTTCATTTTACCATACATCATTTCTATAAGGTTTCTAGACTAACATAAGTCCTAAGAAATCCTAGTTGGAAAAGTATGTTAATTTCGCCAGACAACAATACGCAAATGAGCTGAAAACTCATTAGAATTTGCCCAAAATACTCCTTTTCCCATGAACTATTATCACAGTGAAACTATTATCACAGTGAAAGCACATTGAAAGAGGGTGATGGCAATGCTGCTTTTGGACTGGCCTCTAACCTGAAAACTGCCCGGCTTGGTTGTACCTACCAGGGGTATAACCCTGATCGGTGCAGTCTTCAGGGTCACTGAGGCACACAAGCCTCCCCACCACGACAAGGTAGCAACAGTAGGGGAGGGTGTTTTTTTTCGTTTGTTTTTTTTTTTGGTATGTTTATTTTTGCCTGGATCCTCGCCACCTTCTCTACATGTCAGTTCCTGGCTTGTTCTTTGCTTTGTTCTGAGACAGAGTTAAACCAAGAAAGGTGGTTTTGGTGTATATCCCTACATTTGCCGTTCAGGAATAGTGTAGGCCTGAATCTCTCCAATTCTCAATTATACAGATCATACTTTTGACTACTATACATTCACAACCTAATAATCAAAATCATTTTAATCAACTTCTTCCATGTCTTCTTCATCTGAACTTTCCACACTGTCTGAGGTGGATGCTTGGTTCTCACAGTCTGCCAGTCTACACATGTCAGTACACTTGAGGCCATTTGCAATACAGACACATTTTGGGAGTGAACATTTCTTTGGACAGTTACAGGCCAGTAGATCCAGGACCGCATCAGGTGCTGGCTGGCCGTCCATCCAGTGTACCACCAACTGTTCAGATTCACCTTCTGTCTCCATTGTCCACCCTCTGCCAACAGGGCTTGGCTAATGTGGGTATTGCTCCAGGCATCTTCTCCATATACCAGCCTGGTAATTTGCTCGCTGTGCATGTTTTGTTAAACAGTCCTTGCAAGGTGGGAGTTGATGACTTTCAATTTCACCTTTTTTGGCACAGAAAAGGTGATACCTGAGCTCATTGAGCTTGATGGTTGGTGCTTTTGGGGCATACATGAGACATGTCAATGCATGCATGTAAATCCATTTAGACTGACTCAGGCCAGGTGTGAGTGTGACAACTTAAATCACAGCAGGAATAAAGTAGAAATATCTAGCCTATGCATTACTTACCATGTTTTATGTATTAAAATGTTTAGGTTGTGTACAAATTAAACCTTTGTGTTACATCTTTCATGAAAACGGAAGACACACATTGTCACTATGTTGTCACTGCTTATAAGAGAAAAAAACATCTAGAGATGCTGATTCCAACAACTCTACTGAACAATATATAGCCTGGGCTTTATCCTGACATTTTTTCACAGAGATAGGGTCAATTAATGAGAGAGAACCATCAGTTTGAATTAGAATGATTAATTCGGATTTTGAAAACTCTGTTTTGGTATGTGGTCATAAATGGAGTGATAACACACAGAAAGCTACCAGAGATGCAATGCTATCAATTTTTTTCTAGTACTAGAGGTGTATACCTACCCAAAAATCACTATGAGAATCATTCCCCCCAGTTGATACCGATGACCCCATATTTGGAGTCCCAGCTCAAGGCCTATTATAAACTCAAAACCTTTTTATATTTATCCATTTTTGAAATTTGAACGTATTGTGTGCAAAATTCATATTTTTACTTGTTTATTGCTGTATATTTGACAAGGTTATATTGATAATTTCCAACTTATACAATAACTATTTTTCAAAAACTTGAAGCTCATTTCAGTTGGCTTACGTCGATTCCCTGTCAAATAATTATTTCCTCAGTGGGCATGTGCAGATGTATTCAGAGACACAGAGCAGCATATCTTAATAGGTGTTACTAATCAATTCAGTGGAACATTATCTTTTGGCTCAGTGTGTTAAGCAGGTTTCTCTAAATACAGACAAAATACCAAGTTTCAATACATTTATTCTTAACTTATAAACAAAAAGTGAATGAAAAAATCTCCAGCCACTAAAAAAGACACTGTAAAAACATTGATACAATCTGAGTTTGTCAGGTCAGTGTGACAGATTTATCGACCTTATATCTCCCGGTCTGTTTTTCAAAAAATTTAATCTGGATACAAAGTATCCACTCTTTTCTGTTTAAGATCAAGTTAAACATATTATTATTTTGCTTTTTCAAAAAAAAAAATAAATAAATAAAACTGGATCACATTAATTTGACTTGGATACAGACTTGCAAAGAACACTCAATCCAAATAAAAGAAAAAAACTATGGAGTGCAAACTTTGTCCACATGTGGTTTTAAAATTCACACCAACTGAAAAGCTGCCCACAGTTACTTCACACATTTCACATTAGTATTATCAGCTTTGTGGTGACTTTTTTAGGGGATGAAGTCTCTTTTACAGACATTATGTCGATCTCTTTCACAAAATTCCAGCAAATCAAGAGCCAGAAATCAGAAAGGTCTAAATTGTTAAAAAAAAACGTTGAACAACATTTTGTAAAATTGTAAAATGTTGTTTTGTTTGAACAATTTTACGTTTTCTTGCATTTAGTTTCTGTAATCCAGCTCTCAAATGGGATTAGGATAATCCTGATTATTCAAGTGAAAATGATCCCAATCCTGCTCAAAGGTTTGGAACACCAAAAAAAGCACATACTTAATTTTTTTTTCTTATCATTATTAATAACCTGATCCTGATTCGAAAGTTCAATAAAACTGAAACAGCTGGCCTGCTTGAACCATCACCGTTTTCCTCACAGTTCTGTCCTTGCATTTCATGCTGTCAACCATTTTTCAGGAGTTTTGACTTCTGTGGTTGGCGGTGTGAATCAAGGATGTTTTATCTCCAGTGAAACATTTTTCAGCCTTTTTCCATCCCTCCTTGGATCTCAGTTCCTCCGACTGATATGCAAACTGGGAAGGCCAGAGAGAGGAATCCTGTGGTTCAGTTCCAAAAGTGCATCCCTAAACTGTAAATTTTGGCACAGCAGCATTTTTTTGTTCTTTGGGGTCTCTGGTTTATTTTATAATCTCCTTTAAATAAGCATTGCAGTGTTAAAGACAACCACTCTTCTCTACTTATACAAGGTCTGAAAAGTCCAGCTGCAGATCATGGCTGCAGCAAAGACTTCCGCAGAGTAAACATCTGTACACCCTTGCTCTCTGCTCCTCCTGTGCGCCTCTTTTGCCTTCAAAATGGCATTTACAAACTTTTACACCATCAGGATGGGGCTGAGATCAGTTTCTGGGTCAAAGGCAGGAGAGTGTAGGAGATGAGGAGACCCAGAGCTGAGAAATGAGGTTCTGTGTTTTCCTTCCTGTATGTAATAGTCACTGTAAAAATTCTTTTACTGTTTCATTTTGACTCTTAGAGCATCAATAAGTTCTACAATCTCTGAAAAGTAGCTGTTCTCTTCTCCCAGGATCATCTCAGACTGGACCATCTCCTCATACTGGTCTCTGAGAGAGATCAGCACCCCGAGGAGATTGCTGTCTGAGCGGTACTGATCCAAACACACCGGAGACATTGCAACCAAAGCCCGCAGAGCCTAAAACAAACACAATACAGGTTCATTTATACACTGTGTCTATTCAAGAAGGTCCTCTGTTCATCACAATAAAACAGTCAGCCCACCTTCTCTCTGTAGTCATGTTCAATGGACTCCAGCAGCTGTGGGACCAGACCACACCAGCCTTTTTCCAACAGCTCTCCCTGCAGTGAGACCTTTGAGTACTGACGGACCCGCTCGTCATGAGACGCATCAAGAACTGAGTCCAGGCCTGCCTGAGAGATCAGTTCCTGAAGGGACAACAAAAAACAGAGTAAGCAACATGCTGGAGGCCTAAAAATGCCACCCAAACAAGGGTCAGCAGGTCAAACTATCATTATTGTTCAACATTACTGAGTAAACAACAAGTGCAGTGTTAGCAAGAGGATAAGAACAAACACAATGTTCAGTTTCTGATTTGGGACTTATGGTGATAAAAGTCTATCCGTTTAAACATTGAATATCTTGTCTTTGTAGTGGATTCAGTTGAATAAAGGTCCAGTTGTTGGTCTGATGAACTCCCAAAAAGACTGCTGTGAAACTTTTATTAAACAGTTTATCTATAATCAGTCCTCTCATGGTACACACCTCTGAACACTGTTACTTAATATCTAATTTAATGTTAATACTGAAAAATATAATGAATATTTACCTCATGTACATAGCCCACCTTTAATATGATGACATAATTTTTCTCAATCACTTCACTCCTCATCCTTGCACTACTGTCTTGTCTAGAAGTTGAATGTGTAGTTCATGTTTGTACATACTTTGTCATTTCTGTAACATTTCATGTTTAATGTCTGTAAAAAAGTTTGGCAAAGTTTACCAGAGTCACATTCTTGTGTGTGTTCACATGCTTGGCCAATAAAAAGGATTCTGATTCTGAAAAGGATTTGCAGATGACTGTTTTTAATTCACATTTCACACAACAGCCCGACCTCACTGGAATTGAGATTTGTAACTAAGTCCAGGTGTTTCCCATTGTTGTTGGTTACGATCATCATTGTTGTGCGTGAATGCTCTAAAACAAATGCATTTATTGAGCATGCACAAATTCTGGGAAACAAGATGTGTAGAGATGCTAAACAGCTGTCTAGATCCTAAGAGGAACCGAGAGGCATAGAGTGTTGCAGAGAGGTACTCAGCACTTTGTTTTACAGCAGCCAAGTCGGATTCACACCACCTGGTCCTTCTAGCAAGTTAGCAGAGCTGATGAAGGAGCTCCTAAAATCAAGTTAGGGTCAAACACACCGTAACACCGAGTTAGACGCCCCCTCCAGAGATGAATGTTGCCGACTGCTTGCTTCTCTAGTTATACCAACTTTAGTAACGACCAAATGATAGCAATACACGGCGTCTACGTCTCCACGCACAAACCTCAACCAAAACGCCACTCTATAGCCACAAATAATGCTCAGAACAGCACCGAACTTCATCAACAGTACATATAGGGTCCCAGCCATAGTACTAACTACCAAACATCTTTTTAGCTTTGCCTGATTTCTTTAACAAAGAGACCAAACACAACTCACCTACTGTCCTCCAGCAGCCGCTTGTTTGCGGGGGGAGCCCTGACGAGTCGATCACTGAGTGCAGCAGAGTTTCGCAGCATTTGGTTGAGGTATGCGTATGGAGGGAAAGACCGCTGTGTATTACTAGCGTGCGGTCGTTACTAAAGTTGGTTTAACTAGAGAAGCAAGCGGTCGGCAACATTCATCTCTCGACAGGGGTGCCTAACTCGGTGTTATGGTGTGTTTGACCATGACTTAATTTCACTCCGGCCACAGGCTACCATCCTGTCTGGTTTCAGGATGGTGCAGCTTTTTGAGTGTGGAGACAAGCTGACGTTTGGTGTTTGTTTGTTCATTGTTCTTTACCCTAAGCCCCCTTTAATTTGGAGGATATGAAAACCATCTTTCACACAGTGTCAATCATAAAGCAGATTTTTCAGCCTTTCGCCAAATATTTAGCTAACAAATTATAGTTACACATTGATAATGTTTCAAGTTTCTCAAAGCTTTTTGCAGATTAAAACACACTCAAATGAGACTTCTATGACTTTTAAACAAAATGTCAGTCTATGATTGAGACTCTACTTGGAGATAATTTAAGTGCAGCTAAGAACAGGAACCAGTCTATTTATCAGACCATGACCTTTGTCCAAAATTTCAAACAATGAACTGTGACCTAAAGGACTTTATTATGACACTGTTATCCTCTACAAACTACAAATAAAGCTGATAATGATGGTCGTACCTTTTCACTGATCATGTCGTAGAGCATAGTGACGATCCGTGTGCGCAGAATCCCTCCTCTGTCTGCTTTGAACAGCACTGAAAGGACCTGCAGCCCACCATGTGACAGGAAGTGACGCTGTGCATAGGGGAAGTGACGTAGGAGCGCAGCGATGGCAAACAGAACCTGACAGGAGGATGAAACATGTTACAGCTGAGTTAGACATGTCTGTTTTCACCACATAGGAATGAAAAGTATCGTATTAGGATGTAGAGAGACCTTCTTTTTGACGTGGAGGGGTTCCGCCGTTACCAGTGTGGTTAAGAGTGTCTGCAGGGCGCCGCTTTCCACAGCCTTCACCTGGACCACCGGGTTACTGCAAAACGAGGAGCACAGCTTTTAGAGAGCTGATTCACCGAATGGATCTCGCTGTCAGATCCTGAATATGAATAATGGAGATGTTACTGTTTGCACCTCGCCAGAGCTGATCCAAGGACGAAGGCAGAGCTCTCCTGTAATCTGAAATCGGAGCTGTTCAGACCCTGAAGGATTAACTGAAGACCCCCCATGGAACAGAGTGTCTGAGCATTATCCACCTAAACACACACATACATGCAGGAATATTTAGAAACATACCACAAACCTGCAGGCTATGATTTGCAGGTTTTGTGCATAAATTGAATGACTGTGCGTTGTATCACCTGATGCACCAGGTACTCCAGCTCCAGCAGAACGCTCAGCCTCTGCTCTGTGGTCGAGTTGCTGCTGTTAAACTGCTCCAGCAGACGCTTCATTATCTGCACACCAGAACAACACACTCACATTCAGCTTGAACAAACACTCAAATACCATCTCCTGCAGCTGTATGAGTATTTCACTGTGAAGCAGCTAAGGACAAACACATTACATCCTTGATATGAAAGAGGTGAACGCTGACCTTGTGATTGTTTCCTAATCACATAAATAAGAACATAATCACCAAAAGTCCCCTTCAACTTTTAAGACAGCCTGATGTACCTGAACATCTGTCTCCATAAGCATCTCCAGCTGAGCCATGTCTTTCTTTAACTCATCCAGAGGACGAAACTTTGATGCCACCGAGTCCTACGGACAGACATCAAGCAGAGGACACATCCAGCAAAAAGACAGCACAGCAAAGTGATCATGTGGCAGTTAGAGTCTGAGAGTTTAAAAGGGCTGCAGGTTTGAGAGCTATAGCCTCTATGTGTATAAATGCATTTTAACAATAACTGTGAGGCCAAACCTGCACCTATGCAGTGAGCTTTTGCCTCAAAATCTTACCAACATGGAGATGCAGATTAAACATACATTTATGCATCCTTACAGCTGCTCAATGACTTCAAAATAACACAACTACAATGGAAATGTCTGTTTCTTTAGTTTTATATATTCTGTAATGTAATGAGGAAAGTTCTGGCAGAGGGCTGATCAAGAGTGATAAACTAGGAGGCAGTGGTTATTTGTTAGAATAGACACAAAAGCAACAAATAATACCAGCATGATTGTTATTTCAATATCTGTACACCACAAAAAATACACCACATGTAACTGTTTCAGCCACCTACAGTGCAGTATTCTGCAGAAAAAAACAAGATCTCTTTTTTCGTTTTCTCTAATATCATGTAGCCTTCATCAAAATAGTGTCGGAAGTTCTGATACCAAAATAAAATAATGCATGCTGCAATGTTACCTGCTGCTCTGAGTCTTTCCTCCCAGTGTTCAGGTCCTCTTTGATCTTCTTCATGGCCTGTTTGAGCTCCTCAGGACTGAAGGAGAACTGGTTTTCCTCCTGCTCCCTGAAAAGACAGATTTAAACTTGTGGTAAATCAAAATGTTACATTAACAGCGGCTCGTTGTCTTTGTGGGAGGCCATGAGTATGTAATGGTCAGCTGGTGTTAAAGTGTCAACATTAACAAAAATTGGAAAAGGAAAACTTTGAGTTGTACTCATAGGCTGTATGTAGAAAATATACAGTTTATATACACAATCACAGTGACTCTCGGAGAGTCACCGAGAGTCACCATGATGATGCTCGGCTCAAACAGCGTATCCCCCGGGTGAGCTGCGCAATCTTCGTATGCCCATAGGCTGTATCAGGTGTCAATCATAGAAAACATGAACCTCCCACATGAATAAAGTTGTCTGAACTGAACTCAACTGAAATTGGAAGTTTTGCTGGTGTGCGTCTTGCAGTTGATCAAGTAAGAAGAACAGCATGAATGACAACGGATAAATGTTTGTATAATCATGGTGTTTTCTCTCCATTAAAGATTCTTGATGTACAGGTGATTATCAAAAATAACCCAAACAGTTCATTAGAAACGACTTTGAAATGGACTGATGTGTGTCTGTTCATCCCTGCCCTCTTGTGACATTAAGAGCAGTCAACTGTGCACAACACAGTGATCTGCACCTTCTGTTCAGAGGTGAGATATTTAAGTGCAGTCAAAATCACAGAAACTGTTTCCAGTCTGAGTAATTCACAGATCATACACTGCCCAGTATTTCGCACTGTGAAGCAGAAACACCCTGTGCTGCATATTCATCAAGGCAAACGTACTTGATGAACAATACTACAGGTGTTTTAAAGTTTATACTTATTTTTAAACCTTTTGTGGGTTAGGCCCAGAGTGTTTGTAGAAGTATGAGGGCAGTTTGATTTGAAAGTAGAAAATAGAATCAAAGACACAAATAATGAAAAGTTACATTGTGTTATTGTGGTTTTTAATTGGTTATGGATACACAGAAGCACTGCTTTCATCTGGTATACATTTCTGAAAACACTCTTCTGTTTGTTTTTTCTGTGTTTCCAGATAGAGTTTACAGGAAAGGAGTAAGATGTCATTTTAGACTTATACCTATGTTCTTGGGTCCAGTATTTCGTCTGTTCCTCTCCCAGCCTGACCTCCCTCTGACCTGTCTGCAGATTCAGCCTCACATGGGATCCTGCTGGTACTGCTTGACCTGTACACACACAAACACACACAAAAAAACCACAAACACACGTAGACAGAAACAGTGAGTCTGAAGCAAAAGAGGATCTGCTTTAAACATACAAGAGAAGCAGTACATCTCTCACTATATTACCTGGTTTGAGTGTTTGCCACTCCTCTGTTGGTTTGACCACCTCTAAATCTCCTTCCTCCTCTTCCTCATCAACTGTCACCTCCTCCTCTTCATCACCTCCTGCTTCTGTATTCTCCACCAAGGTTAACGCAGAGTCAGACTGCACGGACAGAAAACAAAACAAACGTGGTTTTAGTTTAGCTTTTATTTGTTTTTGTGTTAGTTGTAGTTTTTCATAATTTAGGATACTTGTAAGGGAGAAAGGTCCTGTGTGGAGAAAACTCGAAACTTCATACCATTGCAGAAAAAGACAAAACAACAACAAAACACACACGCGCGCACAGCATACAAAGTAGATAACTGACCTGGGCCTCCAGAGTCTGAGATTGACCCCCTTTTTCAGTTTATTTGTGGGACTTTTCTTTCAGGCCCTTGGGGTCTATAGATGGCACTATATTTGCTTACTCCTCTGGTTGGCTCTGTGCTCATTTGTGTGAGTCAGTGTCTCTATGTCAGGGTTTCTCTGGTGATTAACTTCATGCTCAGTTATAATCATGTTAAAAGACACACTGAACAACATTGAGTTGGTCAGCCTGTTGTGACTTTGTCCTGACACAAGCATGATGTAACATTTCCAATTTTACACAAATAGCGACAGTAAGAGAAATCAATATTTTCATTGCCAATATTTGCTGATTTCTTAAAGCTCCTGTGAAAAACTTTCAGTTTGTGTAAGTTTTGGCGCCCCCTGTGGACACAGCATTGTCATCATATTGCTTACACGTTTATGTCGAGTCCTCTGACAACAAAGCTCAATCTGCTGACTAATGACCATCAAATACATCACTTTTTTGTGAATATGATAGAAGGAAAATGTAAACAGGGTCATTTTCTCAGATGCCTACATTCTCACTTTGTTATTAAAAATAACAAAATCAAAATGATCTATCTTGTCAGGGATGATCTTGTTTGCGTTTGTGTGTCATAATTAAATATTAATATGAACTTCAGTCTAATTGGAAGTTAGTCCATGTATAAATATAAAGCAGAATAACTCACCTTTTGTCCAGTGATGATGGCTATGTGACAGAAGAGCAGCAGCAGGACAGTGAAGGTGAAGCAGCTGGATGGAGCTCCTCTTTTACAGCAGGACATCATCCTCATCATGGTGACTGAAACACAACCATACAGCACAACTTTACTTTCTGAGGTTGTAATGACTTATCTCTCCAATTTCCAGCTTCGTCTGTTGTTTTTACGAAGAGTTTTCTTCATAAGGGCGTCTTTTCCTTTCCCTCAGTAGTTCGTGTAATCAAGTTTGTTTTCTCGATGATACAGAAACAGAACCATCAGCTGATAATACTTCAGCCACAGAATCTACTTATCAACCACTCCACAGCTAGCAGGCATTTCTGTCGGATAAAAAACAACTTACTTTACGTTTGCAACAACTCACCTGTTCATGTAAAGTAAAAAAAATGACACGCAGTTTCAGTTATATCTCCAAGTTGTCTCGTGAGCTTTCTCAGGGTTAATCCACGACAACACATGTACTGTTCCCGCATACATCTGAAGGCTGCTGTCACCTTACACTGAGCTCTCATTGGTCCACGTCAGTCACCTTCTTCTACTTATCACTCAGCCTTTGAATTAGACATTACTGCCCCCTGCTGGTGTGGAGACGGAATAACGGAGGAGATCATGATGCAATTTACTGAAGTCAGTCCAGACTTCAGTTAATTGCATCATCTCCTCCGCAACACAATAACCATGACTATTGTGTAAAGAGTAACTTATCAGAAGACATTTTGACTATAATTATTAGGTGTTTAAGTTATTGTTGCTTAGACTTTGCTTCCTTTAAAGTAACCTCCTCTGGCTTTAACAACAGCTTGGCATATACCAGGCATTCGATTCACAAGTTTTGTAAGGTATGTTTCAGGGATTGCATTTCAAGCTTCCTTAAGTTCATAAAATTAAAAAAAAAAAAAAAAAACTGATTTGTGGGACACGTTATTCTGACCGACCGATCCAATGCATTCCACACAAGCGCAATTGGAGAAAAGTCAGGAGACTGAGGGGGGCAAACCATCTTTTGAAGAACACCTTCCTCTTCTTTTTTGTCTAGGTAACCCTGACAGAGTGCTTAGGGTCATTGTCTTGCTGCAAAATAAACTTATGAGTCACAAGTCTTAGTCCAGATGGAACAGCATGGTGCTCGAGGATGGAGTGGTACTGTTCCTTCTTCATGATACTCTTTACTTCAAACAAATCTTCTACTCCATCACCTGCAAAACATCCCCATACCATGGAACTACCACCTCCATGCTGAATTGTGGGTGTAACACATGGTGCTTTCAGACGTTCACCAGTTTGTCTGCGGACATAGACTCTGCGTTTTGAACCAAAAAGTTCAAACTTGTTTCTAGTCATCATAAGTCCAATTTTTGTGGCTTTTGCACACTCATATCTCTTTTTCTTGTTCTGTGTACGAAGTAGCGTTTTTTTTGCAGATAACCAACCCTTCAGACCAGCCTTTCTCCAACATCTTTTCACAGTTGTCAGAGATATGGGTTTCGACCTTGTCATGTTGATTTCCTCCCTTATTTTTGGTGCCGTCTTTTGCCGATCTCTCTTACTGGTGACAATGCTATGTTTATCCTCTGCTTTTGTAGTAACTCTTTTTCGTCCAGGCCTTTTTCTATCATCATAACTTCCAGGTTCCTCTAGTCTCTTCAGAGTGTGGTGGACTCCTTTGTTAAACACCTTTAGGCATTTTGCAATTTCTCTTTCTGTGTATCCTTCTTTCCTCAATGTACAAATCTGTACTTTTGTTTCTTTACTCAGTTGCTTCTTTGTTGCCATTTTTGGATTTTTGTATACAGACTCTCAAAAGCCAAAAAGTTGAAGTGAATAATCCAACTGTGATTGATTTGTTTTTTTGCTTTTGCACTGAAGTTGTGACTCTTGCAAATGTTTTCAACCCTAAAACTAAGCCCTTATTATCTTTTGCTGACATATATTTAGCAATGGTCTGTTAACATCAATGTATATCTAAAGGTCAATGGAGTAAAATGGTGCATTTCCATGAAAGCAACATCTGATCATGGAGTAAATACATCCCAAAATACATAAAACTCATGCTGGATTTTAAAAAAAAAGCATTGTGAACAAAAACTTGAAGTTACTCCCAACTGTTTGGCCTGTAATGGCCTTGCTTCCAAACTTTTGGCCTGTCGTGTGTATGTAATGTAATGATAAATGATACATTTTATAATGATAATGATAAAAAAAAAAATCACCTGAGCGTTCTTATTGATCAATTACATGATTTTTGTGATTGATTGATCAAAAACAATCTTCACATATATTGTGTAATATATTTATTGGGGTAATATAAAAATCTAAATATACAGACATTGTAGATTAAACAGTGATGTCTACAGGAATAACCAGCAACCAGTAAAAACGGCTTTCTGAGAACCTCAACAGTTAAGACCCTATACAAACATATATTTTCAATCAAACTTGTACATTAGTGTCAATGCAGGCAAGTCCTACTGCTGAGCACACTCATTCTCCATGGTTCGGGTAGAGCCCACATCAATAGCCTCCACTGTCCTCTTTTTTTTCCTCCTCTCCTCTCTCTTGTTCTGCAGCTGGATTTTCATCTCCTTGTCTTCACAGTCACTCCCAGCAGAACTGAGGATGGCATCACAAATTCACATTGTAGCAACTTTATATCATAGTTTAGGCACAAAATAAGCTATTTCTCACTTTTTATTTTGGATATTTAAGTTTTTTATGATCATTTCTATTACCAAAAAAATCAAGCGAAAGCTATGACATGACCTTAAAATCACTCAAAAATAAAAATAATGTGAGCAGAACAGACACAAGACAGTGTCAGTACACAAGACATTCATACAGAAAGATCTGAGTCTTTGTGGTTGTAGCTATCACATTTTTCCTGGTGTGTATAACCGTTCTCCTTCTGAGGCTAAAGAGTTAACAAAAATTCCCCATACTACAAATAGAGTTAATAATGCTTATAAGGCGTTTAATGGTGAGAAGGTTTCTCTGAAGCCAGAATTGTGTTGTTTTCTTACTTGCCCTCATGAAAACCTTTAAAAGAATTTAGCAGCATTTTTCCAGAAACAGAACATATCATTCAAAAGTCTGTTCAAATTAGTTTACCCTGATTGTAACGTCATAATCGCTTCATCTCTAATTACTCAGAAAAAGCAGCAGGTCCTCGGTCTGGAGGCTGCCATGTCACACTGCCATGTTCTCTACAGTAGCTCAGATTGGACAAAACTGGCAGGAACCAAATGTGTTTGGAATATCCAGATCTTTGATGACAGTCCCGGGTTTCTGAGTCTGGATCATGGTCCTCAAATGTGAATGAGGGATTATACAGGGTCAAATGGTTTAAACTGTCCACTCTGCCTTTCAAGTACAATCTTCGAACTTGGCATCCAACAGCAAATTCCCTGCAAGTTTCAGACAACTATTGGCCTTGTTTTTTCCAGGTTTCCAGGCCCCCAAACTCTTCCGCACATGCACGCACACGCACACGCACACACACACACACACACACACACACACACACACACACACACACACACACTGACCTGGGGTTTGGAATCACAACAGGCTCTTCTCTGCTGATCTTTACACACTTTGCGGGCTGCTGTTCAGCTTCTGAGACTGCAACACAAAGCAGTGATGATTCACAAACACTGAAAACTTGACGCTCGACTAACACTTGCTCTGACTCTGTATCAGTCCACTACTGACCTTCACTTTTCACATCTTGCTTGGAGCTCAGTGTCTCAGCAGTAGGACAAGTGTCCGATTCTGCAGTCTCTGTGTTTGTGACATCCACCTTCACTGACAAAACCTGCTCCACTTTCTGATGAGAAGTATCTTCAGAGGAGGGCGCTGTGTCAACAGGTAGCTTCTCTTTCCTCCGCTTCAGATTCACATTTTTCTTTGAATCTAACAAAACATGTCAGAGTCACACAGCATCTTTAAAAAACGGGACACAGGTCCTCGGGTTTACATCCATGACTTCAGAGACTCTGTGGAAACATTGTTGAGTATTACTTTTGTTACCTTTTGGTTCATATTTGTTTTGCAGCTCCTCCACTCGAAGCTGCAGTTTGAACTTGTCACTCTGAGCCTGCAGTAAATAACAGAAATATGATCAGATCAAAGAGTATCCCTAAAACTCTGTAAAATCTGCTAATTATAGTTTTGACTCATGAGGAAGAGGTCCACTGGACAAGGGGAAAAATATGAGAGGAGCAGAGGTAGTAGAAGTGGACTCATCCTCTTCAACCTGAGCAAAAAAGTAACACTATTCTAAAAGTGTGTTAAAGGTGGCTATCAGCAAAACTGTTTCAAGTTATTGTGATTGTTTTGATTATAAGGTGTATGCTCTGTAGGACAGATGGGATTTCATGGAACAAAAATCAAATTAGCAATTAGAGTTATTTTGAAACACTAGTAGTCATCTTTTGACTGCTTATTTTTATATCTGAACTGTTGTCAGGCCTCCTTCATTGTCAGCCTGCTCTTCAAATTAAAGGTAAATATATTTACTGATAAACTCTGGAAAATAGCACGGAGCCCAGGAGGTAACATCAACTTTTAATTCCCATGTGCGATTTAATATCTTGAGCGTGCATTTTATTTGTACCTTGCGCATGCATTTTTTATAAATCCTCTGTGCGCCTCATTTGTAAGAGTAGAAGGACAATGTCATGGACAGAGATCAACATTTTCTTTCATTTAGGTATGACTTACAAAGAGATACTTAATAGCTTCACCATATTTGGTATTCTTTTGAGTAGAAGACATCTCATCAGGATCCTTGAAGCACAGCGACTTTGCCGTTGGCGATATTCGGACTTGCAGGAAGTGATTTTGTTATTAACGAACAGTTAAATCGCACCTGTGGCATAATAAAACGCACTTGCAAGATACTAAATCGCACATGCGAATTAAAAAAAAAAAGTTTATGTCACCTCCCGGGCTCCGTAGGAAAGTCTCAGTGCCTGTAGATCTTTCATTACAGAGCAGACAGGTAAGAGTAAACAGTCAATTCACAAGCTGATGGTATGTTTCAATTACCTCAAACACACACAAACTCCTGGTTCACTGTGTGTGCAAACCTCTCCTGCTTTTTATCCTGCTTTACTTTTTTGTTTTTTCGTTTATGTATCAATAAAGAAACACGTTGATAGTTGGAGCTTCATGTTACCTGTTTGAGCAGCCGGTCAGATGAGAAGAGTTTCCTCTCCAGCTCCAAAGCTCTCTGACTCTCAGACAAAGATTTCATCCTCTGTAGGGAAAGCTCATTTCCAAGACTCTCAACATCCTTCCTGAACATAGACACACATGCAAACAATTTTCAGCATTAAGGACAAAAACAAATACACTGCAAATGACAGACACACTATTTTGACAGCTGAACTCACATTGTGTTGTTGAGCTTCATTTTGAGCAGGTCGGTGTAGTATGTTTCATCATGGCTGTCACTGCTTTCTGCTGGAGCTGGCTGAGACTTTGTCATCATCTACAGAAACATACGTACACCAGCTTAAAATCCAGTTCAGATTTCTGCTTTGATTTTACATTTATTTTATCTGTCTACTATTATAGACTTGTGGGTATTCCAGGTCTACCTCCATCTTCTCCAGTCTCTGTAGTTTAGTCATCAGATTTTGGATCTCTCCGTTCTTCTCTGTCAGCATCGACTGCAGTCTCTCCAGCTGAGCTGGATCAGCTCTGGAGCCCTGCAGCTGCATCAGAGTGGCAATCTGGACCTGTAAGACACATACATATTCATGTGCTCATGTACGTTACTAATAAAAGACCCTAATATTCGGAACATATGGGGCTGTTATTGAACAGTTATTACAGGTCATACCTTCATGCGCTGCTGCTGCTGCTTACTAAAGGCATATTGTTTCTGCAGAGACTGATGTTGGACCTTCATACTGATCAGCTGTCTCTCCATGGCAGCTCGCTTATCCTCCAACTACAACCGCAACAGAAAGTTCAAAAGTGGACTTTGTAACTCAAAGGTTTGGGTGCAAATTGATGCCTGCCATCTATGTTAAGCTGAAATCTGGAGAATTTATGACTGGTGGCTACAAAAATCAAGATTATTCAATTTTTCTGTTAATGACTCTTTTTGATTTCTACCTCAGCAAACAGGGAGTTCCCTTTGCTGTTGGGATCTTGAGCCTGCTGTAGAACCTGGTCCAGCTGGATCTGGAGATCCCTGTTTGTCTCTCGGGATTTCTGAAAGATGCAAAAAAAGAAGGATCATACTTAGAAACTCAGCGTGCTCTTGCAGTCGGTTATCATTATAAAACAATACTGGTCCCAAATCTGGTTCTGAAGGATTTAAGAAAAGAAAGAAACATTCAAATAAGGAGCCTGATGCACTACGGCAGCCTGTTTGATTATGGAAAAGGAGAAATCTAATATATCCTCTGTTGTGCTGTAACCCTGCTGCTCTTAATTCAATACACCTTCCTTCTTCTGAAAAGACAGTACTGTCTGGTACCATTTCACCCACCTATGTAATTATTTAACTGTTTTGTATAAACTATTAATGTCGGAGCCATAAAGTTGCTTTGCTTATTGGTTATCCTGTGTTCGATTACTTTTGTCTTGTTGCTATTGGTTTCGCTGGGCTTGGGTCATGTGGGCACTGAGTTTGAAAGCCGGTAGTTTATATAAGGGGCGGTCTCACCCGCACTGTGGTGGAGAGGTGAGCTTAGGTAGCCGTAATTTTTTGTTGACAGGCTTTATGTCCTTTTGTTTGCAATGATACATGTCGCAAAGTGTACACATATGACATCGGCTGTGCGCGTGTAATCACCGGTCACTGTCGAAGCGTTTTTCTGTAATTAAAGCACCGAAAACTTCGATGAACTGTGTGCTTCTTTGGAACAGCAGCAGCATGTCACACAAATATACAGCACCTAGTCTCTGCCTCAAGTGACTTTTATTAAAAGGTACTAGGAAAGCAGCAATAATTAACTACAAGATGTACTGGAGATATTTCACAAACTTATCCATCACAGGTTGGGACATTCTCTCAGGAGGGGTAAAAAAACTGCAAAACTCCAATTAGTCACATTCATCTGATAAAGGGGGACCATGACAGTATTAAATTCTAAAAACTAGCCCATTTAAAAATCAGATCAATATTTACAGATTTTAAAATTTTAATCACGTTGATGACCAAAAGTAAATCGATTAAATGTATTTATCTCTGTGTAGTACAATGTTGATTTTTTTCTGTTTACCTCTAATGCATTAAACCAGGAAACAGCCTCTTTCTCTCTCTCCTCCTTCTCCTCTGTGACTCTCTCCAGTTGTCTCTGCAGACCGCTGTTGGTCAGAGCTAGCTGCTGCTCTCTGTACTGACACTCCTGCAACGTCTGCTCCAACTCCACCTAAGAGGCACAGGAAAACTCTGAAGTGACCATGTAATATAACTTCAGATAACAGGAGGATAGAGGGTCACCTCGTTGACTGTGCCTTTCCCCCCTCACCTTAACAGCCTCCAGCTCCATGATCTTCATCTGCACCTCCATCATCTCAGACGTCATGGAGCTTTGTGTGTCTTGGTTCAGAGCTCGAAGCTCCTCCATCTTGTGATTCAGGGTCTCCGTCTGGACCTCCAGTTTGTGTTTCAGCTGTTTCTCACTCAGCTGTGATTCCTCCAGAGACGACTGCAGCCTCAGAATCTGAAAACAAAAAAGAAACATACCCCATACTTCATGATTCGAGGTTGACCAACGCCAATACTGATTATGAGACAGCAGGTCAAGCAGATGGCTGATATATGATGCCGATATCACACTTTTTTAAGCTTCTTTTTCTTTTTTTCAGCGTTTGACAAATTCAACAATTTAATAATACTCACAAATGAAAAAGAAAATGATCATACGTGAGTGAACATTTGATCAAATCAGTCTAGATGGAGTAGTATGTGTGATTCAGTAAAATAATGTCAAAAAGGACTTCTGGAAAGAAAAATATTATATGGTTAAAATAAAGATAAAATGAAAAAAAGGATGCCATGTACAGATTCATTTTTCCATGAACATTCAAATTCAATGCACGTGGGCATCCTAGCCATTAACATGTTTTAGATGGATTTTTAATGAATTAAGATTTCAGGAAGTGGCTGTTGGTGCTTTCAATACTAAATTTCAGTATTCTCCACATTATAACAAAATTTAAGTCAAAACTCCAGACAGTGACCGTTTAGATTTGATAAAGTTTCTTATTTTTTTTTAAAATAAGAATTGTGTTGTATTCAAGGGCACATAGGGAGGTTCATCCATTTCTAAAAACATCTTTCTAGAAAGGGAAAAAAGAATCAATGCAACGAGAAAAGCCTTTCATGCAGAGCAGAAAAGAGCAGACGTACACTTGTCGTACCTTGTTGTTAAGCTCACTGAGTGCTGCGCTGTGGCTCCTCTCCAGATGTTCTTGCTGCTCCTGAAGCTGCTGTTTCTGCTGGTTCTTCACACTGTCACAGTCGGACTGCAGAGACTCCAGTATCCGACTCTTTAACTCAACTTCTTTCTGCAGGGAATACTTCTCTTGCTCGAGGGCCTTTGACACACAAATCACAGACAGAAAAGTGACAATTTAGAATCTATAACTTTCTGAGACTTTACGGTATGAGACAAAAACAAACACTAGGTCCCCCCAAAAAACATGAGTGTGAGAGTTATCTTAGAGCTATGAGACCGTGTTTTCCTTGTTTGTGCAATTGAAGCAGACCTTCTCTGAGTGCAGCGTACCTCGAGTGCATTAGTCATCTCTACTCTCTGCTCATCCAGTCTATTCTGAAGCTCCATCTGCTGGTTGAGAAGATTCAGGCCAGCTTGAGCAGCCTGATGGACCTGCTCCTCTCTCTCCCTCAGCTGACGCCTCAGCCGCTCAACCTCCTCCTCTGTTGCCATCTGGAGAGAGAAGGAAAAGTGGGTGTGTGAAATCTAGCCTGAATGCTGAAAGAAAGTCACAATGATACACTGTTTCGGATTTGTAGATAGAAATGACCAGGCTCCAGATTTGGGCCTTCAGGGTAGTTAGGCACTGTATTTTTAGTTCGCAAAGTGTATTTAAGATGGTGCAAAAACCAAGAGCATACATGGAAAATCCCTATGGCATTGCAGTTTCCTAGAACAACAGACTGACTGATGAAGAATTCCTGAACTTTCCATAACAAGCATACTTGATAGATAGAAGAGCAATTGATTGGTTTAGCTTCCAGGTTACCAGTGGCTGAACCTTTAGCACTTACAAACCAAACAGTTGTTTTTTTTTCCCTCGCTGTACAGCCATATGGTCCAATATGATGAACAAAAACACTCATGATCAGTTATTTCTCATTTCTATTAATTTGTTTCTCTTTTCTTCATAAAAAGAATCCGCCAGAATCAGTCCAAGAGAAGAGTTGATCTGATAGCAGAAAATATATTTATTTTTGCTCTGAATGTTTCACATCAGGCTGATCATCATTAGGTGCAATGGATTTAAAAAGTGTTGCGCGAATTATATCTCCTTTGAAACTTTAAACCTAAAGGAAATAGCTCCTGAGACATCACAAAGTTAAAAATATCCAAAATCAGTGAGATCAGATAATCAATCAGACAATGCTGTGAATATAAATACAATTAATGAATATCCATTTGGATGAAAATGATCCGAATGGTTCTCAGTAAGACAGAGAATAAGAAAGGTACAGACAAAATTCAACAATTTAATAATACTCACAAATGAAAAAGAAAATGATCGTACTTGAGTGAACATTTTATCAAAGTATAGTATGTGTGGTTCAGTAAAATAATGTCAAAAAGGACTTTTGGAAAGAAAAATATTATATGGTTAAAATAAATATAAAATAAAAAAAAAAGGAAGTGGCTGTTGGTGCTGTCAATACTACCTAAATCTCAGTATTCTACACATTATACAAAATGTAAGTCAAAACTCCAGCCAGTGACGTTTAGATTTGATAAAGTTTCTTATTTTTATTTATTTATTTTTTAATCAAATGGTTATTCAATTAATGAATATCCATTTGGATGAAAACGATCCGAATGGTTCTCAGCAGGACACAGAATAAGGAAAGTACAGACAGTTCTTGATTCAACAGTGTTTTTCCAAATTCGGACACACAAACGCTGTTGTTTTATTGGTGTTATTACAGTCCATTTGAGAGCAAACATGAACTGCTGTCACAGCTGACTGACAGCTGATCCAGAGGTGCATAATATGTAGGGGGGGGTCCTAATCCAAAGATTGCTCTGTGCAGTCTGTGTCTGCTGAACTTTTTTGTTTAAAGGTTTCATATATTTTGTTTTGTTGTTGGTATTTTATGTAAAATGTATATCCTTCAGTTTCTCTGCTCTGAGTGTGGTATCAACAAACGTGTGTCTGTCTATCGATGCATCCATCCATCAGTTTATGCACGCAAAAATATCGATCTCATGTGTTTTATGAAGAGATAAATATGTTAAGCTTTTTCAGTGGGATAAGTGGTTAAATTAAGTTATAACAAACAGCTGAATGTTCATTTCGACTCCACATAAAACTCTGTATAAACCTGATACGGGCTTTGGTCACCTGAGTAGCAGTAGGTGACAAATTCAACAATACATGAAGGGCAGATCGAAAACGGAGGGGTCATATTTTTTTCACACAAGATAAAACAGACGTCCAAAGGGCAAATTTTAACCAACTGTTGTTGATTTTGATGTCTTTACTCTGTAAACTGACGAAAATATCGACACCAGTGACGCCTGGCCAAGTCCTCAGTACCGTTAAAACTACTTTTTACTTAGACGAACGGATAATTTCAGAAATGTCATCAATTGAAGCAGCGAAACAACTTCATTTATTTCAACATATGTCAACGGGTGCAATAAAAAAACCACTTAAATCACAAAACAACAAATTCTTAAATATATTTTACCTTTTCAGCGACCAGTCAAACCGCCACCACCGTTTGAATTAAGTTCCCGTGAACTATCGCGAGACTTCTTCTTCTTTTGTTAAATGGCGGATGCAAACAACATACAGCTGTATACCGCCGCCTATTGTACAAGAGTGTAGCGTCAAATCTCCACCTCCAAATTCTACCCATCAGTTGAGTCTCTTTCAGACAGCTGAATAATGTTTCCCTTACATCTTGGATCTCACCTTTTCCCCCCTCTGATCTAAGAATTCCAGCCAGACCTCAGTCCTGCTACGCTGCTCTAATTTTACCCTGTACTCTCTCTCTTTGTGATGCATAGGCCTACTTTACACAATACATTATTTTCCACATTTTCTTTCACAGCCCATCTCTCACATTTGTATTATTTTTCCCTATTACATTCATTATGCTGTTCAGACTAGTATGGCCAGCTTTGAGCCTCGTCATATTATTCCTTCTCTTCCATTCCTTTCTAAGATTTTTGTCACGCTCCATCTTTGTATATTGTGACAATTTCTTCCCTTCCGATCATCTTCCCATCTTTTCTACCAAATTTCCATGCCTAATGTCCTTCTCATTGTTTTACCCTCTCCTTTTCCATAAGGTATTGTGATTTTTATATTTTTTTCCCGAGCTCTTTTTGCAAGAATATCAGCCACCTCATGTCCCTTGACCCCCGTGTGAGTTGGCACCCAGCAGAACCATACATCAGTACCACACCTTTGAAGTCTGAGCGGACTGTGCTGTATATCCATCCACAAGTCCTCCCTGATAATGTTTGTTGACTGTAGACTTTCTAAAACAGCAAAGTTCTGAATCTGTGCATATCGTCACCCTATCTGGTCTGACCTCCTCCACCCACTATAGAAAGAAAATCTCTGCCACCATTTCTGCTGTGAATACTGACAAGTAATCTGACAGGCATTTTGAAATGTGAACTCCAAATTTTGTTTTGTATACCCCTGCTCCCACACACCCCTTTGTGTTCCTAGATCCATCAGTAATATTTTGAGATAGTTGCAGTAACTAGTTCTTAGGTATTCACTTGTTCTTTCACCCACTTCACTCAGTCTCCATTATTTCTTCATGTTACTCACATTCATGTCCACATTTGCTTCAAGGTAGATCCACGGGTTAATTGAACTAACCAGACTGGGCTGTGGAAATTCTAGATCATATATGCCGTATTTTTTGGACCATCCGTTTCCTGCCCACCCAAACCCTCTCCTCTGGAACCTTGATTATTCCCAGCAGCTTTGTATCACTTGCGTGGCTGGATTCTTTCCTCTATTTCCAGTAAGCTAATGAAACTTTTTCTCTCCGTAACTCCAGAGGTGTCTCTCCTGCTTCTATTAACAGAGTATGAATGGGGGTTGTCCGGAATTTCCCTTCAGGGATCAATAAAGTTCCTCTTACCTTATCTTAAACAGTGTAAGTGGACTCAATAACTTTCACCAGGTCATGTTTTTAGAAACTACCCTTTTGCTTCTCTGAGAGGAGGATAAGACATCGCTGTCCTTTTTAATAAATATGAAATGTGGATTCACCCCAACCTCATTTGACCTGTAAGACTAATAATCCCACCTGTGGTAATGATGATACCTATTCAGTGAGTTTTGCAAAAGCAACAAATTTATTTTCCACCTGAAAACTTATGAGGATAAAGAAATCATGTTATGAGAATGAAGTGGTGATAAAGTGATAGTTTTGGCTAACTGTTAGCAGCTAGAAGTCTGTACCAGCCTTTACACCCCATCATACAAGAGAAATAAAAATCTGAAAATCTCTTACCTGGTGAACAGGATTATGCAATTGCACTTTTAGATTGTCTTTTATTAGGTGCTTTGATTCACCTCAACCTTAGGAACTGCGTTGTCTGCTCAGACTTTGACAGTATTTTCTGTTTTCATTTTTCTCCAAGTTGCTTTCACTTAAAGGCATGATGGATAAAGATGAAAAAAAAAATTTAAATTGCAAACTCTGAATCTTGTTTTTATAAATCCCACTCCCTTCGTGGTATTTATAAATCCCATTGAGAATAATGACTGCATTGTCATTATTATTATCATTATCTCTATCACCATCTTCTCCCTCATCATATTTCTTATCATCTTCATCATAAACATCTTCTTTATCGCCTCATCATAGTCTTTTTCATCTTTTTTATCATTTTGATCACCATTTTCATCTGCATCCTCATCATCATCTTTTTTTATCATCATCAATATTTCCATAACAATCATCATCATCTCTATCTTTATGGTTTCACTGATACAAAAACTTTCCTTGGTAATATCTTCAGATGAGGTGAATCTAAAGTCCAGATATATGGGAACAGTTTGTCAGTGAAAGTGTGTGTAAAAGTGTGTATGTGTGTGTTAGTGTCAGGATCAGAGAATGACAGCTTTCCTCTGTCCCAGTCCAGATGGACTCTGATCCTCTGAGGATGTCCTCTCACTGACAGACTAACTTCTTCATCTGATGGAGTTATTGCGCTGCATTTTTTATTCCTAAACAATATTCTCCATAATCCAGAGACAATGTCTCCCTTCCTGTCTGCAGACTCCTTAAACACACCTACTTCCCGAAGTGTAATTTCTCCAACCTCGACGTCCCAGCTGTGAGTCCCTGAGTTGAAGCCCTCAGAGCCCATGACAGAGTAGTAAGTATCAAGCCTCTCTGGATTATCAGGAAGCTGCTGCTCCATTCACTCTGCACTCAGTACCTGGTGAAAGTCGCAGTATACCTGTATACTCAGTGTTTCTTCCCGAAGCCGCTCTTTTTCTGTGGACGATTAACTTTATAATTCCCTCACAGAGAATGTTGTCATCTTCGTCTTCTGTTTCGGAGTGTGGATCAAGCAGTAGACGTACAGTCTTATATCTATCACTGACTCTCGAGGGCTGGGCGGTAAAACGATAACAATACATATCGAAAATCAATTTCCCTCAGTTTCAATATAAAACGGCCGATATTCTTTTTCGATAGTCAGCATTAAAAAAAGAGAAAAGTTCGTTATCCATGATTCAGCTGGGTTTAGAGCAGCAAGGTGTACAGTGTGTGTCCCCATTAAAACATCCAAATACAGATGTCCAGTTTAGTGATGGATAGTTGACTCTGGTTCTGCAGATACAGATACAAATCAACAATCAGTACAGCTCACACCACACATAACACACATACATAAAATTTGTTATAATTTAACTCTGAATATAAAGGACTGTATTCAGCAATCAATCATATGATATATGACTCGTACATTGGAAACAAATTATCTCAGCTGCAGCGTCATACAGATCGGTGCATTCAATCACGTCAGAACGCCTATGTGAGTTCATGAGCATAGGACAAATGAAAGCTCACTGTAAAACACAATATAACTAACCAATAAGCACTGTTAAATTTAATTTTTTATACCGTGATATATATTGATATCAACTGATATGAAAAAAATACATTGTGATAAACTTTTTCCCCATTTTGCCCAGCCCTACACTTGACCAAAACAAAATAATACACACAGAAATAATAATTATAATAATAATAATAAGACCCCTACCATGTTATTATTATGAGATGTCTAGAAACTTCAGCACATGACAGCAAATCTTTGAGAACCTGATTACAAAAGGAGAAAGAGAGAAAACACACTTCAGTGATTTAGACTGAGACAAGATTCAGAGATTGATCCTGTCAACTGAGAAATCTTCACCATTATCATCATCATTTAAATCATGATCTTCATCATCATTATCATCATCATCATCAGGAGCAGCAACAGCAGTACTTTATCATCATAACTTCACCATCTCTATCATCATCAATTTCATCACCACAATCAACAATTTCATCATCCTCATATCATCATCATCTTTGTTTTTAAAAACTTCATCATAATCATCATCTTTGTCATCATTATAATCATGATTGACATTTTCATCAGCGTAATTATTATGATTATCATCATCATTAACCTAATGACCATCTTCATTATTATCATCATCACCATCATTATAACTTTATCATAACTTCATCATCATCATCATCATCATCATCAACTACTCATCTTTAGAAATATCATCGTAATAATCTTTATTACTATAATCATGATCACCATTTTCATCAGCATCATTATCATCATTAACCTAATGACCATCTTCATCATTATTATCATCATCACCATCATTATAACTTTATCATTATCACCTCTTCCTTTACTGTTTTACTGATACAGAGACCTTCATTGGTAATATCTTCAGATGTGAATCTCCCCATATGTAAGGAAACAGTTTGTCAGTGAAAGTGTGTGTGAAGGTGTGTATGTGTGTGTTGGTGTCAGGATTAGAGAATGACAGCTTTCCTCTGTCCCAGTCCAGATGGACTCTGATACTCTGAAGACGTCCTCTCACTGACAGATCAACACTTTCACCTGAAAGAGTAAATGCGCTGTATTCATTATCCCAAAACTCTATTGTCCATAATCCAGAGACAATGTCTCCTTTTCTGTCTGCACATTCCTCAAACACACCTACACCCCAACACGTCGCCTCTCCAACCTCCACATCCCAGCTGTGAGTCCCTAAGTTGAAGCCCTCAGAGCCCATGACAGAATAGTTATCATACATCCTCTCTGGATTATCAGGAAGCTGCTGCTCCTCCTTTCCTTGTCTCAAACTGGTCAGATCTTCAGACAGGATGAGATCTGGACAAGCAGTGTTTGGGTCCAGGATCACAGGACTGTAGGAGACCATGTCCTTCATCTTGTTCCAGATGTTGAAGCCCAGGTTGCCCAGGTGTTTGGCCACATCTATCAGAGCTCCTGAGGACATCTGTGGATCCTCCAGCAGGGGGCGCTGCTGAACTCTTTCCACTGCAGCCTTGTAGTTTTTCAGGAATGAGAGGTCTGCAGCTCTCAGCTCCTCCTCTGTGGCTCTGACTGTGTCTGAAAGAGCTGCTATCTCTCTGCTCACAGCCTCCATCTGCTCCTTCATCCTCTGACTCTTCTGCTCCTCTTCCTCCCTCAGAGCACAGATTCTGGCCTCCTCTTCCTCTTCTAGAAACTGGTGAAGCTTCTTAAACTGCTGCTTTATCTGCCTCTCTGTGTTTGCAGCCTGGGCCTTGATGTAGTTTCCTGTTTGATCCCAGTTCTCCTTGATTTTAGTGAGACTCTTCAGTTTCTCCTGTAAAGGTTTCAGGTTTTCCTGGAGCTGGTCTCTGAGATTTTGAGCAGCTTCATCCATGGGTCTGAATGTGTGGTTGGAGTGTATTTTAGAGTCTCTGCAGACGAGACATGCTGGCTGCTGATGATCCAGACAGAAGAGTCTGAGTTTCTCAGAGTGCAGACTGCAGAGAGCCTCAGAGTCTGATGAAGCTCTCTGATCTCTCTGCAGTAACAAGGTCTCACACAGGTTCTTTAACACCAAGTTACAAGGAGGTTCAGTTCTTGAAGATTTTCTCTTACAAACTGGACACTCCTGGGCCTGTTTCTCTGTCCACCAGCTCTGCAGACAGTCTTTACAGAAGCTGTGGCTACATGACAGAATCACAGGATCTTTGAAGATGTCATGGCAGACAGAGCAGCACAGATCCTCCTCAAAACAAGACGCCATTTTCCTCTGAGTGAAGCTAAACTCTGGACAGGCAGAAAGTTCAAACAGCTCCGACTGGTGAGGCTCCACTCCCTCCTCCACAGAGTTTACTGGAACTTACTTTTACTTTGACTCCTGTCTTTTCTGAAGCTCCGTTCAGTCTGCAGTCAATACTTGGTTAAAGTCGCAGTATTTCAGTATACTCAGTGTTTCTTCCTGAAGCCGCTCATTTTCTGTGGACGTTTAACTTTATAATTCCCTCACAGAGGATGTTGTCATCTTCGTCTTCTTTGTCTTTGTCTTGTTTAACGGCGGACGGTATCTAGCTTATCGGTGCATTACCGCCACCTTCTGTTTCGGAGTTAGGATCGAACAGTAGACGTACAGTCTACTCTCTTATTCCTCTCCCTGACTCTCGACCAAAGCATAATTATCTGCACAACAACAACAACAACAACAACAACAACAACAACAACAACAACAACAACAATAATAATAATAATAATTAATTACACCCCTACCATAAACCCTCCACACACATCACCTACCACCCCCTATCCTTTTGTTACTGCTACATTCCACCAGACCCTATCACAAAGCCCTGTTCCCCTCACGAATTCTAACACCGCCCAAAAGTTGTCGTCTTGTGTGTGCAGGTGCTCATGAATCCAAGAGTAGAATTTTTTTTCCTGTTTATTGGTTTGTGATGATTCATAAACAGGGCGGAGCTTTATTGGACTGTTTCCAGGTTTTAGGCCTGAATGGAGAAGAGGTGGTTACATCATTTAAGTGTTAACTGATAACAGACAACATATCAACTGTTGAAAGTATAACCCTGACTGCATTGTGAAAAATATAGATGAATATCTGACTGATGTTTATTTTTAACAGGTTGGTAACATTTAGTTTAAAAAGACATTGAGAGACTGTCAAAATGTCAAGTACAAGAAAATGATTAATATCTACTTAATTACTTCATAACAGCAAATACTACAGAGATAAAAATGTACTTAAAATCTTAAGTAAGATGAGGTTCCTGCCTATGAAAAACAAGTAGACTTTACTTAATTTGTTTAAATAGTTATAACTTAACTTGGATGTAATTAATTAAATGTTACTCAATATCTTCACAACTGTTATGTTTTATGGAAAGTAAAATTTACTCGATATGGCAAGTGAGTGTAACTTGATATTGCCGCATTGAATTTTACTTAAATCATTTGTGTGCAAATACTTACAACATATTTTTTAAGTAAATCTTATAAGTTGTTTTTTTCAGTGTGTGATTCTCACTGATATGAAGACAATTTTTTACTTTTTTTACTTTTTAAACCACAACAAAGGTGTTAAGAAATTTAATTTTGGCCAAATATCCCTGCCTCCAGCCCGTCATCTTCATCGCACCAGAACCTTAAGAATGCGTTGTCTGCTCAAACTTTGACAGTATTTTCTGTTTTCATTTGTCTCCAAGTTGCTTTCACTTAAAAAGCATGATGGATAAAAATGGGGGACAAAAATCACATTGCAAACTCTGAATCTTCTTTTCATAAATCCTACTCCCTCTTGAATATACGACACTGCAAAACAAATAAAACCACATTTTCCAGACACACTTGTGCCTTCTGTTTATTTTACTGACACTAAGATATCCCCTGTATCAAAGGTTGGCAAAAAAAAACCTCAAAACATTTCATTAAACTCATCAAACAAAAGCTGTCTACAGACCATTTAAAAAGACATTGATGCAAACTGTGACATATAAATGCATTGATGTAGTTAATGACTGGAACAAGTTTAGTTAAGACCTGAAGAAAAAAAAAAAAAAGTATTTTTTCTTTTCATTAACATTACAGAGTTCTAGAAACTTGTGCACATGAAAACAAATCTGTGAGAACCTGATTACTAAAGAAGAAAAGAGGAAAAAACACTTCAGTCATTATCATCATCATCATCATCATCATTACCTCCATTATCACCTTTATCCTCATTATATCTTCATCATCATCATCATTAACAACAACTTCATCATCATCATTATCTCCATTATCACCTTTATCCTCATTATATCTTCATCATCATCATCAACACCATCATCTTTCTCATCATCATCATCATCATCATCATCATCATCATCATCATCATCATCATCATCATCATCATCATCATCTCTACTTTTACTGTTTCACTGATACAGAGACCTTAATTGGTAATATCTTCAGACGAGGTGAATCTAAAGTCCAAATGTATGGAAACAGTTTGTCAGTGAAAGTGTGTGTGAAGGTGTGTATGTGTGTGTTAGTGTCAGGATCAGAGAATGACAGTTTTCCTCTGTCCCAGTCCAGATGGACTTTGATCCTCTGAGGACGTCCTCTCACTGACAGATCAACACGATCATCTGATGGAGTTACTGCGCTGTATTCATCTTCCAAAAACGCTATTCTCCATACTCCACTGTCAATGTCTTCCTTCCTGTCTGCAGATTCCTCAAACACACCTACATCCCAGTATGTATTTTCTCCAACCTCGACGTCCCAGCTGTGAGTCCCTGAGTTGAAGCCCTCAGAACCCAGGACAGAGCAACTGTAGTAACGTATTCTCTCTGGATTATCAGGAAGCTGCTGCTCCTCTCCTTCTCTCACACTGGTCAGATCTTTAGACAGGATGAGTTCTAGACCAGCAGTGTTTGGGTCCAGGATCACAGGACTGTAGGAGACCATGTCCTTCATCTTGTTCCAGATGTTGAAGCCCAGGTTGCCCAGGTGTTTGGCCACATCTATCAGAGCTCCTGAGGGCAGCTGTGGATCCTCCAACAGGGGGCGCTGCTGGACTCTTTCCACTGCAGCCTTGTAGTTTTTCAGGAATGAGACGTCTGCAGCTCTCAGCTCCTCCTCTGTGGCTCTGACTGTGTCTGAAAGAGCTGCTATCTCTCTGCTCACAGCCTCCATCTGCTCCTTCATCCTCTGACTCTTCTGCTCCTCTTCCTCCCTCAGAGCACAGATTCTGGCCTCCTCTTCCTCTTCTAGAAACTGGTGAAGCTTCTTAAACTGCTGCTTTATCTGCCTCTCTGTGTTTGCAGCCTGGGCCTTGATGTGGTTTCCTGTTTGATCCCAGTCCTCCTTGATTTCAGTGAGACTCTCCAGTTTCTCCTGTAAAGGTTTCAGGTTTTTCTGGAGCTGGTCTCTGAGACCTTGAGCAGCTTCATCCATGGGTCTGAATGTGTGGTTGGAGTGTATTTTAGAGTCTCTGCAGACGAGACATGCTGGCTGCTGATGATCCAGACAGAAGAGTCTGAGTTTCTCAGAGTGCAGACTGCAGAGAGCCTCAGAGTCTGATGAAGCTCTCTGATCTCTCTGCAGTAAGAAGGTCTCACACAGGTTCTTTAACACCAAGTTACAAGGAGGTTCTGCCTTTGAAGACCTTCTCTTACAGACTGGACACTCCTGGGTCTGTTTCTCTGTCCACCAGCTCTGCAGACAGTCTTTACAGAAGCTGTGGCTACATGACAGAACCACAGGATCTTTGAAGATGTCATGGCAGATAGAGCAGCACAGATCCTCTTCTAAACAAGACGCCATTTTCCTCTGAGTGAAGCTAAACTCTGGACAGGCAGAAAGTTCAAACAGCTCCGACTGGTGAGGCTCCACTCCCTCCTCCACAGAGTTTACTGGAACTTACTTTTACTTTGACTCCTGTCTTTTCTGAAGCTCCGTTCCGTCTGCAGTCAGTACTTGGTTAAAGTCGCAGTATTCCAGTATACTCAGTGTTTCCTCCTGAAGCCGCTCATTTTCTGTGGACGTTTTACTCTATAATCCTCTCACATAAAATGTTGTCGTCTTGTGTGTGCAGGTGCTCATGAATCCGAGAGTAGAAAAAAGTCTTCCTGTTTCTTGGTTCATGATGAGTCATAAACAGGGTGGAGCTTTGTTGGACTGTTTCCAGGTTTTAGGCCTGAATGGAGAAGAGGTGGTTACATTAACTAAAGACAAAGTGTTAAAGCTTGGTGTCAAAGGAGAACAGTTTAAGTCAGCCCATCTACAGAAATGTTGAATGCTGTAAAATGTTGATTAAACCAGATTTTCATAGTTTTCAAATCATTTAAAGTCTATGATTGTTAACTGAAACAAGACAACATATCAACTGTTGAAACTATAAACCTGACTGCACTGTGAAAAATATAGATGAATATCCGACTGTTTATTTTTAACAGGTTGGTAACATTTAGTTTAAAAAGGACATTGAGAGAGACTGTCAGAAGGAAAGATGGGAAGAGGTTCACCACTCAGTGAAATACTTTCAGAGTAATCCTCCTGAGTGTAAAATGTCAAAGCATGAGTGGATTTCATCATCTACAGGATATAATATCATAAACAGATTTAGAGAATCTCTGTACAAAAGGGACCAGGACCAAAACCAGGACTGGATGGTCCTGATCCTAAGACCCTGAGGCAGCACAGCTTTAATTGTAGTACAGTCAACTGTTACAGATCAAATTCATCAAGAGGTGAATATGTTGAATAAATGAAATGATTTTCTGTCATGAGCACATTTACACACATAGTAAGACAGGAGATATTAGTGTGTGTGTGACTGGATATAAAGAGGTACAGACTCCAGGATGATGAGAGAAAGACTGACCACCCAGGTCAATGAGATTAATGACAACTCATAAAATTACAAACACAAAAGTGTATAAAGCCAGTCTTGTGAACTGAACCACCAAAGAGTGTTTGAACTTAGCTAAACTGGAGACTTGACCTGTGGAGATACTTCCTGTAAAGCCGGTGTACTTACTTATGCAACACAACAAATTTGCTCAGACCTCTTTACATCAGAAGCTAAAACCATTTGTTTATTATTCTCTGTACCTTCCTGAATCTGTGAGCAGAGGTGTCAGGTGTGTTGCAGTTGTTGGATCTCAGGGACAGCACTTGGTTGGTGGAATATCTCTGAGGCCAACTGCATCGCCTGAGTGAAATGAGTTTCTTACAACAGGGACCAAGGTATTTAAAAACACTAGAAAACCATGAGTCTGCACCAGGATATACACCAGCAATAATAACTTATCAATAAAACATTCTAGCTAGTATGAACTCTGTCAAGCAGGAGAAGAATGAGACTTTTTATGTCACATTAGTTTAATTAAAATTTCCTCACATTTAAGTTTAGATCACTCTCAAATTTCCACTTTGTTCAAATCACAATCAAACATGATTTCCATTCTGCATCAGATCATTCATTATTCTTCCTTCATGTTATCAAGTTATCACACTCACTGAACATAAAATAAACGCCTCCTGGTGTTTGCTCGAGGGATGTTTGTCTGCTGTTCATTTTTACAGAGCAGTGTGGAGGAGATAGTGTTAACATTGTCACTTATGAAATATCTTACATCTACAACAACCTCCATGAGGCTGCTTTCTTTTCATTCTTCATATTTACAGTAAACGTCGTCTTTCTTTTCCTCAAGCTGCAGCAATGGAGGCGTCATCCAGCTGTCGACCTTGAGGCTGAGGAGACAGAAAGAGAAAATCAAGGTTCTTAATATCGTCAAACTGAGAATACAAGGACTGCTAAGTGTAAATAAAAATGTGGGACATTAGTTAGTCACCTTGACAAAGATGCGCTGTGGCAGGAATCGTCTCAGTGAGTGTGTGTTGGTGGTCGGGCAGCGTGGGAGGCTGATGTTGAGCTGTGGTAGTGTTTGGTAACCGGCCATCAGAGGGTAATAGTTATACAACATCTGCTGCTCAGAGCCAGGGAGGATACGCAGACGCACCTGCACACACAACAACAACAACAACACATCCACAGACAATCAGTCAATATCTCTAGGGTTGATGTTTTGATTTTTAAAGAAGAGTGTTCATGTTGTTGTTTTTTTTTTTTTTTTCCAGATGGAAAAGTTAGAAGACAAGCACTTCAACAAATGTTAGTTTAAGTTTCAAATCTATAACCTGGTGCTGTCAGATTAACAGTCAGCTGAAGCAGTCTGCCTGATCAATGCATCAATCAACACTACAGTCCTCCCAATAAGTAATAGATGATGTAGAGTCGTCTTTGTATCACTCAGGAGATATTATACAGTATGCTTCATAAAGATAAAAAAAAAATACAGTCAGGTGTTGACGCATCTCTACAGCCCTACATGTCTGGAAGGACTGAAAAAAAACAAGTTTTCTCTCCTCCTCCTCTATGTTGGTGCACATTGGAATTGATTAAGTATGTTGCCCATATGAGCTCAGACTTGTGATTCTCACTGATATGAAGACAATTTTTTTAACTTTTTCTCTTTTCTGAACCACAAAAACGGTGTTGAGAGGTTTAATTTTGGCCAAATAACCCTGCTTCCAGCTCTTTGCTTGAGCAGATCTCTCTTGTAGCTCAGCACAGAGTTGCTGCTACTCTGACACATGTTTTTTGGATCAGAACCGGTTCAAAGAACTGGTTTCAAAGCAGGCACTGACTCTACACTAGCACTAAAACTAGCCTATTAGAAAAGGAGTAAAAGAGAGGTCCCTGGAACTGTATGTTTTGGATGCTTTCAGTAGAAAAGCACTCAATGACTGATTCAGTAAATGCAGCTTCAAAGTGTCACCTGTTTGAGTCCAGAGAACATGAAGGCGTCCGATGGTTCAACAGCCATCTCCACCTCCTGCACCAGAGCGGTTCTGTTCTCTATGTGGTAACGAACAGAGAGAGACTCCCTGACCCGTCCAAATGACGGCAACTCTACACACAGACACACATATGAAGAAAGATCATGAACACACACAACACAATCAGCTGTTGTAGGTCAAATTCATCACAAAGTAAATGACAGAAATAAATAAATAAATACTGTTTGCATATTGTGTGTTCATTCAGATTTTACTGGTCTTGGGCAAAAAGTTTGGATCTTCAAAACCCATGCACTCATGTTTTAAACACCGCAGGAGACTTTGCCACAAGCTTTTACTCACATTCAACAATACTATGAATACACCGCAAGAACAACCGCACAGATTAAGGCGGCAAAACATCGAAAATGCAGTGGGTCATATCATGAGAAGTGTCTTTATGATCTGTTTTCACTTGACTGACCAGCGTGGATGTACAGAGGGACAGACTCCAGGATGATGTGAGGTAGAGTGACTGTAGTTTGGATCAGGGGACTGTCTGCACTGGATGATTTTCTGTCAGAAAACATTAAAAGTGTCAGGAGAATTATAAGCAGGTTTGAAAAAAAAGATAAATAAATGCTCACTCAGCAATGTGTGTGCATGTGTATACCTTTTCCAGGATATCAGGTATTGTCCTGTGGCCACAGTGCTGTTGCTGTTGCTCTGAGGTGGACAGCGGAGGCAGAAACACTCGCTGGCACACTCCCCTGTCTGCAGAACCACTGAACACAAACGCACAGGAGTTATAGAAATGAGAACAGTGTTTATTTTTGTGATTTGATTCCGTCATAAACCTGAAAAATGTCCCTGTATGGTCACTTCTCTGGTACCTTCCTGTATCTGTGACTGGAGCTGAGGTGTGTTGCTGGTCACAGTGAGCAGCTCCAGAGAGGAGGAGACCAGCTGCAGAGGCCAAGGCGAGGATGAGAGGATGTCTGTCATCAGGAGGAAGGGGATGTCCACTGCTACTCTGTCCAGTGACTCAAACTAAACACACAAAAAAAAACATTGAGTTTTTTTGTTTTATTCTTTCTCTTACAAATAAAGACCTCTTATAAAAATGGAGGGGCAAAACTTATCAAGAGGACATACCAGAGGCTGCAGTTCAAACACAAATGGACAAAAAATCACTCTCCTTTTATCCATCCTCAGACAGCCCAAAAGTTATATTTCTGCATGAGTTTTACAGTGAGCTAATAATTGCTGTTGATTTCCTCTTTGACTGTTAGGATGCCCTTCTCTTATTATCTGAGGTTTTGGAATAAACAAATAAAAAACAAAACTGAACATAAAAAAAATCAAGTGAGCTAATGTTAACACATAAACGTACACAAGCTAGCAAGAGGGCCAGGTGATGATAGAGATGCAGCCGAGGTTTAACCAAGACATCTGAGGTTAAAAAGGGAGAGGCTTTAAAAAACATGACCAAAGAGATGTCTGCACATGTCTGTTTGCAGGGTGCTTTAATAGAAATGTAAAAACTGTCATTGTAGCAAAGGTGTCTGCTGCTGAGTCAGTTATGTTGTTGTAAATATGACACTGTGGCCTTTACAGCGTGTTTGTTCTTCTTTAGGTTGATAATCAACAGAACATTTACACTTCCTGATACTTTCTGACTGTTCTTGTAACAACATGAATGTGATATTTTATGGCTGCGATAATCAGTAAGTGAAAATCTGATATTGTGATAGTCCTAGTTTAGGACTGAGCCATCTACCTGAACTCTACCCTCATCCATTAAAACACTGATGCTTGACCCCTAACCAAAATCCAGTCAGGTTAGCTTTGGATCATAGTCAAATTTAAGGATGTTCCTCTAAGACAACTTTTAGACTATGAGTACACAATAGTTGTAAATGGCAATTAGGGCTGGGCGATATGTGAAAGAGTTTATCCCGATATATTTTTTTCATATCAGTCGATATATCACGATATAAAAAATAAAATTTAAGAGTGCTTAATGGTAGCATGTCTTTTGCAATACAATAAGCTACTGCATCTGTGACGTTTTCACCGTGTTGTTGTGTCAGTGTTGTTGACGAGGTTGTCAACTGTCTGCATCCATCTGCAACCATCTGCATTTCTGCTGGGGGTAGTACTCATTTTCTTCTTTTTTCTCACTGACAGTGCTGTCGGCTTCACCTGTTTAAAGTGCTATGGTTGCGTGTAGCTGCAGCCTGCTACTACGCAGTCGTTTGCTACTTGGTTCTAATCCAGCACATGATTGGTTCAGCACAAAGCAGACCCGGAGCAACTCCCCTTTTCATTGGCTATTCGTATAGTCTACCAAAACATGGCAGAATACCGACTATCAAAAAGCATATTGACCACGTTTCATATTAATATTGAGGGGAATTCATTTTAAGATATATATATCGTTATCGTTTAATCGCCCATCCCTAACGGCAATAAACCATTTAGAATAGAATAGAATATTCCTTTACTGATCCCCCATGGTGGAAATTTTTTTGCCACAGCAGCAACACAGACAGAGAAAGTGCAAAAATGCAGTTATGAAAATAAAGATCGTAATATTAAGAACTTAAATGTTACAATTAAGAAAAAATTTAGAAAAGGAAAAAGGGAGAAGAAAATAAAACTATATACAATACACACATTTTAAGTATCAAATACACAATTTAAGTACCAAAGATTTACATTTACATAGCACTTCAGTCCTGAGTCAACCACTCATTGCATACTAGTTCACCCATTCACCCCTCTTTGATACATGAGCTGCGTGGCTGCAGAGTCTGTGATGTAAACTGCATGTAAAATCTTAACTGTCTTGCCCCATGACACCTCAGCACATGGACTGCAGAACCTGGGATTGAACAGCCAATCCTCTTATTGTTCGAACCACACATTCACAAGTATTAGCCTTACAGACAGACACACCAACAGCATAATGCAAAAGTTGTTCCAGGCACGGAGGCAAACAAAAGAATCAACAAACTGACTGTAAAAACACGTGATCACCGGCAAACTTCTTTTTAAACAAACTAGAGAGGAACAAGCACTGACCTTGGTGGACACAAACTTGACTGACACATCAAACGGGATCACTGTCTCTATGGTAACCGTCTCATCCTGTAACACATCAGAACAACAGAGGAATAAAACCTTCACTGAAAAACAAACAGCAAAAAACATGCAGTGGTGAACTCAAGGTGATCTCCTCTACCTTGTGACATTTGCAGACAATCTGTCGTCCTTCCACTGTGGTGTCGATGCTGTAGGCCACATGGAACAGGAAGACCCTCGGTCCACAGGACTCACATTTTACATACACAGACCTCTCCAGCTACAGACAAAGACACACGCTCTTTTAGGCAGGTAGATACAAAGGAAGTACAGAGCAGAAAATTCCTCTCTACTTGGTTAGTCTGGAGCATTTCATTTAAAATGTTCATGTGTCTGTGTGCGTGGCTGTGTGCACCTTTTCTCCTGGTTTTAGATCTCCTAGAGGAATATCAGGAAGCAGGGCGGGGGCAGAGTCGTCACAAACCTTTGAGCCATCGAGCGTCACATGAGTGGTCTGGCCAAGGTTGGCATCCTGACCTGGACAGAGCAATTGAGAAAACAATAAACCCGAGTGCGCTACTATTACACCTTGGTTCTGAGATAACAGAGACAATCACTGTAACAGAAAGCTGTGGGTGAAGTACCAAAGGTCTGGAGTCTGGCTTTGGAGAAGACTGACCACCTGAAACCACTGAAGGATTAACATTTGAACTTTATAAGACATGAGGGCACAAAGTTAGAGTTTGAGATGCTTCCTTTTTTAATGTAATGTCATAAAACATCACAAGACAACTCTGACTCTGCCTTAGCTTATCAAGCAGACAAGAGGAGGCTGAAGCTATGGACTGACATTTCCCATCCAGACCCCTGATGATTAAAGGGATATTCCGGCGTAAAATTAATTTAGGGTCTAACACACCATAACACGGAGTTAGACCCCCCCTTGAGAGATGAATGTTGCTGACTGCTTGCTTCTCTAGTTATACCAACTTTAGTAACATTGGATGACCTGTCCCCGAAAATGTCCCAGATTTCAGCGTTTCATGAATGAGAGCAAAAATGTTGCGTGTGGGCTCGAACAACGGATATTACAGTAGCCGAATGGGTAGGAAGCACAAGTTAGCAGTCCTGAACAACAGTTTTTACGGGGGTTATTACAAGGGGCATGCGCTGCTACTAAATAGTACCGAGATGTTGTCTGTGATCACCCCCCGCCCCCTCCATTAATGGATATTTACATAAATGTTAATGAGCCAAAATCAGTTAGTTTTCCTCTAAGGTTTTTTAGGCATACTAAAATGGTTTGAAACAAACCATCAAATAACTTTTCAGCAAAAATTATGTTGCAAACATGATCAGAGGACATCAAGGATTATGAAATAATGATAAAAATGGGTACGAAATTTTGATGGCAGGTCCCCTTTAAGTTTTCAGACTTTTCCAGAAACTTGGATGAAGCCATGCCCAAGTTCCTTTAAAGCATCAGTAATTAGCTGCGCGCATAGAGCACCAGAGTCTATCTATTATTTCGTTTAGTTGGCTAAAGTGACTCCTGAAGATAATATCAGCTGGCCAGTGAAATTATTTTCCTAAATTATTGACGTGAATTAATCTGCAGTAAAGCTAATCCTGAACGCCCAGAGGACTGACCAGCATCATCTGCCGAGCTGCATTTGCCACCCGGTTCTGAGAGGCAAAGAGAGCTAAAGTATCTGACGGCGCTGACACCGTGCTGCGGATGAAACCAAAGACCCATTCCTGGTGGAGAACTTCTCGCCGAATCTTTCAGCATCCGGTCCGGTAGCCAAGAACTTCAGCCTATCCACTCCAAGATTGCCGCTGAGAACCGACATCAAATAAATGCGCAAACCCCTCGACACTGCTGTATCAACCGGGTGATGCTGTCAAGTGTTCAGTAGCTTATATTCTTAATTAAAGTTTAGTTTCTCCAAATTCCTCTTCAAAATGTATCCTTGTAACCCCATTACTGTAGGTTAAATTTTTCCTTATTCACTCACTATCATTAACCTCTTAACCTCTTAATTTCAGTATTTATTTACAAGATATTCTTTTATTTTCTCATTATTTGATCATCATTTATTGAATTTATGTTATCACCTAGCATTTGTCAATAAATTGTCCATTTAATTTTAAGTTGTCGTCTCTTAGAGGTCCCTCCAGAAGTGAAGTCCCTGAAATGAGAATTTCGGCCTCAGATGTGAGATTGATTTAAATCTGTTTAAGACTGATTCAACATTTGATTACTCAATTGAACTTTGTCTTGTCTTTTTCCCACCAGAAAAGGGTGGGTGGTGCCCCTTCAACGAGTGCATAAATGTCATAATCTAATTCTATTATTTTAGGACATTTATCATTAGGACATTGATTTTTTCAATTTAATTGTTAATTTGAGGTCAAATCTATGATAACGGAAATAAAATAACTGTTTGTCCAGTGAGGTTGGCAGAGGTGACATCATACAGCAGGAAAAAATTAGTGCAAAAAACATGGCAGCACCTGGCGAAGGACATTGGGAATTCAAACAGGGAACAAATGAGATGGACATGACACATAAGGTTTGCATGAAAATAAAATATTGTGTCAATAAGACAAACATAAGGGACAGACAAATGCTAAATCAGCAAAGCAGTTAAAAATGTTAGAAATCGCAATACATGGAATCGCAACACTCACTGTATTGAACAATTGCAACAATATCAAATTATGGACCAAGTATCGTGATATACTACCGTATCGTAGAGCCACTAGCGATTCCCACCCCTATTATTTAGGGAATTTTCCAGTACCTGGTTTAAGTCCAGCAGTCAGTTTCAAATCCTTTGCCACGCCCTCCTCTTGTGATTGGACCGTGAGGCTGATGCAGTACATCTCATTATGGAGAGCAGGTGGCTGGTGGCTCAGCTGAACAGAGATCTTTGGGACTCTAGAGATGATCCTGAACAATGAGCCGAGGGAACAAAATGAACCTTAAATATTTGTGTCAGTGTGAAAAACATCAAACATTTTGTCAGGTCTGAACAAAGTCCTACATGGTGCTGTGTTGCACGGTCAGACTGTCCCAGTCTGGCTCCTGACGTGCCTCCATGCTCCGCCCCCATCGACGTGATGACCTGCTCGCCATCAAGGCTTCATGGGTAGAGGCTGCGTCTCCACCCGCCCCTCTCCAGCTCACAAACACACAGCGGCCCCGGTCACTGCCCAGCATCACCTCGATACCTGTTATCTAAACAGACACACAAAGCAAAACACATTGAAAAAGTCTCATCTTAACACAATAACACAGACACGCAGTCAGAAACACACACAGACGCAGTTTTCTCACCTCGATCTTCTTGCCAACATCTTCAGTTTTTGCTACAAAGCTGAAGTTGAAGCATTTGGTTTTTCCAGGCAGCAGACTCATACTCTCCTCACCTGAAGACTCCACCACACACCACTGGTTGTACTCCTACACACACACAAACACACACACAAAGTAAAACACACATTATCATCACAAAAAAAAGGATGTCTGCCGGTTTCAATTCCCAGGACTGAGTGAGATATCTCTTTAAGAGTTGGAGTACATAATAACTAGAAAGTCAAAAGCTTCACCTTTGGGCTCAGCTCTCTCTTAACCATGCCAGCTAAGTGCATGACCACTAAAGCTCCAGGAACCTGCCTGTCTGGTGCTGAAGACAAACTGTCACAGCACCAGTTTTTTTTTTCTTCTTTTTTTTTACATGCCAAAAGTCTGCAGAGTGTACCTGGTTGCTGAGGCTGACAGCCAGCTTGTTGAAAGAAATGAGATGAGGACAGTCGGCTCGGAGGAAAACCTGAAGCTGGATTGGCTGGTCGACATGGAAGCTGGGAGACTGGAACTTGGCCTTACACTGGACTGGAGTCAGAAAAGAGAGGACAGACTTAGAACAACAACCATGACACCTCTGAACAGACATGCTGTTGTATTTTAGCATTGGAGATTCACGCTGCAAATATAACCTTCTCTTCATGTACAAGATGAACACAGAGTAGAGTTCAACACACATTAATTAAAGAGTGAAAGTCTCAAAGGTGTGAGTGAGTTTGTTGTCTACTCACTGAACGGGATGTAGTCTTGCACTTCTACAGTCAGCTCATTTGATCCAGCCAAAGCCATGCGGTCACTCCACAGCGACCTCGCTGCAGTGACAGAAGACGGATCACAGTCTGGCTCTGCATCCGGGACCTCATTCTGAAAACAGAGACAGTGAGGAGTGGGACTGTGTTTGTTTCTGTGTTCAACACAATTACAAACAGCATAAAACGCCAACGGTGATCTGCATGTTTATCAAAGAAAGAGCCGTGACATCCCATAACTGAAAATGAGATCATCCAGTTCTAGGCTGCATGTGAAAATAAAAGCTTTTTCATGATATAAGTGTCACATGAAGGTTGTGCAGTTTTAAACACTTGCTCATTTGTCCAGAAAATACAGTGACTGTGAAGCTAAGAGCTACATCGTACAAATAAAACCTCAAGTTGGCTGAAAGAGTCTATCACACTTGAAATTGACCTAGAAAGGGGTTACATGACACAATAAAATTGCTTCCACTGAGAATTTTTTTTTCAAACATTTCCACTTTAAAAAAAAAAAGACCCATGCATGAGATAAATACAATCTCAACTGAGCAAGAACTACCCTGTCAGATCTTAAGCATCAAGTCAAACCCTTACTGCACACTGGCTGACGATGCTTCGTACCTGCTGACCAGAGTTTCGAGGATATTTACTGGAACATTTTCATCACAATCTTTGCTGTCGAATCACTGAGGCTGAGACAGATGGACTTGTACTCACCGCCAAGACTTTGAGGAGATTTTTCTCGATCCTTGACTCCTGTTCCTCCTTTAAGGTTGAAGCTGGAGGACAAGGTGAACAAGTGGTTAGTACTTCCTGTTTTCTGCTCTAATGCATCTATTAGTTTTATATTTTGAATGGAAATCAGCTTTTAACATTCAAAACTCTTGTTCTTTTTTTTTTCTTCTTCTTTTTAACTATCCAGATTGTTTTCTTACCTTTATAAAAATCTCCACACAACCAAGAAACAGAAAAAGAATCACTTGTTTTGTTTTAGTTTTTACTTTTTCTGTCTGGATTATTCACAAGTCTGATGGCATGGGGCACAGCAAATTTTTCTTTTGTTTTCCTTTTGGGGGTGAGAGCAGCTTTTAACAGAAAATATGGTGATGAGGTGTCTTTTTAGGTCAGGGGGCTAAATTATACCCCCCATGGTGCGTAATGGTACAGTCGAACCTCCTCACTCACCTCTGCCCAGCAACTCCATACAGTAGATGATGTAATCTTTCACACTGGCCATCAGATAAGCACAGCGCAGAGCCGTGGTCAGGATGGCAGTCAGGAGGCCCCACCACCTCTCTGTGCGGTAGTCACACATCACATAGTCCAGCAGCCTGACAACAAAACACACAAAAACACGCTTTGCTAAAACACAGACTCTAAGGAAACTGTTTTCAGTCAACTGCATACTTAAGGCCGGATTGACCAAAGAGCTGTGCAGCTATTACACCTGTGGAAATGTGACAAAAAGACAGCCGTACTTTCACAGTGCCCACAGAGGGGTCAGTGCATCACAAAGTGTGCAGCAGAGCAACCAGCTCTGGTGCTCTGGTGTAGTTCAGGAATGTCTAAACGAGCCAGAAATGGTTTCTCTTCTTCCCAGTCATTAATTTCAAATTTCAAATTCTTTTTTTCTTTATTATTGACATTATTTGATTCAAGTGTTAAAAAAGTGAAATGATTTCTCTAGAAATGTGTGGTTTACACAGAACCACTCACTTTTGAAATAATCGTGTATAAAAGAGCAGACTGAATCTTGCTTGAATATGTGCCGTATGTAAAAAGTGGTGTTTTGTGGCTGGGGTATATCAAAACACAGAATCTCCACAATAGTCCCATGAATATCTCCCTAAAATTCCAGGACAGAGTCAAAATAAATGTGAGAGTCAACATTGAGAACAATTTTGAGACTTCTGGATCATCTGACTTGGTACTTTTTTTAAAACTATCAGGCACAGCTTTACATGCTTCATACCTAAAGCTGCTGTGAGAAACTTTCACTTAATGTCAGTCTTGTGCGTCGACTTACTTTAGGGCTTTGGTGTAGTCTTTAGCGTGGTAGTATTCTTCGCCCATCTGCACCACTGGAAAAGACAAAAAAATGACACAAACACTAAATAATATGGAGTGTGACAAGATTTAACAAAGACAAGAGGAAAACAAACTCCTCAGATCAACAGAAAACAGTCCTAACTGCAAGGAGAGGATGTTTAGATGAAGTTGTTCCTCTGTATGCACGTTTATTCAATCTATGTATGAAAATAGGAGGATACTCACTGAGGTGACTCTTCATTCGAGGACACTTGTACTTCTTAAACTGGGCGACAGCATTACTCAGAAGAGCTATTATCAACTCCTGGAACAGCAGAGAAAGAATTTTGTGGTTTAATGAAAAAGGAAAATCTGACTGTAGCTGGACAAACATATGATTGTGTATGTGGCTGTATGTGATGGCAGGAGTTCAATCAATTTGTTGTTTTCAAAGTTGAAAGTCTTTCCACTGTGATGCTTTACTTCTTATAAAACACTCCACTTTACTAAATACCGTGTATATCATATCATTAAAACTGATCCTGCATTAGTGTTAGTGTAACCCTGTACCTTGAGACATCTACAAAGCCTTATTAGTTTGATCTTGTAATTTGCAGCCAGCCTCTGTCGTAGAATCTGAGATGATATTCATGCATGTTGCAAGAAGCCATATGTTTCAACAGCAGTTACAACAGTCATCGATAGCCTTGTAGAAGAGGTGATGAAAGCAGCAATTCAAAAGTCTCCACATGACATGGTGTTAGACAGTGTTGAGTAGAAAGTACTCAATTCTGAGGTTTTTGTGTCAGTGTTTTCTTACCTTTAGACCAATCAGCTCCACAGAATGTACAGTTACTTTTCTAAGGAGCATTCCTAGGAAAACCACTCATACTTCACACATGTTCTGGTGTGTGTAGTACTGTGTACTGTTGCCTGAAAACAAATATCCTGTGTGTGTGTGTGTGTGTGTTTGAACAGACACTTACAGAGTGTGGGACGTCTCTCTCTTTGATCTGCAGGGCCAGAATCCCGTTTTTCTCCTTCTCTGCGTCTGGAGGATCAATGCCTGGAAAGAAAGCATTACAGAAATCAGGCTTTACAAGCAAAGCAGGACTTCAGGCAAAACCCCAGGATGTTACGCTCAAGACTATGTCTCTTTGGACGTACTCTGGTGTCCTTGTCTCCATGGTCTCTGACCGTAGAAGTCCAATCCTCCACTTTGAGTCTCCAGTGGTTCAGAGGAGGGATTACTTGCTCCAGCCTGGAACAACAAACAATCAAATACAACGTACACATTTTATGTACAAGTTTTCACAAAAACAAGGTATTTAGACATCATTTTGTCACAGTTAAGGCTTAATATTAATGTAGCAACATCAACCAAAAGTACAAAAGAAACCTGCAGCTGTTTCAACAAAGTCCAAGTACGGATCAGTTCTACAGGGGAGAGTTGTGTGTCGCTGCAGAGTGATCACCTGACAGAGCTGCTGAGCCTGTTGTTTTCTGTCCTGACTGTAACAGGCCGCCTGCTGGTAGTAGAAACCAGGATTCTGTGTCTGGATGGCCGTCAGACCCAACTTTATGGCTTCATCGAACAGCTCTCCAAATGACTGGAACCTGACAGCGATGATGGACAGTTCAGACCGTGTTATTACAAGAGTTAAACTGTTGAGATTTCTATTTTTGTCAAGATCTGCTGAGAGATGTAAAAACTGCACAGCTTTGAATCTTGCACCTCTGAGTGAATCTTATTTGTTCTAAAACTGCAGAAACACAAGTGAGAGAGTTTATCTCGTATGTGAACTAAAACTAGTCGGTATCTCATCAATCCCTCAACAACACCTGTAGCTTCAGTCACATGGCAAAGTAATTATTAGTTTTTACTATTTCTCGATTTTTACTATTACTTGAAATTAATAAAGAACTAATCACATCTACAGGTTATCCAAGGGTCTTTTAGGTATTGATTCACACCCACAAAGATTACACAGTTTACGTGCATTAATACACAAAATGTATCTCACTGTTTGGACATCCACGCAGCGTGTTCGAAGGCCAGCTCAGCACTGCCAATCTTCTTCTTACACAGGTCAATGTGCTTCCTGAACTGAGCTATAGCGTCCAGAGGAGTGTTGTGCTGGAAACACAGGCGGCAGATCTGAAGAGACACAAGAAAGGAGAGAAACATCGGTGAACAAGAAAGATGGTAAAGGGGCAGTAACTGCAGACTTCAGCCCTCATTCTAGAGCCAAAATAATCAGCCTGCAAACCTTTACAAACCAGAAATTCTCACATCCGACTTCAAACTGACTTAGATGGTACTGAGATCTGATAAACACACAGAGACAGGCACAGAATGGTTGCAAAAAAAACATACAAGAAATGCAGAAATACAGAAATGCGTATGCTTTAAAGCAGCAGCACAATAGCTCATAAATATTCAATCAATCAGTCAATCAGTTTTATTCATAAAGCGCCAAATCACAACCCAACCTTAAGATGGGACAGATTTGACCCACAGAGTCCTGGCTATAGCACCAGTAATGATGGAAGAATATGAGATCAGTTTACAGGATCAGGAAATAAGTAATAACGGACTGATGTTATATTAATTTATATGATTACAGTCAGCAAGTCGAATGGTAGTTAACTGAAGCTTTATGATATTAATGTCTGTGAGGCTGACGTTGATGTCTGCATCAACACTCCAGAGGAAGTTATGATCAAATTTGCACTGATATAATGCTGAAAAAGTCTCTTAATTAGCCAGAATCCATTTTTTTCCCAATCTGTCAGATAAACAATCAAATAAAAATAATCGAATAAAATAATCTTAAAATGTCCCTTACAAGCGATAAGCTGTTCATATAATACTGAAAAGGCCCATAGTTCCTGAAGCCCAAAGTGACATTGTTAAATTGTCTAAAGTATTTCATTCTCCTTTCCAGTCCTTAATTTATCTTTATTACTGACTATTTTAATTACTGTGTTTGTCCTTTTTTCAGACAAGCCCAACATCTACTTTACTGTCACTCCTCAGTCAACAATTCTTTAGTGTTTTTTTAAGAAAACTCAGTAAAGACCAAAGTGAGAAGGTAGAGAAATCTCTACTCAAATCTGATAAAACAAACCTTATAGTTGATGAACCCAGCCATGGTTTTGATCTCCAACATATTGGTCTCATGAGCTCTGAGCTCATGAATGAGGCTGTATGCCGTCCTGTAATATCTGTGGACAAAAAAAAAACAACAATCTTAAAGAGAGAAGTATGAGATCCTAGACTTCATGAATCACAGTATAAACAGCATCTGAATTAGCTGCACCAATGTCAAAGCAGAAAGTTCTTCTTATGAGCTTAGCCCCTCTCACACACACACACACACACACAAACTCTGCACTCTTGGTGATTTTCTTATTGTCTAGGAGGAATACGTTCAAGTTCATGCTCCGGATAGCAGGTGAGTTGATGTGTGAACACAGCAGGTAAAAGTCAGGAACATTTACAGCGGGCAAGAGGGGCAGGGTGATGATGATGTAGTCCACATTGAGCAGAATTTCTCTGGTTGTACTCATCATTGTCTGGACATCTGTTTGAGTCATGTATGCTGTCTGCCTTCAAAACAATGTGAGTCTAAGATTTGATCTTTTCTGATCCCAACAAACAGCAACATTATCTTTGTGACTTACTTGAGAGCATTCTGGGTGTCCTGCTTCAGCTCACTGAAGAAGGCGATTTTAAACTGGTGTCTGACAAACAGCAACTGGAAACAACAGGAGAGAAAGGAGAGAGGAAGAGGAGGAGAAGGAGAGGAAGAGGGCAAGCGTGAGCGGGGGGGCTGCCATAATTCACTCTGAGTACCCAAAGGTTTGTCTTCCATCACAAACATTTTTACGCTCTGCGATTTGCACAGATTGGATAACCTGCAGAGTACAGGTGATGCGTGTTTGTGTTCATCCTTTTCCTACCTGGTGTGTCGTCTTGTTGAGGAACTCTTTATGTGACTTAACTCTGCGGATCTCGGTGTAGTAATATGTCTGAGCATGTTCATAGAAAGCGTTCTCCAACCTGCAGAAACAGAGACAATCCACAATAACAAACTTCCTGATAATGATTAGGATGGATGTCAAAGTCTTTGTATCTATTGTAGCTGATAGAGAAGCATGTGATGAAGCTCAAAAATGGGCCGTCACAATCACAGCAGCCATTAATGATTTCAATATGTCTTAATGTTAATCTGCACTGCAATACAGGAAATGTTTTCAAAATCATTTAAGAATGAAGAGTCCTCGAAACATTTTTGAATAAAAGCACAGGAAGCTAATCGGTGAGTATAATGAGGGCCACTGACAGTTTATAAAGCACCTGTTTAAAACTGTTAATCAGATGGCATTAGGGGAATGTGAACTACCTGATAATGTAACCCACTAAGTGGTCAGTGTGTGGCAGCACAAAGAGACTCTTCCCAGACAGATCACAGGCATTACAAAGAGCAGCAGCTCTCTCTGATGCCACCAGGTCCTCTCCTGCACAAAGACGAGAAAACAAGATGTTAAAGGGGACGGAACAGACAGAGAGAGCAGGCTGGGTTTTTCTCTGTATTCTGGGTCTTCATGGCTCAAGGGGGTCGCCTGTTATTCACTTGTGTTCTTCTTCCATGAATTTGCTTATATTGAGCATTTTGCAATTTATGTCCATGACAGACACTACTTGTGTACTTTAAATGTTAATTGTGAGTACAGAAAGTTTACATTTTAGCTATAACACGTTTTCTACATCTATTTTCTCTTTATTATTTATACAACACATCTGATTTGCAACAGTAGAGTGATCCCCAGCAGTCCTCGAGTGCTAGCAGTTTGATTTATGATTGGGATGAGCTGAACTCAACCCATTTACCATGTTTCTGTGTTGTTGTTGCAGACTGCTGACAGGAAAACCAGGACTGGATTTTGGACGTCTGAAAGGACTGCATTTGTGTGCTTCTCTGTTTCCATTTTAATAACACTGCATTTAGACCATAGACTGTATAAACTATGGACAACTTGGTTCCGCCTACCGCCTGGATACGGATTTGAAGCCAAAAAGCTCTCGGTATTTCCAGGATTTTTCTTCATTTCCTGAAACCACAGCAACTCTCTGCGATGTGCACATTTGGGTGCACAGTCGCCAAGAGTTGATGTGATGACGCTCGGCTCAAACGGCGTATCCCCTGGGAGAGCTACACAATCCCTGAACGCCCATAGGCTGTATCAGGTGTCAGTCACAGAAAACATGAACCCCCTAAAAACTTTTAAAAATGGAGCTGTACAGAAAAAAGAGGACTTGAGCACATACCAGTTTTACTGTAACTACATGTCAACATCGCAAGCAGGGGGGAGAAAAATTTATGTTCAGTGTAATAAATTTCTAAAGTTTGTCCACAGCTCCATAAGCTTTGCTGACGGAGGCGGGCTCTATGACCGATACTGCATCCTGTCACCAGAGGGTGCTGTTCTCAGAGTGGCTTAACCCAGCAAGGAGGCAGACTCTGTCCATTCTATATACAGTCTATGATTTAAACGGACTGGCTCCCTGGCATATAGTCAAGCCGTTGCAGCATGTCTTTGCCTAACCTAAATTTTTTTTTAAGTTTATTTTATCTCTACAAAATTTGCATCTCTTAATCGAAGAGTAGTAAATAGCTGGTTTATATACAGTACACCTGACTGCATTTTAAATTGTATGACTAAAATAAATCAACAAAATAAATTCAGATTTTTCTTTGCATTCATTGAACGTGCTCCAGCTACAGTGATGATGACACTGCTAATGATTGTGCAGCCATAATGTAAATTCAGTTAGATCCTGATGTCTAAAACTGATCAACAGTTTAGAAATCACCTGACATTGTGCAGAAGTTTTGCTCATGCTGAAAAGGATTCTAAATTATGTTTTGTCTAGAGTAAAATGTGTACAGTTTACAGTACAGGTAACAAAGTAACTAGTTAAAAACAGAGACAGAGATTAAAAACATATTCAAAATTTCATATAATATACTGCTTGCACAGGCTTCCATTAACTTTAAAAATGAATATGCTTAAATAAATGACCTGTGTTTGCTTAAACCTGTAAATACTTTTGTACAAATGTCCGATGAAAAGAAGCTCCTGTTTTCAATAAGATGAAAACGTTTAAAATAAATGATTAAAGAACAATTCCTAAGAAACGATTCAGTAGATCTGAGTACCTGGAGGCAGGGGAGTTTTCTTCTGGATCAGAACCACAGCTACCTTGGTGTTCCTGCCCTGTAGACTGGTCCTAAAGACGAGAAAGCATGTGAGGTAGGTGAAATATACAGGGGTCATGGTTGTACTTGGGTTTTCTGGAGCTTTGGGGGAGTGTCAGCCAAGTAAAGTCTTCATATTTCAATACTCTAACTTCTTTTTTTTTTTTTTTTTTACAGAAGTTAAGGAAAAAGAAATTGTTTCATTTTCAGTGGAAATATGGCAATGATGGCAATGTAATTAAAAAGCTGAGAATCATTTGTCTTTGTCAAGTTGTATTTCATGACAAAAAATGACTAGCAGAAATTTAAACCACCTGCTGTGTGCGTAAAAAAAATACCACATGTACAAGCAGAAAACACAGAATGAGCACGGTGATGTTAAATGCCAAAGTATTCAACTGCTTTTTCTGTTGGAAAACAAGATATATGTGGTACCTGACGATTTCTACTTTAGTTGCACATTCAGACTGTTTCTCCTTCCACTGTGGGTCGTCCCAGTCCAGTTCATAGAAGAGCACGACCAGAGCTGGAACCAGGTTGAGGTGCTTGTTCATCCAGCCTGTTTTCAGGATGCCTTTAGGAATGTACCATTCATATGATGTTCTCTATACAAAGTTGAAAATAATCGTTTAGAAAGACCAAGATGCAGCACTTCTCTCACATAAAGGCAGCACAACTCTTCTGTTTTGTTTTCATCTTTCTTTATTAATATTCTGTAAGATCACAACAAATGGTAACCAAAACTTTGCTCCAGTTGAGTGCACGAGGCTTAGTTTGTTTTTCATTGTATTTATTTACTGATTATCTTTTTGGTCTCTGCATTGATCACTCACCTTGGTGCGACATTTGGGGTACTCATGATCTCCTGGGAGGACTTTAAAGGAGATAGGAACTCTGTCAGCCCGCCGGTTAGCACAGAAAGCGTCCCATATAGCCCGGTGTACGGCATTGTACACCACATCCAGGCCAGTTAAAGCCACAAAGGCCATGGGCCGGCAACAGAGCTCTGGGGGAAGCTCCCACTGTGAACCTGCCATTGTGTTTTTTATGACAGTGGATTTACCTAAACGAGACAGAGCAACATTATCACAACAGAAACATATATTTACAGAATATTCATTTAACTTCTTTTGATGGGAAAAAAAACACAAAACTAAACAGGACTTTTCATTTATTCTCAAGAGATCATTGTAGGGCAACCTCAGTAGTGAGTGTACTAAGGTAATCATAAAAGCTATTTTGAAAAAGTGTTATGAGAACGAGGGGATAGATTGATAAAATGGCATTTACTTTACCAAACAGGAGTAAATTCTGACATGACAGATAACACAATAAAAATGTCAAGTCAAATACAAGCCAAAATAAAGTAGTCTGTAAAATTCAATGGTTGAAATAGGGAAGATAAAAAGAGTGATTGTGTGAAGCAACAGACAGCCATTAAACTAGTTTCCCTTTCCAGTACAATTTGCCAGCACTTCCTGCGGCTATTTGACCCTGACTCCTCAGTTTGGTGCTTGTGACTTCATCCTACTTTTAACCATTTAACAAGATATCATTAGGCATCATAGGATTACCTTGCATTTAATTAGTTATTAGATTGCAGCATCGATATATTACAATATAATAGATATTGAAGGAATAGTATCTTACAGTTCTCATCCAAAATTTAAGTGGTTAAAGTTTTGCACTCATCATTTTGCACATTCCAGCACAACTTTCCAGTCCTTTAGTACACATTTTCTACTCTTTTAGGTTTAATAAACCTTATCTCATCCAAGTTCCCTGACAGCAGGATTACTGTAGTTTTATATATATATATTTTTAATTCATATCTTTGTTTATGATTTTGGACCAAAACATCCATTCTCATTCCTAGTCTGTGTAAACACACTGCAGCAAACCTAACTCTGATCCTGATCACGTACTTCACATGATTCAAAGTGCTGTGGGATTTTCTATCAATACTCTGCTGTGTTCGTGTATGTGGGTACAAATCTCATGGAGGTGTTTTGCATTATTTGTTAATAACAACACAAAAATCCTCTTTGAACCACCGAGAGTGAGCTAGGAAAGAGCATTTCTGATAAACAACCTGCAGGTCACAAGACTTCATGGTTAGCATGAGCTAACAGTGACAGATCATCTGTTTACATCCTACAAACAGGAAACTGACTGTGTAAATCGATCTGAAAAACCTTCTAAACAACGGAGGATTACTCAGCTAATATAAAAATATGATATTCATTTATCTTATCTTGTCATTTACAAACAAAAACCGTCAAAGCCGAAAGCAGAACTAAGACAACCTGACCCGGCTATTGCTAGCAGCCTTGCTATAACATCCTGGACCCCTGTTATTTAGAAAACATGGATAATAGACAATTAAACCATAACAAAATACCTCAGGTGCATCCCTCAGAGTGTCGGGGTCCTGCTGAAAGGTTCACCCAGCTAGCTGTGAGTAAGCTGCTAGCTGCAGCTCAGTCTGCACGTCTATGAAGGTTAACAGTGAGCTAATGGGCGAGGTTTGAACCTTAACGGCCACATAAACGTCAGTGAGCTGTGTTATGAATCCTACTGTCCCCGTTTCTGCGCTGCTGTCTTTCTGACGACTTTATATCAAGGTGTTAAACCCAACAGCAGCTGAAAATAAAAGCTAATCTAGTAGCTCCAGCTAACTGCCTAGTTAGGTACCTGTGGCACAACTTTAGCACACTTCCGGTTAAAATTTTCAAAATAAAGTGCTACAACTTCAGCTGTCATAGTCTACTAAAACATTTCGCGGACTGTCTAATAGCATGCTGCACCACAATTGGCAGCTATGTATTAAACTCTGGGATTTTATCAGGTGTATAAATATTAGCCAATTTTTACCAAGAAAAAAAGAAACTTGTTTGGAGATGTTTTTTTGAGTTCAGGTTACAGCTAGAACTGTCAGTACACAGGGCACAGGCTACCACTCAAGTCTGCAAGTGCTCAAGGAGATTGCGCTCATTTACAAACCAAACACTTAGAGGATTACATTTCATATAGTATTTGCAAGAACATAAGGGAAATAAGTTGCAAATACTGACAAAATGTAGCAAAAGCCAGTAGGACAGAGTGGGGTAAGTTGAGCCAAAGGGTAAGTTGAACCACCCCCTGTTGCTTGGAAAAGGTAAAAGAAATTGATCATGTGACCAAATATTTAGGAGATGGGCATCAATTCACGGAGTCTGTGCAGGTTAGAAGCACATGTGTGAAGGGGTTAGACATTTATTTCCAAAAAAACATTTTTCACTCTTGAAAGTGAATTGAGTCTGTCATAAGTTTTATTAGAATTGTGTTCAGGCCAAAAAAGATCATTTTAAATCTGTTTTATACATCAACTGTTGTATTTATGAGCTACAACATGAGGTCAAAAACCTAACATAAACGTCCACCATTTTAGCTTAGAGGACTAATAAAGTCATAATAGTAGTTCTGGGGTAAGTTGACCCATTTAGCCAGGGGTAGGTTGAGCCAGTGGATCAACTGAGAAAGTAAAGAAGTCTGATGAGAGGATCAGAGTTTTAGTTCAGATTGTTGAAATGCAATAATAATAAAAAGTATGACTGTACCAGTTGAATAGCCTATAAAAAGAAAAAAATACACATGAATGTAAAGAAGTGACTGTTATTTAGAGAGCGAAAATGTTAGGGAGGGCTGGGGTGGACAGTGGGGGGGGATAGTAGGGATACGGCTCAACTTACCCCACTCCTATGGTCAACTTACCCCATAAAGAGGGTAAGTTGACCGTAAGAGACCACTTTTTTGACATGCTATATTATCAAGACAGTTATGTTTACACTCATTCTGTTGGTTTGCAGGGATGCACAACCAACATCTTGAAATATGTGCAGATTCACCGGTTAGAGACAAAACTATGATTGCCTTGATGTAGTGATCAGAAATATGAAAAAAGGCTCAACTTACCCCACTCTCCCCTTTGTGGAATCATCAACAGAACTACAAAGACAGGGACTGTGATACATGTGAAAAATACACAGACATGACCTATTTTTAGTCAAATATAAGTCATATTAAATTAAAGATATGATATGATTTGTCATTATTAAAAACAGACTAATATTTATAACCTGTCATTGCAGAAAAAAAAGAGTCTTTAATGGTTCCAGGAGGATACTAAAATGAGCTTATAATCCATTGTCTTATGACACTGTGATTGTTTAGTTACTGTACAGATGATCTGAAGAAATGTAAGTTTTTGAATAGTAAAGCTAAAGTTGTATTAATCACTAATTAAATGAGCTGTGGTATGGCGTAATTCATGCAGTATGTGTTACTGAAGCTGAAGTTTATTAAAGCAGCATTACAATTTGACATAGGCCTATACTTGTTCATGAACTATCCACAGAAAACATCCTAATTTGATAACTACTGAAAGGTTTAAACTCTTCAGCATATATCAGGTCAGCTATGTTGCAACTTAAAAAGGTGGTTGGGCAAACGCTTAAAATACTGGGGCCAAAGATGTGCAAATGAAACAATGTTCTTTTAAGAAGTTAGAGAAAAAAATCCTTAGCCTTTTGAGATAATCATCTTTCTAATTAAAAAAAAGAGATTTTTTCTCAAGTGAAAGCAATATGTCTCTATATGTCTGTATGTTTATAGCGTTCAGAGCTTCTTGCTGCATGCTTTCATACATTAAGTCAAAGCATCTGCAGTGACTGAACCTGCTGGAACCTCACTTGTATACCCTCTATCAGTAACTTCAGAGTGTGCCAAAGAGGTGTGACCTTGGTTTCATACAAATCACTTCTGTGCACACCAAAACGTCACCAACTCAACATGTCAGCATCTATCATGGCAGTATTTTGGCCTCATACAGGGAGGGGGATGTGTTGATTATATTGATATAGAGTAAATAGATGAACCTGACATTAAGTGTCACTTTTGGCTGACAATAAGAGAGATATCTCAAAGCTCTCTCGGGAGTAATACACACAATGTCATAACACCGGGGGAAGCTTAAACACAGACATGTTCATTTGAATAAGGCAGTTCGCTACAACATTATAAGTTTAGCAAATTTGTTTGATGGGTCAATTGATGGGATATTACATAGCTAAAAAGTACTTTAAACATACTAACTTTAAACTTGCTGAGCTCACTGCAGATAAACTAAAAAGGGTACAGTCACACTTGTAACAAAGCCAGTGATCAAGAGAAGGCCAAACAATAAAAAATAGTTTTCACCAGAGATTTTAAAGATTATACTGAGTTTGTGTGTGATATCCTCAGGCAGAGAGTTCATAGCTGTGGTGCACAAAGAGCAAATGTTCGGTCACCTCTTGGGACTTGTGATCAATTGAGATTGTGGAGAAGGGCCCCGTCAGAGGACCCTAAGCTGTGGCCAGGCTCATTGGGAGTAACAAGCAGTAAAATCTGAATATCTAGTCTAAAGCTCACAGGGAGCCATTGAATGGCCACAATGACCTGGTGCTTTTACTACAGTGCTAGTGCTCTGTAGGTTTGGGAAAACACTGTCCATTAGATATGATAAGTCAATAATCCTCCTCCTGTCTTCCACCACCTCTACAGGGTCCAAATGTGGCGGGGGACAGGAGGATGACTGTGATATGATTTTTAGCTTCTGGAGGGCCCGGCAGTGGTTTTTGTTGGTAATTCTTTTGCCTTTAGTATTATGGGAAATGCTTTAGAGAGGCTCATCATTTTCTAACTTGTCACTTAAGTTAATTTATTTTGTTCACCAGCAGACAACCTGGATGATCTATTTTAGGATTTATAGACAATATAAGGACGTGTTACAAGCATGGAAAAATTGCCTGCTTATGTGTAGGATTCTTGTGTGGATGGAGGTTGAAACCTATTTATGGGCTGCACCCATCTGTTTTATTTATAAATAAAACAGATGGGTGCAGCATATTTCGGGAAACGTGCAGCAGTGTGGAGCTCAGCTGACTCTCCGGGTAAACGAAGGTTAAATTCAAACTTGCAGTAGGAGCAGCCTATGGCGCAGACAGATAGATGCCTCCCTGCTTCCTGTCACCCTACCCTCTTCAGCAGACACTCACATCCTCCCGGACAGAGGGCGCGGAGCACTCTGCAGCTATGGGACTGCATCCCATCCGCAGGACTACCACAGAGGACCGGGCTGCCACACTGCCTGACTGAAGGTGAATAATCCGGCTGCTTTTCTATGTGTCCTGGTCTATATATGAGAGTTTTAACGTCACTGCTGACTCATTTAGTTCTTCACCTTGAAGATGCAGAAAAGGTGTGCGCATTTGTGTGCTGTCTCAATGAAGAGACCCACTCACTTTGGGTGGTCCCAGTGTGCCCAAAGAGATGACGATGATGGTGTATGTCGGGTGTCATTGACTGGGTGGGGAAAATGATGTAGTGATTCAGCGTTACTGTCGGTGATAGCTGAGAGTGCGTGAGTTATCCTGCGTGAAACATGACTTACCAAACTTCATTCAAAAATCCCTCAGTTGGATGTTTTCTCTTCTATCGGGACACAATCTTACAAAATAGATGAATAAATGCGACATTTTAGGATTGGTTGAAATCGATAGGTTGATTCGTCTGCACTTGGTTTTACGTTGTTTTATTTCAAAAGATATTTCAAGCTTGAAAATGCTTCGTGAGCAGTCCGAATGTATTAGGTTCGGGCGGCCGAACTCCACACAGCATGTCCAAGGTAAGACCAATCTAACTGAAAATTGTGTTTAATGTAATCGATGTTGGATGCTATTTTGAGAGCCGATTATAAGAATAGGACTGTGTGATCAAATTAAAGTGTTTTGTGTTTTTATAAGAACTGTGTAGCAGTACACAAAAACAGACGCAGCAAATTCAAAATTTGACGAATGAAGTCTGGTTTAAGTGATCCGTAGTCCATCCAAGCAAGAGGTTGACCGCACGCAAGACTATTCATCACTGGACGTATTTCTGCGGAGGTTCCCAGTGAAAAGCTCCAAAAATAGACATTGTAACGACTGCTCGATGGGGTTTTAGGTTTACTTTTGGACTCTCCAAGGATTAGAGCACAGCTTTTTGGCCCCTTAGCGCAAATGTGGTCTGGCCTGGTATGTAAACGAGGGTCTGCCTAAGTCAGAGGAGAAAGTTCTCATTACTCCCACAGGAAGTAAGTCAATTATTAATCAGATGACACTCGTTTTATCTTTAATGTAGACTTAGCTGCTCGTAAGGCACAATTCAGGCACAGTGATATCCCTGAGGCTACAGTCTTAATGCAACCAGCTGTGGAATTTACGGAATAGCCTATATGATCGTGCAGTAAATGCTAATTTCAGTGTTTCCAGTGCCACAATCTCATTTCAAACCATTTTCATAATCATAATTCACAAGTTTCTTAAATGATAATTGATTAAGAATCACTAAAATATGTGTTTTTCTAATCACATTAATTTCTTACATTCACAAACAAGGCTAACTGAACAAATCTTAGTCAATACTCTGACATATCATTATCAACCACAACATGTAATCAAGCATTTCATTATAATCATCTTACTGTGTCACACAGTTAACATTCAGTGTCTTTACCTCCCTGATATAGATGATGTCACTCCTCCCCTCACAGCTCTAATATGGTCACTTAGATGTAAAACAGATATTTCTAAAAATTTACCATCAACAAAAGTGAATAAATACATTTAATACAAAGAACAACCAAGTGTGGTGACCTGCTCTCAAAAACTTCAAGAACCATGTCTGCTGGGTAAGGCATCTTTAACCCTTGACCTTGGCTTTTACTTGAGTCTGTTTGGTTATTTTAGAATGATGTCTTTGGACATTTTTGTCTTAATTAGATAAGACAGCTGCAGAGAGATGGAAAATATGGGGAGTAGAGAGTGGAGCAGGACATTAGAGCTGCTCGATAAAGGCAATCACAATTGCAATTATTTTGAACGACATTGATATCATGATTACAAAAAATGATTACCCATGATTTAAAGTCTGCATCACATGCATTTAAGCAACTTAAACCTCCTTAAACCCTTAAAAACAACAACAACAACAACAAAAAAAAAACTCTTTATTCTTAGAACAACACACTGAGTGGTTAAAATAAACTGTTAACTGTTTAGCCTAACTATTTACTTAAACATGTCCTTCTTAGTGGATGATACGTTGTTTTAAAAGTCTTATGTGCAACTGAATGAAATAGTGGCTTCATTTTGGTGATAATACTAAATTAAATGCCGCCTGTTGTATTGTCCCTGTTATGCTACATT